ATATATATATATATATATATATATATATATATATATATATAATATAAATTATAAAATGTTAAATTAATATTAATATTTAATAATTAAATATCAATTGAAATATTAAATTATTAATATTAATTATATATATTATATTAAATTTATATATCTACAAATATATGGTCAACATTGAGCAGCAACATACATACATATATATATATATATATATATATATATATATATATATATAGATAATGATAATATTAGTGGTAAATATACACATACATATGCAAAATATATAAATATATATACATAGATGCATACACATACATATATATTTTTTGAATAAAAAAATTCCAAGAGGATAGAATCCAGGTAGAACTCAATGTCCAGGACAGAGTAAGGATATAATAAAAAGGCTTAAACACTAATATTCCATGGTCATAATTTATTCCATTGGAATCGTAAATATGATCCAATTCATTAGACCTACAAATTCAAAAATGTGATAGTCTGGCGAGAAGTGTGAAATATAAGTCACCTCATCAGCTAGAGCCCACTTACCAGAATGACAGTATAAGTATTTTCTCTCATCACATATGACCAAGACAAAAATAACTGATGTAATACATGGCATAGTTCACTATGAAGTAAAATGTTTATTCACTTATCTTTTTCATATTTGCTAATGCCTTAACAAATTCTTGTTATGTTCATGTTCGATAAATATATATATAAAGTTGTTTTCTCTTGAAAATATATGCATGTCCTTTTCTGTTTCACACTTGTACGTAAGTATTATTATACCATGAGTATAGTAAAGTTATATTAGAATAGTTAAGTACATTTCTCTCCACCAGTTATTCTAATATCATCAGTCACTCTTGTATCTTTGTTCATGGAAGTCGATGTTATTCCTGCAGAAAGTTTTTACATCCAAGGTTCTTGATCAAGAATCAATATACTCTTCCAAGAAATAGCACTCAAAATAAACTTTTCTTAAACATAAACAATGATCTGGAACTGGAATTGTGGAGTTATCCCACTTACTTTCCAAAAAAGAAACATCGCCAGGGGATGCTTTTTAAGTTTATAAATAGGAAGTGACATTCTCTGTTATCCTCTTTTTCCTTTTTCACTCAGGGACAAGAAAGATGTCGGATGAAAGAGAAAACACTTTCCTACTGGGGAATAATTGTGTGCACACATGTAAGCACCTTTCACTTCATTTTCTCTAGGACTTTCTCCTACACCAAACTACACACACACACAAACAATTCACTAGTTTAAAAGCTTTCATCATTCATGTTGGAACTCCTATATTTGTGCCCTCGTACCTTGTATCTCTCCATGAAATACAAAACTCCTGCTGTTATGCTTTATCTTTGCAAGAGATCAGAACACGAATAGAGTATTGCTACCATATCTAAGTAGGTGTTGCTCAATCCTTACTTTCTAGCCTCAATGGAGTTTAAAAGCAATTATGTGAACTTGTTCTCCAACCTGCAATCACAGACAAAATGTTGCTACCCACTCACTACACTATCACTATTCTTCCTTCCCCATCCCTTACAACAATCTACTTTGAGTAGCCCTTGGGCCTTGTATTGGGTGAAGTAACAGTAAAAAAATTAGTGTAGAAGAAAGTTGAACACAGAATAGGCTGTGCTGGGAGTAGTTTTGTTCAACACCATAAATCATTACAAAACCAAAACATTAACCTAAAAAAATTGAGTTGTGTTCATAAATAGCTTTGTCAGATCAAGACTTTCATATGGATGTCATGCATGGTGCCAAACTTGTTCAGCTAAACTATCAGCTGTACACAATCACTTTCTCAGATCAATGGTCAAAAATGGTTTTGAGTGAGTGAAGCCTGTTATTAATATAAGGAAACATTCAGCATTTATTGACTGAGTAGCCAGTGCTACTGTCAGTTAGAATTTATAAAATCTTTCTATTAAAAAATTTTTCAAGAAAATAGATTTCTCAAGTCCACTAGCTGTTATTGCTCTTTCCAGTATTGGTGGGTGGATAGTGGCATACAGCTTGTTGTGGAGTGATTTCACAGTGGAGGCTTGTATTTGTACTAAGTCGGTCCTAAAATAGGTTCGACGTACAAAACGTTAGGAACTTGATATAATAGGTATAACGCAGAGTAATCTAGTTGTGGTCGCTGATACTTTAGTATTCGACTAACTGTCATCCGACATCGACTGACTGACCACCTCACTGAGCGACTCCCTCGTTACTCTTACAACTCCTACTTATTATAGGTGGGAGAGTCTATTAACTATAGAATAGGTGTGTTCCACTATAACACAGCTTTGGGGTTAAAATGAATGGTTGATTTACCCTAACCAAGAAGATTAATGAAGGATGATAATGACAAGGAAACCGATGAGTAATTTTAACAAAACTAGCTAGGAAATTGTTGCAGAAACAAAAAATGAGTACCCTGGAAGGCAGAACTTGTCACTGTTGTTGTTTCTGCTGAAGAGGTTAATTTCTTCTTCACCTCAGCAAACGTAAATTCGAAGAAAAGGAATACATCATATTTTGGGTAAATAAATGTATAATTTATTTACATATATACAAAGCCAGCATACTACTCATTGCTGTTGTAAAAGATGATGGTGACAAAGGATGAATGTTGAAAAGTATTGTGTTTAGTCTCCCTTAGTAGTGTTCTTGACCAACCTCTGCGTGTCGACATCTCAGACGGATCTTTCTCTCTGTCTTCTGCGGCGTTGAATCAAGGAATTTATATCCGACATATCGGCTCCAAATCATAGTCTGTGTTTCTTAGTGGGCATTATTTCTACTGGCCAATATATAAAGTTCATTTTTTTATTTAATACCAAAAACATGCATTGAACCATGACGCACAGAGAAACATTTTGACATTCTGTCTTGGGTCAATGAGCAGTCAACATCTGGTTTGTGTAAGAGACACGACAAAATTTATTTACAAAATTTACACACTTGAAGTTGTGTCAGTAACTTGTATCAGGAAAATAAATCAGAAATTTTTAAGTCCATAGTTTTTATAAATTACCATGAAGAGAAAATGTTCATACAACAGATTAAATGATTTGACACAAAATAATATTAAAAATGTTTAACACAAAAGTTTGTTGCCCACAGAGGGATATATGGTTGCCTACTTTCAAAAGTAGATAAAGAGAGATAGTTTGAAATACTTAGCTTTCTTGGACTGTTGAGAAAAAATTCTTTCAAGTGGCACACGCTTGATTAAAATCTGATAGTATAATTGGTGAACAGAAATGAAACCTTTCACATGACTTCAGACACTCTTCTCTTATTAATTAAATTTTTCTCCTCTATTAGAATTTAATTTGAGAACTATTACTACAATGTTTTATAAATTCACATTCTAGCCTCTTTTCTGATCTTTGCTCTGACTTTCGCCCCTGCTTCCAACACCGGCTTCCAAAGCCTTGATCCTTATGAGAAATAAGAATATATTTTCTGACAAACAAGAGGGCCAGGAAAGTGTATAGCAATTTTGGAAGGAAAAGTTTCTGATATTTCTGAGCTTTCTAATCTTGGTAAGAATATGTGCCTCTTAAGCAGTGAGTATTTGACATCATCTGTGATAACATCAGGTTGGCGACAGTAACATCAGTCATCTTCGGAACTTGTTTCAAGGAAGAAATCTACACACTGGTCTCTAAAGACAGAATGTTGGCCCTTTACTAATACTACTTGAGATCTTCTTCCTAAGACCTTGAAATGCTTGTTGTCAGCCTATGAACTCACTCAACTACATACTACAGATTTTCTGATTGTTTCCCCCTCAACAAGAGCTCTGAAGAAATCTTATGAAAGTTTAAACTCCTTAAGAACAATTTACTTGCTTAAAGAACTTTTAGGCACTTGGAGAAATATTTTGAGCAAACCTTTATGAACAATTTTTCTTTTTTTTGTCTATGTAAATAAACATTTTCTTCTTCTAGTGTTACACCCTGAGCAGGAGTTTGAGTCTGTATTCTACTGCCTAAAAGAGAGAATTGTCCACTCTAAACTTTCAATCTGTTGTTGCTTTTATTGATTCTGTCACCTTTAGCCTTACCCCTTTCATGTGGGAAAGCCAGGACAGATTTCCCACACCTCATTTTATATCAAAAGGAATTTTGTATAGGTTTGTTACTTTCTTTTCTTTCTTCTTAGCTCAATAGCTAATTTCTGTGAAGCCAGGTTTTCATTGGTTCAAAACTATTTCACATAATCTCGCAAATTTATTTCCGTCTTCTTCTCAGCTCACCGGTCAATCTCTGTGAAGGCAAGGTTTTCATTGGTCCAAAGAAAATTTCACATAAGCTTGCAAATTCTTTTCTGTCTTTTTTCTCAGTTCTCCAAATTTGAAGGGAGTGTGTAAAGGGACTTATTAATATTTTGCACTCTCTACAATCACTTCCTTCCTAACCTTTTATTTGAAGTAGTGTGGAATGTCAACATCTTGATTATGTCATTATTTTATCTTAGAGTGACATCTGTTATTATCTATTTTAGTTGTTGTTGTTGAAAGTTCTCAATTGATGCAGTTTCTGTTATTTGATACCATTCTTTGTAATTTTGTAGCGCCAGTCCACAAGGAAGGATGGTCCTAGCGAAAACATACAGGTTTTATTCGCTCAAAGCAATTTTTAACCAATTGAATGTTACCTTATGATATATGAATATTTTGAATACTTGCTTTATTCTGGTTATTAATTTAAGTAAACTGTCAAGTACTTGTAAAATCCATAATACCCACTTTCTTCTCTAGATCTGCATAGGAAAAAGATATTAAGAAAAATAATATATGAAATATTCTAAAATAATTATTTTTATTTACCTAAAATAACATTAATTGATTTGAAAATAACTGATTAAAAATCATTGAAAACAGCCGATCAAAATGCTAAGATATTTTCTGCTAGCTTTGTATTTTTGTCAACATGGCGGCAAATATTATCCATTTTTTGTGTCATTTTCTCAGTTTGGTGGTCACTGCGATGGGTACGGTCACCAAAATGCCTCAGATTTATTCTGTCTTCAAGGCAAAGAAAACGAAAAGCATAAGTCTCAAGTCGTTAATCGTCGAAGGATTTGGGTGAGTCAATTTAATTCAATAATCTGTCGGCTTAATCGCTGTCCGACAATTTGACAAGCTGAGCGAGTAGAAAAAAACGAACACCAGTCAACTAGGATTTTTTTTTTTTAAAGAAGATTGGAACGATTTAAATAATTTATTTCTTATTCGTTGCTTTTGTTGTGGCAATTGTGGACATTAAAATTAACAATAACATCCTTGTTGAATGTTGACTCATGCGTAACTTGAATTTCATACATGTTCTTGTTTACTACACATTCGAATTTTTTTAAAGTAAACATTTAAAAAGTTTTAAAACATTCTAAAGAATCCCAAGCTTCATGTGCCCATTGCGAAAATAATTTATTAAACTTTGCGAAAAATAAATGTTTTCCGACTGTCAAAAAAATATTAAAAAGAAAAACTTTTGCTTAAGAAGGCTGTTGACAGTGTTTCTTCTAAAAAAATGTTTTCAAATGGATCGATTCACAATTTCTTTAAACCAAAGAAGATAAGCGATATAATCAAAAAAGCAAATTTATTTTAGATAAAATTACATAATTAAAGTTCAGTTTTCTTTGTTGTACAATATTTTAAAAGTTGTACTTATTAAGAAAGCGTGCAAAATTCATTCACAATGATGAGGTAGGAGGGATGATGTGTAGAGAGACTTTATAATTCGTTGTGACAGTCGATTTCCTTCATAAGTGAAAAAACAAAGCAGTCGCAGGCATTATGTCTGTTAAGTTTGTGTGTGTGGAGGGGGAATCTGCCTTTCTACGATATGTCGATAGAAATTGATTGAAATCAGACGAAAACTACGAAAAATGTTGATTAAAAATCGGAGGTTAACAGAAAGAAAGGTATGTTGTGTGCTTTGGAAGAAAACCAACCGATGGCTGATAAAAGACAAAAAAAGAAGAAAAAAAGTAGCTGATATTTAAATTACGATCCCAAATATTTTCATTATTTATCAAAATAATCTTGGTACAGACAGGCTTAGCCTCACTTGAGAGCAGAATTTTATCACCTGGCATATTGATTGTTGAAACTTATAAAGGAAAGTCACTTCATGTGAAAACGTGTTATAATCCAGAATGATGATGATATTTCATCATTCTAAAAATAACTTTGCCATCAGTGATAAAAGATGAGAAAGGTAAATCTGATTATAAAAATGATCCTTCCACCACAAGCGAGGATAGTCAGGACAGTAGACTAGAGTAGCAAGTAGCAGTAGTAAAAAGGAACACAATGTATCACCATTGCTCCTGAAAATCAAAAGTTGACGATTTCAAATGCTATCCTTAACAACAAAATTCTTGGAACAAGCAAAAACAAGTAAACACAAACTTTTAAAGAAACAAAAGAGACAGTAACACTAAGAATTTTTTTAACACATACCATACCAATATCTGTAATTCAAATCATGAAAAATAAAAATAAATATTCTTGTTATTAATGTCAACACGTGTGTCATGTTTTATTGTTGATATTGTATGTTTTTATTCATTTCAATTTTAGTATAAAAAAAAGTAGAAAGGATTCCTCTATCAGCTACTACTAAATATATATCATGACTGGATAACTACTGCATCAACAAACCTCAACAACTCCAACCCCGTTACAGTTTTTTTTTTTTTTTTTTTAAACTTTTTTTTGGTGACATGATATGTTGTGTTACTTTTATTGCTTCTCTACTGTTCTGATTGCCTTTGCTTATGGTGAAAGGGTCGTTTTTATAATCAGATTTTAGAATGATGAAATACCTCTTTCATCTTTCATCATTGATGGTAAGGTTATTTCTAGAATGATGAAATATCATCATTGTGGAGCATAACACATATTTTGTATTGGTAAAATTCAAAATTTGCATCTAAGTTGATATGAGTCAAAAGCGACACATTTTGTATTGGGAAAAAACATAACTTTGCTTACACAAGTTGTCATCATCATTGGAAAGGAAAAGCTGTTGTGGGATCCCAATTTGGATTCAGCATTTTATATTTTGTATCATCCTTGACATTATATAATGACTTTCCTTATGATGTTGTGAATTAGGCATGTGAAAAGATGATGAACATAGAAAATCTCTTAATGTAACAAGCAATTGATATGTAATGCATTATCATAGAAGTTAATCTCTCTTTGTAAAAAAAAATGTAATTATACATGTGTGATTTTATGTGATATTAATATGAAACCAATTTGAGTAAAAGCAAATGTTTATTGTTTAGTCTCTTGAAAAAAAAAGGATTTAATTATCAGAATGTCTTGTTTATTACATTGATTAATTTTAATTTTTGCTTTGATTTTTGATAAAGCTTGGTTTGAAGAAAAATAGCAGTTCGGAATACTTCATGGAAATAATTGAAATAATTCATTTGAATTTTCATTTTAAGAATTTTTCATTGGTAAGCAAAGTTCAAATTCCAATCTAGTCTGTTTCATTTACTTTTACACTAATATCCTTAGAAAAGGTTTAATTCATCTCTTTACCTCCTAACCACCCAAAGCTAGACAGGGATCTCTACCCTTGGGCCTGTACTGGTTGCAACCAACCTAAGAGAAGATAACTCTGAATTTCAACCTGGAGAAGGTAACAAGAAATCCCTTCACTATCTTTTCCAAGAAGGCATGGCAATTCACAGATAATAAAGAAAAGGAATACAACTTTGGCATGCAGTCTACTGCAGTTTCCATAGTCTATCCTGTGAAATGACCTTTAGTCTACATTTCATGGTATAGATTTATTACCTGTGTTTAACTTTTTTATCCTTTTGACCTGAGTGCTCCTGATCGGTCAATATAAAATGATCTTTAGTATGTGGTCTAACTTTCATGTGCTTCCCTTATTTTTACCCTTTTAAGCTGAGCACTAACTCTAACCCCAACCCTGTAGCACCAATGAATTCCATCATGATGATAACCATTAATGTATTATTTAGGCTTTTTGGATTATTATGATTCTGATAATTTGTATGATTAACTGTATATCTTTAATGAACATTATTCAACCTTATTCAATTTGTTTTTGTCATCTTGAATATAAAGTTCTTGATAGAGGTAGGCTGCACATTGAAGTGTAAAAGTGCAGGTAGACTGCATACTAAAGTAGCATCAGAAAAGGAATTTGTGGAGAGTTATGATTGCTTACATTCTGAGGGGACATGACATTAAAAAAAAATTCCAACTGAAACAGCAAAAATTTTCCCGACAGATAATATGCCCCAAATAATCTCCTTATTTCTATCTCTCAAAATATTCTGATAAGAAGAATTGCTGGGTAGCAATGGGCAGAGAAACCCCAGAGGCAAATGGTGGTTAGTTGCATACCTAACTCCAGATTGCTTTTTTCATTTATTGATCATTGTTTTTTGGCTAAATTCACTTCCTTTATAAAACATCTTTTCATTATTTGTACTCAATTGATAGCAATTGAAGAATGAATCTTTTGATTTAAGAAATCTCAAACTGCTTCTTTCATTCAAGGCTCAGATTGAGAATTAAAACATTCCTTCTTTCATTATATGCGTGTGTATGTTGAACCATTGAGTTTAGTTCTACAGCCCGTTTTAAAAGCTGATTGGGTGGGAAGGTAAGAGGAGAAGAAGAAAAGAACATTTTTACTGTATTTTATTAGTTATATAATAATGAACTTTGTGACAATATAGAAATGACTGCATAAATATAATTTTAACCTAAATGGCTGACTGCTTATCGTTAGTTACAGACTTATGAAACATTTTAAAAATAGAAGTAATATCGTTATCTCTACATATATTAATAAATGATACCATAGTATCTGTCAACGTTGCTATGTAAGGTGTGCCATGGTCAAAAAAAAAAAGAAGCTTCAATCACTTTAAAAGATCAAAGGGCAAGGAAGTAATAAAACTCAAAACAGCAAGCTTGTCTTTGTTTTGTTGCACTTTCTTTTCATTCCCTTTTCTTTTTTTTTTCTCTAGCTTACTTTTTATTCTTTGTCCTTTCTACTGCACACTTTTTTAACTTTACTTTTCCCAATCCTGTTGTAGTGCAGAAATGAACAGATAGGTAGTTCATGGCTATATTGTGGATGGGTAATACTGTTCACAGAATGAACTGATCTTAACTGATCCGCATGTAATTAATCACACCACTTTTTACAATACTATGCTAGTTTAGTATGAAAATTACCAGTAAATATTTTTAAAAACTGTAGGTTAAAAAATTAGTCATTTCTTTGTGTTTTTGTTTTGTGGATATAATAAAAATAAGTCAAATTTGATAGAATAAATAAATCCAGTGACTGTACCACCTGGTTCCTTCTCAATCACTGACTTGTCTAAAAATAAAAAATAAAACTTTACAAATAAATTCTATTACTTAATATTGTTGAAATTTCATTTTCCTATTCTATACTGATCTGAGAATTTTAAATTTGTCATTTTTGGTCTGGTGCTTCTATATATCTCAAGGTTCTCAACAAAATCCAAAGGGGAGGGGGTCTGTCATGTTATTGGTCCTGACAAGGCATCATGACTTCAGTCACTTTTCCACTGCTGTGATGTGACTTCCCTCTGTCTTTTCCAGAAATTTTTTATTTTCATGGCAATTGTTCTAATGAGCTCTCCACCTTGATATATTGACTATATGAATTTAAATGTATTACTAGATTGGCAACTAGGTTTCATTGTTTTACTCTTGAAATAGCTAAATGTAACCATAAGTTCTATTCTAATAGTTTTTTTTTTCTCACACTTCTCACTTATGGAACTCTCTTCTAGTTTCTTGTTTCCCTGCTATGATTTTCAAAAATTTAAATGCCATGTCAATTGCCATCTTCTGTTTTCTTGTATTCTGTTCTTTTATTGTTCTCTCCCCACATTAAATTCTCATTCTCTTTCACTCTCAGTAACTCCTGTCTTAGTAGCATTATCACCTTGCTTCGGGAGAAATGATAAAAAAATATACAAACCCTAATTTTCATCTCCTTTGTGCTTTTTTTAATGTATTTTTACCTCCGCACTCAGGATTTCAAAATCAATATTTTCTTTTTACCTATGCTGGTTTCTTCATAGAAATTCTGGTGGCAGTGAGAGTTATTTAGTATTTCTCATTTACTTTTCAACTCCTGTATTACAGGATATATTGGGTCATGGAGTACCAGATGTAGGGAGTAATCCTCAACCTGATTTGTTGGGAAAATTGGATTCATGCCTTTCCCAAAGACATCTGTGCAAAGTGAACACACACTATCTCTGCCAAAATTTGAACTCAATTTTCTTTTTTTCTTTTAATGCCATGTCCCTTCAGAACATTAGCGTTCATGAATCTCCACAGATTCCTTTTCTTTTTTATTATCTGTGAATTGCTGCGTCTTTTTGGGAAAGATAGTGGAGTTGTTTCTTGTTGCCTTCTCTCTGGTTTTGAATTCAGTTTTCATTTTATTAGACTGCTTGTCACTCAAGGTTGAAGAGTTAAGTCTACTGTTATTTAATTCATAGCTGATGAGAAAAGACAGATTCATGCCTTTCCCAAGGACATTTGTGTGAAATTGAATTCAACAGACAACATACTGTTAACTTTTAGGGCGACTTTGCATATCCTCCTTAGGGTTTATAAGTGAAATAAAAAAAAATATAACCAAAAAGATTTAAAAGCAAAATATATTTGTTCTTGATGTTATTTGTATGATATTTAAATGCTTGTTTTTTCTTTTTCTTTTAAGGCATTCTGTTATGCTGACTTACCATTTTGCTCTTCACTATCCATTCAGCAGTTACTCTGAATATACATTCCTTGTACCTCAAGGTGATGTGAAAAAAAAAAACTTTTTTCTTTTTTTATTGATTGCATAGGAGCCAAAAGTATTTGTCAAATCATTGTCAGATGTCAGTGAATTTTTTTTTTTTTTTTTTGAATTAATCTGTTTCCTGATGTGGCAAATTGTATGAATTTTTTTTTAAAGAAATTATTTTACATTTATCAAATCTGAAAACTGTGTTAATTTATGAGACTATAATTCCTTTAACTTGATGTGTCTATTTAGATATTTAGTTTTGTTTCACTCTTGATTCATCTAAAAAATATTTCTATAGATTACCTTAAGAGAACTGATATTTGTGTATCTCATTTATTTTAAGAAAATGGAGTACAATATCAAAATTTCAACTTTTAGACAAAACTGCCAAAGAGTTTACAGAATTCTTGTATAAAAGTTTCAGAAGTTTTATTCATGATGTTTCTCATGTACTATTCAAACATGCTGAAACTGATAAAGATGACAAAAGACAGAATTTACTAAAGAGAGCAGAAACAAATGTGTGTCCAACATGGCAGCCATTCGTCACTGCCCGTTTATTATTACATGCCACGAAAAGATGCCCTCTCAGGGTAAAGGACAGATAACCCAATACGTTGGGTCACTCAAGACAAAGAGACTTAACTCCACATCTTGATTCAATATATAACATTTTTCTCTCAAGGTACAAAGAAAAAATTGTCCTGCAATAAATGCAACTAGAACAAAAGTAGGTAGCAGGTGTAACTTGTGGACATTTAACAATGGCTGAAGTGAAAATGTTACTTGGGTTTTGTTTTCAATCTTTGTTTATTGTTGGGGATCTTTTTCTTTTAGCTTTTATCAAAACAGCATGTGTCTCTTCCTACCACTCCAGCTTTATACCTTTGTTCCTGCCTTTGTTATATCTTTGAGCTTTAATCAGATTCGCCTCCATTTGATGCGTGTTTGGTTTGAATTTGAAATCACATGCAACTGCCAAAATCAATAGTATGCCTTCCTTTTCAACATAGCATTTTTTATTCAAAGAAAAAGAAAAATATAAATCAGATGTTTAAAAAAAAAAAAAAAAAAAAATTTATGCAGTTTTTGGAGAAGGTACTGCAAATAATCAAATATGTCAAAAATAGTTTGTGAAGATTTGTGCAGGTAATTTCTCACTGAAAGATGGGCCACAGTGGAATAGGCTATCAATTAAATTAAGACATTACTTGTGATTAGCCGATGTTATATGATGCAAAACATATACCAAACAATAGATGCTTAAAATATCTAAATCAAGTCCTGAAATTTATTTGCAACGGCCAGGTGATGTTAGTTGCTTCGATGTGTGGCTTCTATCTAATAAAAAATATTGTTATACTTGCATATACAGTTCATTACTTAATGAAAATAATCTGTTTTTGAAATAAATTGTGACTAATAATGAAAAGTGAATACTTTACAACAATGTAGAACATATGGTTATGGATTAAACAAAATAAACCACCACTAATTTTGTCAAAGGCTGGTCTTCATTCAAAGAAAGTGATGTTGTGAATATGGTAGGACTGGAAAGAAGTCTGCCACTATGAACCTCTAGAGGGGCAAATAATTTATTTGAACAAATACTGCTCCTAATTAGACCAATTGAAGGCAGCAGTTGATAAAAAGTGTCCAGAATTTGTTAAGACCAAATATATCTATGGTGACCAAACAAAAATTATAATAGCTTGGATGGGAAGTTTTCACTTCTATTCACCAGATAGTGCATTTTCAGATTACCATTTAGTAGTCTCTATAGCATTTTTGTAATAAAAAAAAAAGTTCCTGTTCTATAGCTGACTCCAGAAGCAATTAGAACTGTTATTTGATCAGAAATAAAAAGCATTTTATGATAGTGGAATTCTGAAGTTAATTGAAAGACTGCAGAATATTAACTTTGAAAAATTTCTTTCTTTTTTCTTTTTACTTAATAAACTGAAGAAACTTTTTCGCCAAGCCGATAAGAATGATATTTTGTGATGCAAGAGGAGAAACTCTTTCAAATCAATTTTAGTTTGTTATATAGTTATCTCCCTTAGTTTAAATAAAATCAAAATCATTTCAAAATGTGAAAAGATAAATGTCATGCTTTGAAAATTTATAATTTTATCAAGCAAAATGCTTTAGCGTTTTGTTTTTAACTAACAATTTTTTTTCTCAACTTTATTTGTCAGTGTAAACATAAAAACTTGTAAAAAAAAAAAAAATTTTTAAAAGTTGAAGAATCTGTTGCATCAATAAATTTTAGCTTTTCTTAACTGAGATTGAGAAACTTAAGAAAAAAGTTATTAGCTTTGGGGCTATTTTTCAGGATTAAGGTTACTGACAGAAAAGCCACCACAATAAAACAAATATTAAGAACAATATTTTCAAGGAATGGGGTGCCTAAAACTTTGGTCTCAGATAATGCTCCAGAATTTTGTGAGCAAAGTTTGTGCCCATAGTTAAAATGTATTGGATGCATCCTATATAAAACACCACCTTACCACCCACAATCAAATGGAATCACAGAAAGAATGGTGTAGATTGTGAAGATGGGACTAAATGCACTTTTTCCTGTCTAATGATAATATAGAGATTTACTTACTGAGATTACTATTAAGCTATAGGACAATTCAGACTACAAAGTCTCTCCGCATTAATGGGTAGACAGATTAGAGCCTCCATAACAATGTTATTTTCAACAAGTGAAAGTGTATGGTATAAAAAAGACAAAGAATCTAATCCAGAGAAGACAAACTTTGTAGTACATAAAGGACATAACACAGCAATACTAACAAAAAATGGACAAAATATACTGGCCTATGTGGATCAATTCAGAAGCAGAATGGAAACTGAGGATATAGAAATGGATGAAGAATCTGAAGGTGAAGAACATGAAGGGGAGGAGGGGACTAATGAAACTGGACAATCTATGGATGATAATGACCAGAAATCTGATGAGATGTCTGAAGAGGAAAATGAACTCTAAACTAGGTCCCCTATAACAACTCAAGATACACACCAAGAAAGTTTAGATTCCCAAGAATAATTAGAAAAAGTCAAAGCTCAATGAAGGGCATAAGGCCATTTTATTTCAAGGCGGTGTAGTATTGTATGTAAATGAGATACTGCTATAAAAGCAGAACACCACAGCTAATGCCAGTCTGGCTACCTTCTGTTGACCTGACAATGTCTATTCCAGAGACTACTCTACTTCATAACTTATATATATATATATATATATATATATATATATATATATATATATATATATATATATATATATATATATACGGAATGAATTCAATAACCAACAATTACTATTCTTAAAAGAGTTCTCAATACAAAGTAGAGCAGATATTATTATTTTTATAAAAAAAAAAAATTTATAACATAAATATGTTATAAAATCACTACAAAAAGCCACTTGATAAGACACCGAGGGTGTTGAAACAAAATGGCTATTTTTGTAGTGATTTTATAACATATTTGTTATAATTTTTTTTTTTTTTTTTTTATAAAAAATAATTATATATATATATATAAACTTAGTCTGTTTTCATTAAAATATTGATGTGTCTACATTTGATATTTGATGGGCTTTAATTGAAGATTGAGTGTTTTTCTTTTATTTAACCAACTCAGTTGTGTCTATAAATTTCTGGCACAGACCCTTGCAAGAAATGAACAAGCAAAAAACACTTGCTTTTTAATCATTGAATCAATAAGATTTAAAAATATAAAGATTTTGTTTTTATGTTCCTGTGTATGCCCAATGAAAGTTAGAAATGAGAAATACATAACAGGCTCTAGAATTGTTTCATTAATCTCAATTTCTCTTATTAGTCTTTAGGTAATGAACATCTTCTTTGTTAGTATTTTCTGAACTAGGAACGAGAGATTGTCGATCAAATATTTGCTGCATTGAAAACAGTTGACAAAACAGTTAGGACAAAATGATCCAAGGGAAATAACTCTCAGTACACAAAAGTTTATTAGCAAAGCCTTGAAGAATTGACACCATTCTTCATCCCGTAGTCAGACTCAAATCAAAAAGATATTTGGCAAGAATTCACTCACTTCATGGATATAGTGAGCAGGAGTGTTTTACTTTAAGATTGAAATGTTTCTCATAATGACGTGAAATTACTTTGGAAAGATGTGAAATAGTTTTTCTTATTTCTCCTAAGTTTCTAATTTAAAAAGCCAAGTAGGACCTCAGTGTACTTCCTGCGCGTCCCTACTACTGTGACAGTGGACTGTTCCTACTTATAAATATGACAATTAGCCACATTAGAGGAGGATTTCAGGAGTAGTTGTTTTGCTCAAGTTTTCCTATTCTAGGAGTATTTAATAAATTTCTCTTTCCTCTACCTAGTCTTCTGTTCCTTTGATACTCTAAGGCCTTCTTAATTCTTGCTTATTTTGAACGATGACAACAATAGAAAGCCTTCTTAATTCTTGCTTATTTTGAATGATGACAACATTACAGCAATTTCAATAGAAATCTAATTTTTTTTTTTTTTTTTTTTTAGAATAACCAATTATTGTCATTACTTTTCTTTAATAGGTAAGAATAATTAAAGAATTTTTTATAAATTAGGTAAAATATGTGCATACACTATTAATAAGTGACATTAAAGAATATAATTTAAAAATGCTTTTTTAGTCACACAATTTTTTTTAAGCTGTCAGAATATTTTAAGTGAATAACATGTTGATAATAATGTAAATATTGCTTTTGTATTTGTTCAGATTTCAGGAAGTAAAGAAATCTTTTTTTTTCTGTTTATTTAAATTGTATCAACAAAGAAAGGGAATCGTTTGGCTGATGACTAATTGAATTTCTTTTTCTCTTTTTCAGACTTAATTCTTATTACTCTTCTTTTGTTTTATGATGATTTATTCAGCCTCAAAGTGTCATCTTATTATCTACTGTATCTTTTTTTCTATCACTTGACATCTTTGTGCTCTCTACATTGTTGTTATCATTTTAAAAAATTTCTTTTTTCACCTGCATTTGTTTTATAATCATATGCTGGGTCATAATCACATGACCTAGGGCAAGTGAAGGATTTTTGTTGTTTTCACTTAATTAAACAAAAGACAGCTATTAACAAACTTAAAAAGGACAAAGTTCTTCACAGGAACTATTTTTAGGATTTCCTGGATAATTAGTGTTATTACTAGTGTACCTGTGCCGTCAAAAATTATGGCAATTGTTAATAATAATAACAACAACAAAGATGAAGGTATTAGTCCAAATGTAAATCATCCCAGAAATTGGTTATTATTTATTTATCATTTAGAGTTTTTTTTTTTTTTTTGTCAGTGAGAGGATTGAGTATTTTTGATGACAAAGAATTTCTATATTCTGGAAAGACCTACAAGTCACTTTTTAGTTTTTTTTTTTTTTGAAAAAGAAAAGAATATGTTTCAGTATTAAAAAAAAAAAGGTCAGCCAGAATAAAGAAGTGAATTTTCACAAGGTTACTGTGTAAAAAAAAAAAAAAAAAATGTGCCAAATGTTAAAACTCATACAACCTATGGCACACAGCTGCAAATGTCATCACAAAGTCCAAACCAATAACTACTACAATGCAAAGAAGATATTTAGCTGTTTCAATTTTAATATATACTAAAGTATATATACTATATATAATATATTGTAGAACAGGTATATTGACCTTGACTTGTGTAAAAATACATATGCTGTTGGCACACTGAAATGTTAAGTCAGACATAATTAGCAAAAGGTTGCCAGCCCCTGTCCTACACAAAACGTTTGCATTACATTCTTGTTTTGATAGAATATACTTTGTAACTACAAATGTAACATGAGTTGTGCTTGTTGATTGAAATCATTTATCATGATAGATTTTTAATATTTGAAGCAGAATAGCTGCTGATTTGGATCAAATTATTTTATTATCATATAAAATACATCTTTTTAAAAAAGCAAGAATAAGTTTTAAAATTTTAATTTTTGGTAAAATGGATTAAAAAATTTTTTTTACCAAAAAATAAAATGAATGAGTCAACAAGCCTACAGTTTCTGTGATGTGATGAAGCATTTAATATTTTAAGAAATTCCTGTGAAATAAGAAAAATGGGTTTAGGTTTTGTTTGGTTTTAGCCATAAAGTGATTAGCTGATCATCCAATTTTGATAAGCCTGTGTATATTCATTGTTAAAGTACTTGAAAATCTTAAAAATTAATTTTTTTTTTTTTTAATTCTATTAATTTACAATAAGAAAAAGATTTGATTGAAATTTCTGAAACTGGAAAAGCATTCAAACATACCTACTTCAAATTTTGGGGCTTACAGGCATATCACATAGAAACACCAGTTCTCATCTGGTCACCGAAGTTAAGCAACATCAAGCCTGCTCAGTACATAGATGGATGACCTCTTGGGGATACCACATGCTGTGTGGGTGGTGTAATGGATAACTGTGTGGAATGAGAAATCAGAGAGCTGAGTTCAAATTCCAGTTGGGTTTGTTATATTCATTTACATGCAAATACTCTTGGGGAAAGGTATGAATCTATCTCTTCTCCCCACCAGTCTTACTATGTAATCCATAGGTTATATTGTAGGACTTCTGTCAGAAAATCATTATTATCTCCAAAAGATTATTATAATCCAAAAACATGTCCAACTTTAAATGATGTGCAAAAGGTCAATAAGCTGTAAAAAAATCAAATTAAAAAAAATTTCCAAGAGAAAAGTGGGAGCAATTAATTTTTTTCTAATAGGTTTTGGGTTGGCTGTCTCTTGCTGACTTACAAAGATGTGAAGAAGAAAGTTTTGGGGGAGATGTTTTTATTCCCCTTACTTTTTTTTTTTTCTTTTGCTTTTATTTTGAAATCAAACATTTTGTGTCTATTTTCTTTAACTAAACTTTCAGTTATTTAGGGTTTTTTTATCTGTTGGCTTTCAATAAATTACCATTTGTACTACTGAAGATGACAATGGTAAGTTACCAGTTTTCTATCAGTTCACATGTTCAATTTTGTGAAAGTACACTTTTTGTATATATATTATAGTTTCTATGCTTGTAATCATTTGGTATGTAAGAGAGCAAAACTTAAGTTGTAAAATAAAGTTGTGATGATTGAATATGCTTTTTCTTAGGATAGCCATCAGCCTCTCACTATCTAGGTATAAATATAGGTTTTTAACTGATGAGGTTAACAGATGCTCCTAAAATCCTACAAGTCTGAAGGAGAAAAATGAGAAAATAATCTGCCAAAACAAATTCCATTGTAAACTATAATTACTGGTGATTACTGTTTACAATGAATATGTGTGTTTCATTTGGTTTCCATTGACTATTGAACTGGCTTCAGTAACATCACACACACATCTCTTGGATTTTATATGTTGAAATGAAATTGCTCATTGATAGAAATGATTGTTAAATCCTTTAGTTTGAATGCAAATTGAACAAAAATGATTGAGTGACTTGCAAACTTCATTGTTTTTAATTCACTAACATTGACCAAGTTTTTAAAAAAATAAAACATGATCAGCTTTTTCAAAATAAGCTGTCAAATTATATTTTACAAGTCAGTTTTCACAATAAAATTGGTATTAATGTTGATTAAAATTTTCAGGATATATTAATATTTATATGATTAATATATTATGTCAGTTTTAGTTTTAATTTGAATCCTTATTAAAAATATTGATAGCTGTTTGTTGGATGTCAGATTTTATTATGCAAACAAAGTGAAACATAAACTTATTTCATTTATAAATAAATCCAAAAGATATAGGCCAGAGATATAAGTTTGATTAATAAAATACCCTGTAGAGTTGAAGGATTATTTTTGTATGAAATGGATTGTATAGCCTTCATTGATTTTGCTAACTTTTCTATTGTTTCAACTTGCAACAATTTTTATTGCTTCCCAGAGAACTTCTTTGCTTGAATATGATCTTCTACTCTCATATGCATCTCTTTTAATAATGGACAATAAATATTCCACTGAATTCGTATCTGGAGAGACTGGGGTCACTTCATTAATTTGGTAAGGTGGGTGATAAACAGCTTTGTAGAATGTGAAAGAGCTTATTGATTTTGAACTATACTACTCAAAAATTATCTTGTCCAAAAATTTACAATAATTCTCTGTATTTATCTTGATACCATGATATAACTTTGAAGGAATGTATAATAATTTTAATGCCAACAACACTAACTCCAAATATTATTCTCCCTCCCACATTTCTCTTTGTGATGTTTACTTAAAGGTAATAGTCTCGTTACTTTCATGTCTTTAGCCAATGTTCTTAATATTCTCTATCTTTTCTCTTTACATTCACAAAAAAAAACAGATTCTTTAAATATTTTCCTGCTGAATTAATCTACTTTTCTTTATTACCGCTTTTTCATTTTTCTTGGGTCACTTTTTGTGGCATTCTTAAAGCAAGATTTTTTTCTTATTCTTACCAATGTTTTCAATTTCTTTTTTCGATTGTTCTTGGATCTTTATTCAACTTTTCACAATTTTCAACATTAATTTTACAATATCTTTTTTTCTCTTTTGAGATTATGTCTTTATAACCTATGCCAATCTTTTCTAAAATGAAAATAATAATGAATATCACTAAATATATGGATACTTATAAGAAAATTTTTTATTTAAACAAGAAATAAATAAAAAAAAAACAGAAAACACTTATATTTTCAAAAACTTAGAAAACCCCAGAATATTTGAGAAAAATTAGCCTAAAAATAAGTCCTGTCCCTGACAGCGAAATAACATTGTTATCTTTGACACTCAGAGCTGAAAGAAAGAAAGAAAGAAAAGAAGGAAAAGGAATAATGAGAGAGTATGAGGAGACAAGAAAATTATGAAAAAGAAAAGTAACCTGGAGACATCTTAAATATGTGCACATACACACATATACAGTTGTGTATGTGTGTGTATATATATATATATATATATATATATATATACACACACACACACACACACAAGTGGTCTGAATGACTGAGCAAAAGTTTGTCTATGAAACTCTGGAGTCGGTGTACTGAATATAACATCAATCAGCTACATGACAAATTTTCTATTTGTATTAACCCCCCCCCCCCACATATATATATGTGTGTGTATGATATGAATAAAGCTTGAGTGGAAAAATAAAATTTCATATCAACAAATAAGTTCTTGTAAATATTTCTAATAAAAATTGATAAGATGAAATTCCTGATATATTTATCATTTCCAAGACTTAAGAGACACCGGACTAATAGCAAAATGGTTGTATCAAGTATAAATACAATGTGCGATGGGTAAATTCTCGCCATTTTATACTTTTAATTTCGTACATGCGTGTTGTTTTTGTTTTTTTATTTTGTTGACTGCACGGTATAATAGGGTCAATTTGGGCACATTCTGTGAGAAAAAGAGCACCATGACACAATTCACTCCACCAGAAATTTGGAAACACACCAGAATTTCTCATACGACCATTTCAGAGTGTTTGGCTATCAGTCTGAGGACAGTGCAGGAGATTTGGAAAGAGTTGGATGATATATTCAATCAACATTATGGTGTTTGGATTGATCACTAGTGATGGTGACATTACGCTACCATTCATCAGTGCTGCTCTGAGTCAAGAGGGTGGCTGCTGGAAGACCCTCTGTCTAGTAACAGGATTCTGCACCATGCCACATAAGTCAGAGAACCCAGTCATGGCTGTCAGAGAATTTCTGCAACCACATCACCCCTTACATCTGGCCACCTAACAGCATGATAAGCTCTAATACAAACATTTCAGAGTGTTTGGGTGCCAATCACCGCTTACATTTGGCCACCTATCTCCCCAGACTGCAACCCCCTTTATTATTATGTGTGAGAGACTAACAAAACTCATCGTAACACCAAAGATTATGGCAGCATTTAACAATTCAAGCAAGGAGACTGTCCAAAAGAGTTGCAGGAGATTCTGAAGTTGTCTGGAGGCTGTGCTTGAAGTCAATGGTGATTTTATTGAATAAATTTACTCTTTAGTATTTCAAGATATTTTTGGTAAATATATATATTAAAATGAGATGTCAGTGTTATTTTCATTTATGTGTTATTTTGGCGATAATTTTTTCATTTATACTTGGTTTAATTTATTCATTTATACTTGGTTGGTTTCTACTAATTTTATCTGGAAAACATTGACTTGGATAATCAAATTTAACATAGTGTATATCAGTGACATTAAAGTAACATTTGCTTACAGGCTGTACTGTCAACATTGAAATGTATGAAAGGTCCTTGAAATAGGGAGGGGAAAAAACTTCCAGAATTTCATGGCAAAAAATAGCTGAGATAGGATGGCAATTATAGCAAAAAATGAAATTGCTCCAATGATTTGGGGTAGATTTTCCAAAGTTTCATTTTGATTATACTCTTCTCCCTCTCTGAAAACAGAAAAAGATTCTGTTGAGTAATGGGATTCACCCCCTGCCCAGGGCATGACCATAAAAGTCACTTATTAGAAGGTATACTTTCAAATAGCATTAAAAAAAAAAAAAGTTGATGTCTTTGCAGCATGACTGAAATGTTTTGAATAAAATTAATAAAAAATATGCAAATTTAAGAAAAAAAATCATAATAAAAGTACATAAGATGTAAATTATATATTATTATATTGTATAAAATTTATATTAAAATGTCATAAAATAAAAATCAGTAGTATTTTTAAATCCTATAAAGCTTTTTTAAAGTTTTGGCTTTTTATTTTTTTATAATCAAGACTATTACTATTGTGTAAAATATAAATTGTGATAATTCTTTTATTTCTTTCTTTCTAGATGTTGTCCACTCCAATTTCTGTGATTAGTAAGTTACTTCAGATTCATGCTTTATTTATTACAAAAGATGCAGGGCAACTCAATCTGGCTACTTGGTGTTTATTGGGAACATCATCATTGGGTGAGCCAAAAATTGGTTTCTAATGTCAAATTGTCTTTTATCTATTTTTCTTTGTTCTTTTCTCAAGCTTCTATTGATAATTTTGTAAATAAATGAACAAGCTTTTTAGAAGACCAGTGTCAAATGTTTAAAAAAATCAAAACCAGAAAAATGTAGACAAAATTTGAAAAAAAGATTTAATGATTAATGTTTGAGATGACAAAATTTATGCTTAAAAGATGGTCATTTTGGAAAACATTCTTTGATGTGATGAATGTTTGATCATTATCAGATGTGGATAATTTTATTAATATGTTTATACCAATCTTTATCAGAACATTGTGAATAGAGATGACTCTCTCACTGTATTTATATAAACACCACTATGAAAAAAAAAGTGTAGTGATATGTAAATGACTGCCTAATTAGTATAGCTAAGGCATAGACTATATAAATGCCCAAGCAGTAAGGATAGAGCAGTTTTCAGTATACAAGATAAATGACTACTGCTGGACTGATAAAATATGAAGGAAATCACACTTTATGACAGAAAGCAAGCAATATTGTTCATATTGGTTTATTTTTGTTCTGTACGAAATTGTCAAATTCATGATGAATAAATACAGAGTATCAAACAATAGAAGAAATAATCTTACACGTGTGTCCTAGTCTTTTGACTTCCAATGTTGTGCATTGAAGTAATGTCAGCCTCTACTGATATAGATGGACCCCCCATTCATTCTTTACAATGTTAAGATGCTCATGAGTACACAGAAATGCTCTATTTTAATAGATGGATCTAACATGGCTTCTTTCATACTCTTATGTTGCTGCAATCCTCAAATAGATGATAGCATTATTAAACCTGACATACAAACAGAAAATGCTTAGTTTATTGGAGTTCTTTCATTTAATTATGAAAAGTTAAGAAAAAAAAAAACTGTCCAAATATAGATTCCAGAACTTGTGTCTATAGCAAATCTTTTCTGTCTTGTGCTCTTTGAAATCCCAAAGCCACTATAAACAAATGACTGAAATTCATCTTGAAAAAAAAAAAAATGAAAGTAGGAAGATGGAAATTGATTCTTTTTCAAACAAGGAAAATGCTTTTTATTACAGTAATCTTTTTCTGAAGAATTTAAAGGAATTGAAAGGCTTTTCTGTGGTGGCATTATTATTTTAATAATAATATTTTAAAGAAAAATATTTACTTATATGTTACACATTTTAAAAAACATTAAGAAAAATGACTTCTAATCATCTTGTATTGAAAGGTGAAGTTGCTTGAATATGCCATGTTCTTTTTTTATTTTAAGTATGTTCACAGTTCCTTTTTATTAATTTTGAGAACCTTTCAACATCATTAACCAAGATATGACCAATTACCAGGTGATTAGGGTCATATTTCAGAGAGATTCTTGCAGATAGTCCCGAGTGTTCCAACTCCAACAGAGATGACTTGAGCTGCTGTTTGATACATTTCTCTAATTTACCCTGCTAGGTCTTTTGCCTTTTATTATTATGCCTCTTGGTTCCTTGGGGAACATAGGGCTACAGCAACACCTCTCCAACAGACACTGTTCCGGGCGATCCTCTTCAGCTCGGCCCATGTTGTGCCATCTGCCTTCACCTCTGCGTCAAGTCTGTTTTGCTTTTGCCTTTACAATGTAACATACCATCTATCAGGATCTATTCATGGCACCTCTCTTGCCTGAGTGTGACGTCAGCGCGATTACTCTCCAAACGCTTGTCAATCTTCAAGAATTTCACTAGCTCATTTTGAATTTTCGTACCACTTCTCTGGAGGCCATATTTCCTTGGATATTCTGTGGACAACTTCATGGTGCTGTCTGTACTATTTTTGTGCCAACAGCATATTTATTATTATTTTGTAAAGTTGAAAATTTCGGTAAAGATGTTGAAATGAGCCAAAATCATGACTGATGAAGTTGGAAATTCTCAAGATGTTAAATGTTCCTTAAATATTCATCAAAATAATCTTATGAAAAATTTTCTTTTTTTTGAATAAATTATTTTTAATGAAATTTTAAAATTAATGTTTTTTTTCTAATATATTTTCAGCTCGACTTTTTACCACTTTGGTTCTGACTGGCGATTTTGTTGTACTTATAAACTTTGGTTGTAGTGTAATCTTGAACTTTTTAATTGCAGCCATGATCATTTATTATAGAAAGGCTGCCAAAAAGAAGGTCTGAGAAATTGTCTTTGGCATTTCTTTGCTCATAATGTATTTGTGCATTTGATACAATCCACATGAGATGTTAAATAAATGGACTCCAAAATGATATAAGCAATGTGTGCCTATGGGTGTTTCAAAGAGGCATCAAGCAAAGATTAAAAAAAAAAAAAAAACTTCATTTTTAAGAAACCCTAGGCAGTTTTTCTCTCTATTATTAATATGGGGTTTTGGGTGAAAAGTTCTTAGACTGATCCACTTCTCAAGCACTTAACCAAAGAACTAAACATTATATTTTTTTTTTTTTTTTGAGAACTTTTCAGTACCTCCCCATATTAGACCGATTTATGAGTCTTGCAAGCAACTTGGTGCAAAAATATTTTCCTTACATAAAAGTTCAGAAAAACTGTCTGAACAAAGAATCAAAATCTTCATAATAATCAAAATTGGTTTGGAAAGAAAGAAAAGAACGAATAGAAATGCTGGTAAAATAAGACAGAAGTAATAAAAAAAAAAAAAAAATTACTGGGTGGAAATGATGGTGGCACTGTTTTCATTGTTTGTCTCTGTCAATTCCAGGTTGATTTGAAGAAGAAAAAATAAAACAGAATTGTGAATTTAATAAATACAATGTTTTGAAATGAAAAGACTACCTCACAATGAAATGCATAATTCCTCTAGCTTTTAACAATGCTTAAAGGCACTAATTTTTGATATGGACATCTTCAACCAGTTGCCATTTCATCCTCCATTGAAAAACTGATGCCATCTGTTGTGTTGTTCATGTAGATCATCAATGGTTAAATTGAGGAATCATATTTGAATCTCTTTAGATTTGAAAATCTTGCATTTTCTTTATGGAATTACACAGAAGTGAAATAATTACAACTAATGTTTTGTATTTTTCTTTTCCTGCTACTTGTACAAGAGTTGAGTTCCAAACTACTTGCAGAGAATAACTTTCCAAATTTGAAGAATGGCATTAAACTTTTCTTTTTCCAGTTATAAAAAAAATAACAAAATAATACAATAAATTTCCTGTTAGTTAGCCATTTTGGAAATATCAGTGGTGAGTGGATTATATAATTCAGGAACTAAGTTTACTTTATTTCATTTAAAACACTTTATTCAAGAGGAATGATTTGGATTGATTGATTTGTTTATTTTTTCTTTTATTTTATTTTTACACCTTATCAACCTGTTGCAGGTTATTTAAAGCCAGAAAATATTTTTAGCTTGTAAGAATGTTTTTGGAGATAGTAATGATTTACTGATACAAATCCTATTAATTGATCCATAGCCGGGGGGTGGGGGGAGAGAAAAAGAAGTGCGTTCATACCTTTCTCAAAGGTATTTGTGTCTAAGTAAATATAATGAGCCTGACTGGAACTCGCCTCTCCAATTAACAATTCTAAACTGTTTACTTACCAGCTTCAGCATTGCTTAACTTTGGCAATCATACAAGAACATGTCTCAACCTGGTATGGCCATAAACCCTTAAGAGGAAGGAGGCTTTGAGGATTGAAAGAGTATTTTTAAAGTGGGAGTTTTACATTCTCATCAACCAAAGTAAAATGAGTTCTATAAAAAAAAAAAAAAAATGAAAAAGAACAAACATTATCATTACAGAAACTGATAATTTTCAAGTAATAGATATTTTTTTAGCAAGAATTGTGGAATCCTCTTTAGTTTTGACAAGAGCAAAAAAAGTCATCACAAAGGTGTAATGTTCAGCCAAAATTTTAAAACAAGTAGAAATGAATATCTGTGATCACTGTATCAGGTGAGGATGAAAAAGTTTAATTTTTTTTTTCTTGCTAAAAGGCCACTGTTGTCCTTTGCATTTGGAAAGGATGTAAATAAATTTCCTACAAATGGACACAAAATTTTTTTACAATTCTTTATATGCAAAGAAACTTATTTTTTTTACAATTTTATTTTCACAAAATAAACAATACAAAGTTTGAGTTTTTTTATTTTTGTTTTTCATAAAAGTAATAGATTTGAATATCACTTACAGGTAACGGATGGAATTGGTGAAAATAAACATTAAAACAAATCAGTCCTTATTTACATTATTCAGACTATTGTCCTCATAGTCGCCATATTTATTACATTTCAGCCGTTGTATGCTCTGGCCTTCTTCAGGTGGTTGGAATGTCGAACTGAACCCTTTATCCACTGTGTCATGTCCTCAAGGACATATGGCACAGTGGATAAATGCGTTAGTTAGATCCAGTGACAGGACCTAAAGAGTGTGAGTTCAATACCCGGTTAAGGCAGTGGAGAACTTTCAGAGGGAAATTAACTGACATCCATTAAACATGGCACACGGAACTAGAACAGTCTACCCCAGTGAATGAAATAGGGTTCAGTTCGGCATTCCAACCATCTGAAGAAGGCAGGAGCATACAACGGCCGAAACATTGTAATGTGGCGACAAAGATGAGGACAATAGTCTGAATAATGTAAATAACATGTCTTCATTGACCAGAAGAAGGTTGAAAAGACATAGTTCCATGAGCAATTGTAATGACCTTTAACTCCAAAGTGAAATACTAGATTGAAAACATAAAAGCATTCAACCTGCCGAGCCGTGTATGAAACAGCAGGGCATTTTCCTTTGGAATCAGGTTCTATAATTGAAACATGACAGGATATGCTATAGCTGCAAAACTTGACAGTTAAAAATCATGTAAGAGACAAAACTGGATGACCGAGACTAGAGGCTTGTGTAAAAATACTGGACATAAAGTGGGATGATTGAAATGAAGAAGTCGGGGAAAGATCGCAGTAGATCCTTGTTTTAACCTTCATTTGCAGATGGCGTCACTGATGGCTGGGGAAGGTCTTGAGGTTTCCTCCAATAAATGGACATCAACAGGCTAGAGGAAAGGGTATCTCAAGATGATTTGGTAACAGACAGTAGAAATGGGTTTCCAAATGGTCAACAGAAGATGACACTAGAAGAAGAGTGCTTCATGCAACTGAGCAAGAATTCACATATGCATAAATTGCTTTCCAATTCTCAGAAACCTGTTATTAAAGGTACAACTTTGGTTACTTTACATGCATATAAAATGCCATCAAGCTTGAAGTCTATATTGATTTGAACTATTATTCTCAAGTCTGAGTTAATGCATTCTTCAGCCTTCCTTTGGTCTGTAGTGTGTCTGCTTGTCTTTTTTCATGGTTCATTCTCAATCTGAGCTTTAAAAACACTGTGTCCAACCAAGTGTTGCCACTTGGAAAAAAAAGAGGTTTTCATTTTGATTTCAAAGTGAAAGTAACAAAGTTTCACTTTCTTGTTATAGTTAAATTTAGACATGAAATTCAAGTTAAAGAACAAAAGAAAATGTTTACTGTAACAAGACTAATTTAACTAATCAGATTCTAGGAAAATCTCTTGCAAAATTCACCAAAAATATTTCATTGATTAAATAAAATCTTCAGCAAGAGGGACATCATTTTGCTTCTTTTTTTTTTTTTTTAATAAAAAAAAAAAAAATCAAAACAAATTTTAAAAATAAAATTGTTTATTATCCAAGAATACATATTTGTATTTGACCAAATGAACATTTTTCAGCCTTGAAATTTTATTAAAATACTTGAGTATTAAATAATAATAAAAATATTTCTGTATGGACGGAACATTTTTTAAGGAAAAATATAAAATTGTCCAGATTTAATAAATTTCCTGTTTGAAAGTGGAAGTAAAACCCGATTAATATGGTGTGGCTCTGGAAGAAGAAGAAGAAGAAATTAGAATTCTATAACAAAGAAATTATTGTTACCTAAGAATGTTTATATTTAGGAAAAAGTAAAATACTTAAGAGGATTAATATTTTCCTTTGCACATAATTTTGTCTTGTCAAAATCATTTCTATTTTTTAGAATAGCAACAACCAGAATCTTTCTGGACAAGAGAACTAAGCTTAGGCTTTAAGGCTCAGTTAACTAGATTAAAATTTTGTATTAAAAAATGTGATTATCACCTGAAAAAAAATATAGATTTTTATAGGAGATTTTGCTTCAAGGTGGTATCTAACATTATTAGCCATTTTTTTTTTTCACAATATAAACTAAATGCTTATTGGAATCTGATTGAGTGGTTAAGATGAAGGCTGGTTTATTGTACACAAATGTAAACATATAGAAAACATATACATGAAATGTTTTAAATTAACAGTGACATTGTGAGTTTGAAGCTTTAAAATGGCTGACAGTTAAAGAGAAATTGCAAACATGATTGGCAGGTACAACCAAATTTGTTGATCCTGAAAAAAAACACTGATAAAAACAAGTTGAGGATTTTTATCAAGAGAGAAGTCATAAAAACAAAATATCTTTATGCACTATGGCAACAAGAAAGTGTAAAAACAAAAAAAAAGTACAAAAATTTTAGATTGCTAAATAAAGTGACAAAAAGTGAGACCAGTGACAAGACTCCCTTTAAAAGATATCCATAAAGAAAAAATCAGATTACATGAAGATCAATTTCTCAATTATTTTTTTTTTCTGAAAAATGACATGCTACCCACAATAGAAAAGGCTAGGTGGCACCTAACAAAACACCACTGTCACAAGATGGGATTATTGGGAGTTTCAGATGATAACATGACAAAAAAAAAAAACAAATAAATGCAAGACAATTTTTATGTAAATTAATTCTCCATCATGTTCAGTGAAGAAAATAAAATGCACTTTAAAGACACTTGTTTGATGATGTGGCAGGTTTTTTCTCCCAAACGCAACTGGCTAACAGTAATAATTTGCACAGACAAACTTTGAAATTTTATTCTGGATGCTGTGCAATTTGTTTCATTTGAAGAAATGAAACAGTTCACAAAATCAATGGATGTATGACTTCTAAAATTAGCTTCAGAACATGGAGCATAGATTCATTTGATATTGTCTTCATCATAACAATGAAGGTGTATTCAATTGGGGGGGGGGGGGGCCTCAAAACATTTGCATTTGTAAACTTTGTCCAAAATTCTTCAATTATAATTTCTAATTACAATTTTTCTGAGGATGAAGGAGAGGAGTCTGATCATATTAAATTGTTGTCGAAAAGAATGATATGTAATCTATAATTATGCATATGTAAAGTGTCTTGCACATTACTAATGCAAATATTTCCATGAATCCTTTCATTAGTTCTCTTACAATTAGAGTTGAAGTGAAAAATGAAATGCAATGTATAAAAAACAAAATAACATCAAAAGAGTTCAACTTTTTTTAACATGAAAATTACTAAAAGGAAAAAATTAGAATCCAAATTGAAAATATATGTAACAGCTCAAGCTTAAATATTTTTCTTTCAAGTAGCTAGAAAATTTAAATCTAAAATTGTTCAATTGCCAGTAATTTATAATCGACTGATGAGATGCATTTGATACACATCGAACCCGACTGCAATTGTGTAGTGATTTTGACGTTTTCCCTGTAATACCCTAAAATAAATAATATTGCTCGACTTTGTATAGATGATCCCTTTAAAATTAAATGTTAGGAAGATTGGAATTGTACTCTATTTGTTCTCATCTTACTTGGATGGATGGAGATATATAGGATTGGCCAAAACATTTGCTTGCTTATTAAGAAGAATATTTACTTAATAAACTGAACAAATATATATATATATATATATATATATATATATATATATATTCCAGTTAAATAGAATATTATTTATAAGGAATAGTTGCTTATTTGGACAAATTGTGATATTATATATTAATTCAATTTAAATAGAAAACAGAGAACCTTAAAGGTCTGTTGGTTATAATCTATTTCCCTAGGTATATGATTTTTACCTGGTTCATCAGACTGCACTTTCAAGGGTGAAAAAATGTTTTAAATTTACATATAGTTCTTACACACTGTTGAGGGGTAGTTTTAAGTTGATGTAAGGTGATATAGAGAGAGGGGAAGGACGAGTATGACACACATGGTTGAAATTAGAGAGGGAAGGGAAAGATAGGAATTAATAATTGCTCTGATTTGACATTGAGCTCGCTGGATTACATCCTCCTTGGAATTATCCATATGGATTACCCAACTTTTCATTTCTTATATATATTATGAACACAAAATGTATGTAAAAGAAGCCATGGTTGAAACCTGGGTTGTACAGAAAGTGTAAAATATTTTCATCTTTTTATAGTATATATGTTTACCATTTAACCTCGCTTTGAGTATTGCTGCCACATTTGGTCTGGTGGTCCTGCTATATATTTAGAAAATTTTGATAAAATCCAAAGAATAATTTGCACTGTTATTGATCCTAACCTGGCATCTCAGTTTCAGTCACTTTCTTACTGCTGTAATGTGTCTTCCATGTGTCTTTTCTATAAGTACTTTCATGATAATGATGAATTTTCTTCTATGGTACTTAAATTATGAATGTAAGCACAGTACTAGATTGGTAGCAAGGTTTCATCATTATACAGTTGAAATGACTAAATGTAACTGTAAATTCCATGCTAACAGTTTCTTCTATCAGACTTCTTGCTTATGGAAATCTCTTGATTTCCAGTCAACTTTGATCTTCAAAAATTTAAATGTAATGTCAATCATTATCTTCTGTCATCTTTTATTGTCCTCTTTCTTTAATAGTAGTTTTTCTCATATTCTGTAACACTCAGTAACCTCTTGTATCCTAGTGGTTTTACTGCCTTGCTTGGGGTGAAATGATTTAAAAAAGACAGAATCAAGTGTATGTAAAATTTTATGCAAATCTGTTTGAAAAGAATGACCACTTATAGAAGCAAAAAGTATATTTGTGTGCATTCAAGTCAAGATAGTGCAGAGTTGCGTCCCTTCATTTGATAAAATCTTCAGCAAATTCTGTGATAAATTTGATAATGGTAGATCAAAAAGATTTGGACTAAGAGAAAGTTTAACTCAACAAAAATATATTCAGAACAAGTTTTTACCAACGTCTCTATCCATCAAAATATCTCAGATTTTAATAAAACTTTATTCATGTGTATGTAAATTTTGCTTAAGCAAAAATTCGATCATTTCTTGTGAAATTTGAAGAGATTAGCAAAATGTACCAATGATTTGGTGACAAAAAACACATCAACTTACAATGACTTGGTTGGAGTTGATACTGGACAAGTTTGTATTTTGACAAACTATAGATTTCTCTCTCTCTTTTTTAAAGAAGGTAGGTGAATGCGGTAAAGTTCTTAAGATTATGAAGAAGTTATTCTCAAAATAAAATTTTGATGTTTAGTTATTTGGTCAGGTTTTAGGAAGTAGACTAGGCTGATAATTCTTCAGCATTCCCCACCCACCCTTATATAATCTTATTTTCACAAAGAACTCATGCTTGATACTGATACTTCCTCCAATGATTAATTACAAAGGCTCTTTAGGGAAGCAGGTTCGACTCTAGGGTGTTCTAGGTTCAAGATTAATGAATCAACTGTTGAGGTTTAAGAAAAAAACAAAAAAAAACAAAAAAAAACACAAAAAGGCATCATTTGAAAGGTTGATATAACTTGGGCAATATTCATTATCTAACTAATTGATTCTCATCTACTTACCTTGCAAAAGTTATCACTGACAGGATGGCAAATATAAGCTCTAAGCTGATGAAGGTGGTCTGGATTGATGCAAGAATAAGTTCAATGCGTAGAACATAAGTCTGCCAAAAGGCTATGTACAAAACACCTATTAAAGATGGAATGCTCAAAAAGATACTTGCACTCATACTACTGATGCGTTCAGTGAGATTGCCTTTTTTGCCTAAAAGTACCAAGAGAAAGAAATTTTATTCATTTTGGAATTAGTCAAATGAATGAAATTTTGGATAAATCAAAAGAAAAAAAAAGAAAAGTTCCTACTTGCTTAGAAAAAAAAACATTTTCACAAAAAAATGATTAAAAATTGTCAAGCCCAAAGTATTTCATTATTAATTTTATTACAATTTTTTTCCAATATATAAAATTTAGCATTTTATGCATTTAAATTGTCTTGAATTAAGTGAAATCAAATCTTATCACATGTTTCTGATAAAAAGAAAGTAATGTCTAAATTAACAAAATTAAATATTTGATAGAGTTAAAGTGAAAGCCTAAATTAAGAAAGAGATCATTTTAAAAAGTTTTCATACTATGAAATAATTTTAAAAAATGAAACAAATAAAAGAAAGTGACCCTAAAGATGCTAAAATTTGCAATATTTGTTTCAGTTTTGTTTCATGAACCTTTAAAGTGTCAAACAATAGAAATGCATGTCATACTTTTTTTTTGAAAATTGGTAAAAATTATTCCAGTCCAAGTTTCAGAAGATAAAAAATATTGAAAGGAATTTACAGAAAATACGATTTTATAGGAAACTTGGCAAAATAATTAAGTTCAGATTTGAAAAAATTCTCATTATTAAAAGAAAGAGCATTGGAAATGGTTACAATAATTATTTGGATTTATTTTTTTAAATAGAACTATTTTCAGTTACTTATGGCTTTGAAGATTTTTGTGAAATTTCTTTCATTGAAAGAATTTATTGCACATGCAAATTAGTTTTGCCTTTGTTAAAATTTACTGCAGCTGGAAAAAAAAAAAGACTCGACTGGAGAATTTTTCAGATAAAGTAATCATGTACTCACCAAAGAAGATGCGAAAAAATTCCAGCAGAAGCAAAATAAAGATTAAAACAATTTCTATTGGAAGAATTTGAGGAGCAAAAGGCAATGTTTGACCTGCAAAGATAAAGAGTTTGAAAATGAAAAAGAAAAATATTGATTTTGTGGAACTGAAAATTTACAATTTCATCTTTTTGTGAATTACACATAAAACATCTTCAAATGAAGATGAGGGGAAAGACAAGGATATCTCTTAGCATTTTTCAATTTTCAAAAATATGATATTTAAACAACTGGAGAATTTTTTTGGAATATTTCATTAGATTACAGAAGTTTGGCATACAAATCCAGAATCATCTTAAACTGAATGAAACAAAATGGTTGCAATTGTTGAACAGCAATCATTTCATGTGTTGTAGGAGTGTGACACTGAAGCCATGAAGTGATTAAATGTTAATTCTGAACAGCAAAGGGTTAAACCCAAAATGTAAGCTGGAAGATAGATAGTGAAGAAGTTTTCCTTGGTGAGAATGGGACTGTCTGGATTTGTCTTCTAAAGTTTAATTTTTTTTTTTTTTTTGTTATCTATCGAGAGTCTGGCATGCTGAGAAAACAGATTTGGAGAAATGGTTTTATCTCTTCCTTGAGGAATTAAGAAAATACATATCATTAACAAGAAGAGAGACAAGTGGGGCTTATATTTTTGTTGACAAAAACAAATTGGGAAACTTAAACAAAGAATGAACGTGTTGTGAGGGTCAAAGTTATGAAGAACAATCCTGTTGTTGACAAGTGGGTGATCTGGTTTATATTTTTGCTAAACAGAGATCAATACAGGAATAGAGAAATAATTTTATTTTTTCCTTGAGAATTTAGGCAAACAAAATCATTAATGAGAAGAGAGACAGACGGGACTTGTATTTTTGTTGATGAAAATAAATTGAGAAATGTAAAGAAGGAATGAACACTTTTGAGGGTTGAATTTGTGAAAACTGATCCTGTAGTTGCCGAGTAGGTGATCTGGTTTATGTTTTCAGTAGACATAAATAAGTTCAAGAATGGAGAAATAATTTTATCACTTCCTTGAGGAAATGAAAATTAAAATTAATGACTAGAATAAACTACGCCCTTTTGCAGTGGTTAAAGGGTTATAGTATGAGTGGTAACAATAATATGATTCAGATAAACATTTTAGAAACATACTGTTGAGAGAGAGAGAGGAAATAATTTTTTTATCAGAAATATTAGGAAATAAGAGAAAAATTATTTTAACCAAGGTTTTTCTCTTTGTTTCATCTAAACATTTTCAAAAAGAAAGGTGTGTGGCAGGGAGTGCATTTTGTCACTTTTTAGAGAAGACAAACAAGAAATGTTCGTTTTTGTAGCCAACAACAAACAAAATATTATTATGCATTATAATTAAAAGATATAGAAGAGAAAAGAGACACCAGAAATTTTAAAATTTCTACATTTTCAGCATTTCCCCTTGGTGCATAATTATAATTAACGTTTACATTTAATATATATATATATATATATATATATATATATATATATATATAATTCCATCATTAAGAACATTATTTTAGTCTGATGAAGTTCATTTAGAGAACAAAACATATTATATAGAATTGTTTTCCACTTTGTCATTCAACAACCTAACATTGTTCTGATATACAGAAATTTATATATCATATTTTTGCACAGCGGAGTAATGGATTGCAGCTTGGATTGAAGAATTGGAGAGTGATTTACAGTCAAGTTTGTTATATTCACTTACGTGCAAATGCCCTTGGGAAATGTATGAATCTACCCTCTGTTATGGATAAATAGCAAGACAGTTCTATAGCCTTGGGTGATAATCGGTCTAGAAGAACAACTCTGAATTCAAAACCTCCCAGTATGGGTTAAATAACCTCACCAACCCACAATTGACCAAGTGTGGTGAGTATGGCTACCCTCCTGAAGACATGGTCAATCAGGGAGGGGTTCTTGCAAGAGGAGTGAGAAGCCTTTAGATCTTGATCTGAAAGCTTTCATTCCTGGTACCATTCTTGCACAGAAAAGAGAGTAAAAATTTCAATGAACCTCCACTGAAACCTGAAGTTAGGTTTCTCATATTAGCAATTTTTTGTGATTCATTTCCAAAGAAAATTGCTTTGTCTTTCAGATTCATTTCTGTGGTTTTTGTAGAAAAGTCAACAATTTAAAGGGGTTGTTTCTTATCAAAGAGAATTTGGTGAAAATCAGACATGAATTTAGGCACCAAAATAATAGCTTAGTTAACCTTGCAAACATTTTTCTGGCTAACAAGATACATTCAATAAAACATTCTTTCATTTGTTTTAAGTTTTACAAATGAAGACTGACTCATCAAATATGGTCTTTTACAGAGTCATAAAATTACAAAATTAATTTTTTGTCAAATTCATTTTTATTGGTGACAATGGGAAATATGACAAAAGCAACCTTGAGAAAGTCATTTCCAATTTAGGATGAAATTAATAAAAAAAAAATTCCAGCATAGTCTGAAGCAAGTACTAATGGAATTGGCCATGTGAAAAAAAAAAAAAAAAAAAAAAAAGAAACTGATGTTGTAAGCATCTCCAAGGACCAAACTAACAATGGCAGTCTTACCTTTGAAAATATATAGGAGTAATTCAGCCAGAAAAAAGAGGCCAAAATACCACTGGTTCAAGTAAAGGAGGATCTGATAAGGCAGTGATGATCGCTGATTGTTCAATTAAGGAAACAGAAACAAAATGAAAAGTTTATTCAATAAAAAATGTAAAAAAAAAAACAAAAAAAACAAAAAAATACTGGTATATACCATTAAGTAATTGTCAAATGGTCATGATTTTATTCATTTGGAGGAGAGGATAACACTTACCTAGAAAGTCAAAAGAGGAGATGCATTTATGAGAATTAGAGTGTAAAGAAGTTTATGCTTTTACCAAGGATACAAAATAGTCACAAATTAGAGTTTAAAGAGATTCTAAATGCAGCTATCTCCACTTCCCTACCATCCACAAGGTTAAAATGCTGCTTTTATCTTCTAGGATATGAAAAAAAAAAAAAGGAAAGAATTGTGTGGGATGGTGGCATAATGGATATAAGAATTGGTTATACATATGTCACTGGTCAGGAGTTTAATCCTTGAATCAGCATTAATTCAGCAGGAATGAATAATAACTGACATTACAGAGACAAAATATGACAATAATCAATAGTTATCCCATATCACAATCAATAGATATCCCATATCACCTGATGATAACCAAAGGGTAATAAGTCAAAATGTGGTGTCTGTAATAACATCTATTAACAAAAATGATAGTTGAAAATAATACAAGAATATTGACAATTATTCATCTCAGAAATTAAATACCAAGTTAAATTTGATTCAGTTTATATTTTGGGGTTAATGAACAAATTTTTACTGTATAATGTAACATAACTTTCGTAGCTATAGTTTGGATGTCTGCATTTAGTTGTGTGGAGTCTCTCTTTTGATCAGTAAAGCAGAATCACTAACTAATCTGTTATCTATTAGAGATGCGATGTTTTGACGATATATGTCATAACTTTTGAATGAAAGTTTTTCTGTTTCTTTAACTAGCATTTCTTGCAGACAGATGACATTGGTGATCTGCTAGTAGGCATTTGATTTCTTTAGTTTTAATGCTGCTGCAGTTTCATTGCACTATATTGCAGCTCCCTTCCTGATTGTCATTTTAGTCCTTAACAGAAATACAGGGTGCGATGGATAAATTATCGTCTAAATTATGCAAAAAGAGAAAATAACACTGACATCTCATTTTAACAGATATATTTACCAAAATTACAAAAAAAAAATTATCTTGAAATGCTAAAGAGTAAATTTATTTAATAAAATTGCCATTGACTTCAACCACCGACTCCAGATGACTTTGGAATCTCCTGCAACTCTTCTGGATGGCCTCCTTATTTAAGTTGGTGAATGCTGCCATAATCCTTATCTTCATTTCATTTTTGGTGTTACAAAGAATTTTGCTGGTCTCTTGTTCAACTGCGCCCCACATATAATAATCAAGGGAGTTGCAGTCTGGAGAGTTAGGTGGCCAGATGTATGAGGTGATGTGGTTGCAGAAATTGTTTGACAGCCATGACTGGGTTCTCCTGCTTGTGTGGCATGGTGCAGAGTCCTGTTGCCAAACATAGGGTCTTCCAGCAGCCACCCTCTTGACCCAGGGCAGCACTACCTCCTCAAGGCACTTTATGTAGGCTTCCATGTTAAGTCTGAGGCCCTTACCAACAAATTTAAGAGTTCTTTTCTTAACAGAGTGAGTTTTTTGAACTGCCATACCTTCATAATCACCATTAGACTCATCCAACTCTTTCCAAATCCTCTTCACTGTCCTCAGATTGATACCCAAACATTCTAAAATGTTCATATTGGAGCTTTCAGAGTGAATACCAAGCAGTGCAGCATGTTGTTTCCAAATTTCTTGTAGAGTGAATTGTTATGGTGCTCTTTTTCTCACAGACGGTGCAGTCAACAAAATCAAAAACAAACAATGCACATATGTGAAATTAAAAATATAAAATGGCGACAATTTACCCATCGCACCCTGTAGAGTTGGTAGACTCTTGCTTAGGTCACTTGGCTGCTGATTTGGCTTTGTTCTTTCTCTTTAAGTGTTTATCTGTATCAATAGGAGAGGTGTGCTTTCCCAGGATATCTCTGGAGACTTCTTCTGCAAGAAGACTAGCCAGCATTTAAAATTGTGGATTGCATGTCATCTGTTTGGTCTTGATTATTGTTCTCCATCATTTGTCAGGAGAATACAGCAATGCTATATATAGTTTTACCTCTGAAACTGATTGACCCTCAGCCACTACTTTTAGATATACATACATTTTATTTATTGAGAGTGAAAGAGAATGAGGAGAAAGGACACTAAAAGAACATATTTCAAGAAGACAGAAGATAATGATTCATATTGCATTTAAATTTTTTGAAGATAGTAAATGGCAGGAAAACAAGAAATCAGAAGAGAGTTCCACAAGTGAGAAGTGTGAGAAAAGAAACTATTAGAATAGAACTTATGATTACATCTAGTGATTTCAACAGTAAAACTATGAGACCTAGTAGCTAATCTAGTAGTAGATTTAAATTCATACAGTCAAGGTACCAAGAAGAAAAGCTCATTAGAACAAGTGCCATAAAAATATTTATAGAAATGATAGATAAAAGACATGACACAGTGGTGGGAAAGTGACAGATGTTGAGAAGCCAAGTCATGATCGATAACATTGCAGACCTTTCTTTGGATTTTGTAAAAATTCTTGAGATATATAATGGGAACACCAGGCCAGATATGGCAGCAATATTCAATACATGGATGAATGGTAGATTTATAAATGTGCAAGATGGATCATGATGAGAAAAAGTTTCTAGTATGACACAGAAAACCAACTTTCCTAACAGCAGATATAGCAATTGATCCAATATAATCACTTCACGTCAATGGAAAACATGAAACCAAGAAAGTGCAATGAGTTGCTCTCCTGGAGGTTAGCATTGGATATACTGATGGAAAAGAAAAATGGTTCACTATGATGATTAAAAGAAAGCAGTTTCATTTTGGAGATATTAAAAGTATAAGTCATTTCTTTCTTTAGTTAACAATTGATTGGAGTTCATTTTCAAGAGCAGCTACCAGTTTTAATCGGTTGAACCTAATGAGTTTATTATTAAAAGAGGCGTAAATAGTAGTGTCATCAGCATAAATACCTTGTTGGGAAGTGATGATATTAGGAAGGTTGTTGAAGAAGATAAGAAACAATAAAAAAAAATAGAGCCCTGAGATAGAGACGCACATTAATGTGAAAGGATCTAGGAGCATGGCTTTCATTACACGATTGGTTAAGAACAATTCGATTAAATCAAATATTTGGCCAGAGGCACCACAGCCCATGAGCTTGTAAAGAAGGCCAATATTCTAAACACTTTCAAGATATCAAAAGCCATGGCCCAAGCCTTGCCATTTTCATCTAAAGATTGATAGACAAATTCAGAGGAGCAAAGTGTTATAAGTTTGTGATAGATAGCTATTCTCCCTTCCAAAATGAGCAAAGTTAGTTTATAATTCTACACACACAAGTTTTGACATAACCAGCCAGTTGATCAGACTAGGTTTCTTTAACTATCCAGTAAGCATTGTGATGAATCATATTAATCTACTTAATCTTCAGAATCCCAAACCAGCCACCAGAATCTCACCACCCATACCAAACAGTTTTCCTCCTTTTGTTTGGTGTGGAGGGAGGTCTTACCCTTCTGCAGAAGATATAATTGGCATATTCTTGGTCCTGCTGACAGGGTGGCAAAGGAATGGGAACAACCTATTTTTAGTAGTGGATCAAATGCAACAACAAGAACATTTGTCTTAAAAGAATCTGTAACACAAGAGAAAATGGCTTACCTCCTGGTAGAAAATGGATTCAGATGTGCCTTGCATGTAAAGTATCCCAAAAAAGAAAATGGTGGCTTTATGAGTCATATATTTAAAAAAAACAATAGATCTTGGAGTCAGATGATTTTGAGAGACACTTTTTTGCATCTATGCAAATTTGATCTCACACTCAAGCTACAAAAAGTGCTTGATGATGCTACAGAGCAGTGTGATTGTGGTAGTGAATAGGAGACATGTGTTGTATTGTTTGACTAACGCTACGCTGTTTGAGGGGAAAGAAAAGTATTAGGGAACTTTATTCCAAGCCTAAAGAAACTGACCACAGAATCCTTCTGGAAAAGGAAGAACATCTTAAACCCAGACAAGGAGATGATTAAGACATAAAACTAAGTGGAAATTGGGCAGCAAGTTCATGTAGACTTCACTAAAATACCTGAGACTTTCAATACAATTCCCTGTAAGGAAAGAGAAAACTACATTACCTTAACTGTAGAATTTCATGATAGATTTTGCTATGTTCATATTTAGGCAATCAAATGGCCTTGTGAACAAGCCTAAAGGAAGTTTCATATTTATACATATAATTCAAGGTGATATAGGTGTTACATGAGATTATTTTCTTTTAACATGTTGAATTATGGCAATATTTTTGTGATTTACCTCAGTTCTTTGTAACAAAGCTTGTAAGGTGACAACAATTCCCTTTGCTAATGAGAAATTCTAAAAGTATATCAACATAAAAAGATGAAAGAAACACAAATTTCATATTCATAAGATGATTTCACATAAACGGGCTTTTATTCTTACCTTTGTTTCCCCAACTCCACTTTTTATTTTTGTTCAGTGTTTATATGGGAAAATTAAATTCTTTTCATTACAAAAGTAAATTTATTGAATAACCATGAAAGCTTTCAAGAATTCATGATATTCACTAACCAATTCCAATTAACATAAACATTCACAGGAAAGAGAGAAAATTCTTTGGATTTTCTTTTTCACAGGCTCGGGATAAAAAAAAAAATGAGGAAAAAATTTGCTGCAAAACAAGATGAAATGAGTTGTAAAAAGATGCAATCTATTCTTGAGTTGATTTATTCAAACTGAAATAAAAATGAAGTTCAATTTTTATTTCTGTTAGTCAAAATTATTCAAGTCTTATAGTGTGGAAGATTTTTGTAGAGAATATATTGGGGGGGAAAAAGGATACAACAATTTGAACTGGACCTGCAAAGACAAGAAACACAAGATAATGAAATCATTAAGAAAATATATACATTAGTTACACATAAAATAATTTCAACAAATAATTATCAATACAATTTATACATAATTTAAGGTTCTTCTTCATGTGCTGTGTCCCCTCAAGATGTAAGCGATCATAGCTCTCCACTACTTCCTGTCCTCAGTAGCTCTTAATAAATTTTGTCTTTTTGTTATTTCACCTAAACTGTTAAACACTTCCTAGATATTTAAATTATTGTACTTTAGTATCTCCAATTTGGGCTCATCTTTTGCTAACAACCATGCATTCTGTGACTGAATTTATTAAAAACACTGATTTGCCATCAGGTATTCAAGAGAGTTGTTTTTTTTCTTTAAAAGGTGTCACTCTTAAAAAAATAACTTCTCTTGAATACCTTATGACAAATCAGGTTACTGAATTTATTAAAAACACTAATTATTCTAGTGTTTATAGAGTCATCTTGATAGAAAAGTTCTTGAAATACATAAAACTACATTCTCTATATTTTTTTCTCCAGACTAAAAGACATTTTTTCAAAAATGATATTATCAAGCATGGGAATTAATGGAAGAAAGTTATTGAACCTATATTAATTAAATCATTCTCATTAAATATGAATTTTTGGTATTTTTTCTGGCACTAAATTCAAACATTACTTTGTAGTGATTTGATATTTGTTATATAAGTGAAAAAATTGATGAAAGGAATTTGTCTCATGACTAAAATTGCTGAGAGTTTGTAAATCTTTTGACAGTATTTCTAGCATTCTATAAATTCATACAGCTGCTGCAACAATGACAGCAGTGTCTCCAACAAAACCCTTATCAGATTATGCTTTCGGGGCCATGCTATAATTACCAGTAATCCAGGGTCCCTGAGCAGTATCACACAATATCACCAGGCTTTGTTGGTTCTCTGACATATTATGGGAGTCCCAGATACAATCTCTACTCCAGTCTTGTAACCTATCTCCTTTGATATCAACCAGAGATTGGTTAAATATATCAAGGCTGAAGTGAGAATGACACATTAGCATCAAAGTGCAAAAAGATAAGCATTAGTCATAAATTCAATATTTCTATAAACAAATAAAATCAAAGGGATAGTTTATATAATTAATGAAAAAGGAAAACACGCTGCTGATGGATAACCAAAAAGCAGTAGAATAAGTGGGCCCAGGTCCCCATGTTCCCCCACCATATCTGCTGAATATGTAATGAGTTCTGTGTTCAACTTGACTGAATTTCTGCTAAACCTACTGCTGAGACCCCCTTAGGACAATCCTACTAAGTTACAGAGATGTAACTGTGAAGACACACATGGACAATCTCCAAATTAGAGGCATTCAATCAACATCATCTACACCCTTGTGATCCAGGTAGCCTGCTTGCTTATCTCACAAAATGACCTGAACCATTTGTGTTTGCCCTTCATGTGAGGAATGACTTAGCCTTTTGTGTTTATACCCTAAGTAGACAGAAATGCAAAAGGCAACAGTCTGAGTCCACATAGCCTCTCATAGTCACAATTAACTAAAATATTAAACAAAGAAATAAACATCAACAAATTAATAAATACCTGTCCCTACCACAAGATAACACCTTCAAATTTCAAAACATCTTTTCCTAAAGCAAAACAATACATGTCTAATATTCATGGCTCAAATGCATTACCAGCCATCTTCTTCCCTGACAGAAATCAGTATGACTTCCACTAAACAGTACAAAAACATAATTTTACAATTGAAAAATAGCTATCTAAATATTTCTGGGTGAAACCAATAAAATCTATGGCCAACCAGCTAACTGATAAGTGAATTCTGCCACCACTGTTTACTTAGTACGGTAAATAAATATAGTGTCATGCACTTCTTTTGCAGAATTTATTATAATTTTGGTAATAGAAAAAGCTTTATTAGCAGCTTCAGACCATAGCTTTGTAGACTCTGGCATAATCTTTATTATATTACTGCATATAATTTCTCTAGAATTATCTTTCGATTGATTAAACTTCACCTTTCCTGTACAATGCCAGGCTGACTGATAGATTTAACATTTTATTGATCAAGAGAATCCACTTATTCATTGCTGAGTGGATCATGGCATTCAGGAAGCAAATTTTTAATTTGATAGTTTATATAATTGTGTTTATAATTTGAGAACAATCAACATATTCAATAATTTCTCTTTTTCAAGCATTTCAACTGAAATAGCAAAACCTTAATATGTTCATCTTGCCTGGTTTTCTAAATAAAGTAAATGTAAACTTCAGCTCCAACACAAAACTCCAACTCGTCACTTCATTGCAATACTGTGATGGCCTCCATATTGAGAGCAATTCCTTACAATTGAGAAAAAGCCAGAATTATATAGCTCTCTCAGTTCCAGACCCATGCTGGCTGTTGGCTAATACCTACCCAGTATCATTCATATGCAAATTTTGTTAGCACCCCCTTACTTGAAGTAGAATGTCCTCCCTCAACAGCCAATTGTAGAAGAGGACATAACCCTTGGTGTTTATTGCACCATATGCAAACAATTCTTTGTTAAACTTTAAAATCAAGCATTTATAATTTTTTAAGATTTAGAAATGCTCAAATATTGGTCACATTTCATTCTTAAAATAATTGTAGATGGGATTGCTTTTAACATTTGAAATTAGTGTTTTATGTAGATATTTAAATGGTTTCAAATTGTGCTAAGAGAATTGCTACAAAGCATTACACTATCCAATGTCCCATGTGATTTGATAAAGGTTTATTGAAAGAATGCCCAACTAGTGTTGGCAAAAGTTGTCTTATTATTCAAAAAAAGAAAAAGAATTTATTTAACAACAGCTGCAGTAAAAAGAAATCCAAATGAATGCAGTATCAAGTGTGACAAGTAATAGTAGGCAGGTTAGATTTAAAGCTCCATCAAATTCTCTATTCAGAATTGTCCCATGAGTCAATAGTCTAGTGGAATAAAGTGTTGGTTTAAGTATTTGGTGAGATAGTAATTGTGAATTCAAACCTGGGTCAGGCAATGCATACTGGACTCAATGGAAATGGGGGTGAGCAATAATTGAGCAGTACTAAATAAGAACTAGATGAAATATCCCTAGAGATGGGCAGTGAAATGTGAATAGTCTAATCCCATGGATTGAATAGAGGATTCAGTTTTAAATTCCCTGGTAGGTTATGTGGATAAACAAGCACCTGAAGAAAGCCAGAATACACAACAGCCAAACAATAACAAAGCAAGAAATAGATTGATGGATTGTTTTGTTTAGTGTCATATCAACTTCTTATGGGTCATTTAATGCTGAAATTTATTTTCTTGGGAGCTTTGAAATAGCAAAAATATGTTACTCCGTTTTCACAACTGAATACATGGTAGATGATACTCATCTTTTGTGCATATACATGTTTGTGTGAACATAATTACTACAGGTGGTTATATCTGTGTTTTACGTTGTAGTTTTGTTGAAGTTATATTTTGGAATACAGTTTGATTTAAGAAATTGTAGAGTAATATATGGATTAATTCCATGAAAGAGTTCTTTCATGTTCATTGATGTATTGTTGGTAATTTTACTATAAATAGATATTGTTATTTTTTTTGTTGTATATATGAAATGTATTACTGGTATTTTTATACTTTTATATGTTTATTTTGTTTCTGTTTTGGGGAGTTCATTATTTGCCCATAGCTGGGACCCTAACAGGTGCTACCCCTCTGGGTTAGAGTGGGCCTGGGAACAACAGCAATTAAGAGGTGGTTCCACTCTCCTCAAAACCTCCAATCTCCTGATCAGAGGCTTTGCAGCTGGATGTAGTTTATAGTAAATTCAGATAGAAATAATTTGTATCACACATTGTACTACTATTGCTTTTGCAAACATCATAAAAGCAATAGTATGTGGTATAGGAACTAAGAGAGAGAGAGATCCCCCCCCCAAAAAAAAACAAATCTTTGAGTGGGCTAATTTCAAATCCAACAGATGTTTAAACAAAAAACAACACTTTCTGGCCTTGCATCTGATAGATATTATCTCTTCCTCAAAAATTCCAACACACTTTCCTTACACACAAGTTTGCCTTTCATTTTGGTCTTAATACGCATTAGATGCCATAAAGAGGCAAAACTAGTCTGAACAGTTTTTCTGTTGCATTATTCTCCACTTTTGTTCGATCATGATTCCATATCTCCTAACATGCTTCTTGCGGAAGTTGTTTATTGCTATTGAATTGCAAACATTTTATTTGCATGTGATGCAGTAACCATATTGTTTTAGCTCTTCTTCCATAACTTAATCCCTGATTCCTGTTACTTAATACCAGTTTCAGCACCAAGACAACCTTCCATAAATTGTACAAGTCCCTGCATTTGTTTGATTATTGATTGAACAAAGAACTTCATTATTTTCCCTTTCTAATTAAACTTTACACATGAGAAGGAAAGAAAGATCAAATAAAAATTAATGGATGTGGCTCTTGAGGAGAGTAGGAAGTAACAGCAGCCTGCAGTTGTAATATATTCTATTATTTGGCAAAAAAAGCTCTGAAATATAGATTAAGTGCTATAAATATTATACATTCTAAACAAATGATACTGATGATAGGCCACTGCTGATACTATCAGGGCTGTTCAAAATGAATAAATTCTGTTCTGAAGGTTAAAGATATCAATAATAAATGAAACACACTTGTGTGACAACTGAAGATCTACCCAAATTCTTTGGTCAAATAATGGAACAAATAAGTTATATTTGACTTCTAGTTTTTTTTTTTGTAACTTTACAGCAGCCATTTTTTTTTCTTTTAAAAGGCCATTATCATATTTTTCAGTGTTAATTCATGTGTCAAATTGCAGCAGTTGGGCCAGTGAAAAGTTGTCACTTAAAGTTGTTGTTTTTGACTATCACCATTTGACATTGCTGCACAAAAATTTTCAGTGTCTTGTTCTTAATTTTGTTCTCAGAACATAATTACTTTGAAAAAATAAACCAGTTTTGGATGGTGCCAAATTCGATTCTTTAACCAACAATTATCAGATTAAGAGTCTGACGAAATAAGACAAACCTTAATTCTGACTCCTATTGTTAGCGGTCAGAGAAGTGTCACTTAGTTACATATATTACATAAAATCTTAATTTAATAACAATATCACTTGACCACTACAAATCAATACAGAATTTTAAAAGATATAAAAGTTTATAAATTATCCTAATTAAAATTTAAAAAAAAAATTAAAATAATTCTTGTAAAAATTTATTATTCATTAAATTTTTTTTCCCTTAAAACAAATGTGACCACATTTTATACATAGAAGCAATTAGAAGCTATTCTAATTTTATTGCATTTTTTTATTTTATGATTCAGAGCAGATTTTCTACAACTGGGGGTCCTGCTTGACCAAAAAGATTTCATGAGTTAATTCTCTGAGGACTTGTTCTCATAACTAAAAGTGCTAGAAAAATGAACTTTTTGAAATTTCATAAAATTAACTAAGTGGGTGTTAACAGATGTAAAAAAATATTTTTACAAGGATTTTCTAAAAAAGATACATTTAAAACAAATAATTTAATTCATTTGTGAATAAGTCCTGAAAGTTTCATTAAAATCCGAAAATCATCTGATTTTTGCAAGAATTTCCACATCAGTGTGTTTTGCACCGCAAAAAGATTATTTATAATATGGTCACTAGCAGACTCAAGGAAAACAAAATTTTTAACCGAAATTTCGAAGGATCTGAAAAGGATAAAAAAAATCTAATAAAAAAAATCTTTTGGTTTTTCCTCTTAGTCTTAATAATAAAGATTTTGACATCATCTATTCCAATCTATGCTTATTTTTTTTAGCGAATCTTTGGGTTTTGGAGGTACCTACCACCACAAACTAAAAAGGGGAAAAAAAAAAAGATATTTTTTAAAATAAATAATTTAATTTTTAAATGTCTTCTTTGGAGTTAAATTTTGGTTTAAAGAACCTTAAAAATAAGAAAAAGAATTTTACGAATTTAACTAAAAAGCTTTTAGTAGTTAGACATTTTTAATTTTAAATCATTAATTTTTTTCAAAGTCACTCACCATTCATCGAACAATGAAAACAAATTACGCACGCTTGCTCATGAATTGTCATTAAGGTCATAGGTCAACAACAATATGTGGTCGTGACTCTCTATTCACCGTTTACAGACTTTGACAAGGCGGCATATCAAAATTTGACATGTCGATTTTTAAAGTAAACTAAAGTTTTTAACGTAAATCTTCGAATAAAAAATCGAATGAAAAAAAAAGGATTGGAAAAGATTCTGAAAAATTATTTGTGCTTAACTAAAGAGAGAACGGGAGAAATTTATTTTTGAGTTTTACACACTGAAAAAAAAAAAAAAAAAAAATTAAAAAGGCATAAAAAAAAAACAATCGCCACGGTTAGACATGCTTTTCTTATTTCCAATTATTTTTTCTGCTAAAAAATTAAGTAATGTTTGTTTCAAATTACATATACTTTTATTTTCTAATTTTCTTAAAATAACTTTTGAAAAAAAGTATATTGAATTTTATAAGATTTTTAAACAGAGAATTTCACTTTTGTTTACAAAACTGTCAGTTCAAGTGTCAATAATGGCCGACATGATTGATTTTACGTCAATTTTGATGACTCAAAGAAAGAAAAGATTTTAGTTAAAATTTCGGACGTGCTAGAGAAGAATATTCAAAAAATACTTTGGCCTTTCCTAGACGATAAAAAATTGTTCAATCAAGTTTGGGGCCATTTTTCATCAGGGTATGCTCTTTTTTAGCGAAGTATTGAAATTACCTACAGATTTTTATTTTACACTTTTTCTTTGAGTTTGAAAATCTACCAAAAGTGGGCTAATTATCAGATTTCAATAAAATTTTTAAATTTAATTAATGAATTTGTTTGTAGACATAAAACTTAGTAAGATTTTTAAAAGCATTTTTTGAATATTTGTGAAGTGTTTAAAAAACAACCATTTAATTTTATTTTTACTTTCATAAAGTTTCAATAAAGTATCTTTTTTTTTTTACAGTTATTCTCATTATCATCATCCCTGGTTTCTAACCTGTGGATTGTTTAGCAAAATAAAATTAAAAAATCCCAATTTACTTTAAAGAATTCGATTTTTTTTTATCGTTGTGTACAGAAAGCAACAATATGATTTTAACAGTAACATTATTTACTACTTCTTAGCAAGAGGAAAATCTCTTATTTCCACTTTTTTCACTGAATAAAAAATCGCTTCTTGTTTTGCTTGGCAACCATTGTCAACAATTCGTTCTTTTTCACATGTAAACATTTACTAAATTGCCAGAATAAAGAATAATAAAGTTCTGCTTTTACCTCGAGTAAAACCACTGGCCAATGCTGGTGTTTTCTGTCTAATAGCCATTGGGGACCGTTTTATTTTATTTCAACGTCGATAAATATCCATGCATAATCACAGTTCATCCTGTTGATTTATTACTGACAACCATAGCAGCAACAGGCCCGCAGAAATTTGCACTTCCGGGTGTGACCCTCCCCTTCCCCAACCAATATTTAAAAAAAATCCTACTTTCTGAATAAACAGAAAATTGTTTTAAACTTATTTCACTTTTATAAACATTTTTAGAAGTTTTTCTCTCTTTCTCTCAAAATAAATAATAAATAAATAAAAAGTTCATGCAGATGCGTTACTCACATTTTTAGCCACATCAGCAGTTAAACTTTTTTTGTAAAGAAAAATAATGGTTTTATAGAAAAGCTGTAAAAAGTCATAAAATTGCTTCACTCCACTTACTGACGAAATATATTTTGTATAAATGATAAAAATATCATTAAAAAAAATAAAATTTTCACTGGGTGCAAAAGTTTTAATAAGTTTAAAAAGATTTAATGAAGGGATTTTGGATGGTTGATCTAAAACGTGAAACTAACCACTGTTTCTTTATAAAAAAAATTTAAACGGAATAAAAAAAACGTATATTATTTTAGCCTGCCTTAAATACCAAAGATTCAAGAAAATCTATTTTTCATAAAAAGAAATCAAAATACTTAGTTTTAAAAAAGGCGGATAAATCTTCGAGATAAATCAGGCACCTGCTATCAACTAAAAATAAAATTAAAATAAAAAACAAAAAACCATTAAAGTTTAATGAGTAAGCAAGCAAACGGTTTGCGTTTAATTGCTATTAAATTATTTAAACTTTTCATCCTGGTGACTTAAAGTGAATTTTATCTCGCGTGATTAAAAATTCAAATGATACAATAATAATGGTGTGCTAATTTATTTTTTTCAAACAGGAATTCAATTTGCAGGAAAACTAAAATGATGCGATTGTTCATCGTTTTTTTTTTGTTTTTTTTTATATAGAAAGGTAATTTTTAAAAACCAAAACCGTGAAGTCTTTAATTAAAAAAAAAAAAATTATTGCAATGTATTCTGATTCAGGGCTTTACATAATGCAAATAAACAATAACTGTTGTTTTACCATTTTAACCATTTTTAAACTTATCAATATGGATTTTTACTGTCCACCTGATTATTACACTCGTCTCGTTCTGCTCATCATAAATGTTTCTGTTCCCAATTCTTCCACACCTCATAGTGTAGCCCCTTGTGTTTTAGTGGCATTTACTGCCTTGCTTGGGGTGATACCGATTAAAAACATTTTACTTTTTAATTTAAAGGGAGAGAGTGAGCAAGAAAAAAGTAAGAAACATTGTTGAAATGAAACAAACAAAAACAAATAGGGGTTTATGGTGGAGGGTGTTGTAAAAGACTAAAAAAGAGACACTACATTTGAAAGAATCAAAACAAAAGAAAACAGTTTTTTTTATCAAGAAAAAATAATATGCAATTACTGTGAAAATTATTAATCATAAGAATTTATTTTTATTTTAAAATACTGAGAAGAGATTCTTTAGAAGCCAAAATTACTCCCGAAAGATTTAAAAAAAAAAATTAAACAGGCATTTAGCAAAATCATTATTTTCCATGGATGACATAAAATTTCATCTGTTGCACATGAACAAACTGCATTGATTCTGTTCTTTAGTCCTTATTTCCAAGGTCGGCACAAATCCTTCTGGACAGATTAAGTCACAAATTATCCATAAATTAAAAAAAACAAAACAAACTATTTTTTCTTTTTTTAGTCTTTCTTTACTCTTTAGTCTACTCTTTACTTTAAGAAGTTAACAATTCGTTTTCTTAGTTCTTCGGAACTTTTTGAAATTTACATATTTTTTTCGACTTTCTTGAAAACTTGGTGACAGGTAATATAGCAGGATTGTCTGCTTAGTAAGTTGCCATAGTTGATCATTGTTAGTGAGTAGTGAGTTCCATCCTCCTTGAATATCTCACTTCTAGCCTTGTCGTGATGTAGTTAGCAAATTGAACTTGTAGATCATTAGTGGTGAGTTCGGTCCTCACTGGGTATCCCATACTTGTGGCTTTGTTCCAAAATTAAGCTATTCTTAGAAAATAACAATTAGATAACCAGAAAAGCAAAATCACTGAAGAAAAGTCATAAGGTACGCTTTGATAGGGGAGGAAAAAGTCATTAAGAACCAAATGTCGCAACTTTGACCTGAAAGTTACAGAAAATACAATTACTTATTCTAACTAAATTATAATTATTTTAATATTATATAACTTATAAAACATTATACTATTGAAATTATTAATAAAATAATATTTTTTATAAAATTAAATGTCGATAGAATTCTTAGAGTCTCTAAGTAATTAAATATTTTAATAATTTATCAAAATGTGGCTTATTTCATTAAATTCAATATGACTTATTTTATTTATAAATTATTTAAAAATAAAATATTACCTAATTGTAAATATTACTTCTCTGTAGCATTTTTTCTAACCACATTGAAACCGAAGTTAGGTTTTTACTTCCATGAATTTTTGCTACAACCGAAAACTAATTCGAGAAATATTTATAAAAAAATCAGAAATTGTTTTGGGGAAAGTTCTTTCCAAAAATGAAAATGGAATACAATTCGAGTCTTCAACATAAAAAATAAATAAATAAAGGAGTGATTTTTTACGTGCTGCTTTTAAAATTGAATCAAAATTCAAAAATATTTATTTTTCGATAGAAAAACCATTTTTTTAGTTTCAAATCACACATGAAAGTTAGTAGAGAATGACGTAAAATGATTGTTATTAAAGAAATAAAAAAATGATAAAGATTCTTGATTAGTGAATAAAAAAAAAATTGAAGGCTAAGGCCGAGACTGTAAAATTTAAATCGCTTATTATCAAAGGCAGTCACTTGTAAGGTTAGTAAGTCGTGGCCTCTGCAGTGAAATGCAAGCTTCGATCGACAAGGCAAGTTGGTCGAGTCACGTGATATCATCCCCCTCCCCCAAAGACTCTTTTCTGCCATCGACGACCGACAACCACGACGACTTTTAAACCAGCAAGCATGACTTCTCAATCTCCAGTTCTTCATTCGGGAATCGTTAAACAGGTACCCTTGGTTTTTTTTTTTTGTAAAGCTACAGACCTTCTAGTGCTTTTGTTTTTCGACCTCCAAACTGTGGCGATGATGTTTTGAGAATAATTTGGTCGTATCTCAACGGCGGCTGGCTTTCTTCTCTGGCGATTTTTGTTCCCCACAAGAGAAGAAGAAGAAGAAAAAGAACCTGCACATATGTTTTCTCTTAGTAGCAGTTGGGCTTGAAGAATATGTGATGCCTCCCAGCTAATAATATCTCCCTTTACAACTCTGTTTCTCAGATAAGCCTTTTTTTTTTCTAAACAACCTCTCCTTTTAAAACATCAATCGCATAAAAATCCTCTAAATAGTTTCTATCCCCCCCCCCTATCTGTAAATTAACTGGGAGGGGCCTTTAAAAAAATAAACATGTGGGGGGAACTCTTCTTAGTCCAACACGTCGTTTCAAAATAAATATTTGTTTTCCCTTCCATACTTAAACCTTTTTCTTATTTAGTCTTTTTTTTTTTTTTTTTCATCAGCAAACTACGAATTTTCTTTTTTGCTCTCTATTAAAAATATTTTCTTTAATTAGTTTAAAGTTGTTCTTATTTTTTTTTTTTTTTTTTTTTTTTTTTCATGTTTCATCAAATGGAAAGAGAAATTGACTTCATCGAAGGCGGCGACAAAAACAATATACATTCCCCATATTTTATTTCTTTTCTTTTGTTCTTATTTTTAATTTAACAGATTTCCCTCTTAATTAATTTTTAAATCTTTCACCCCCATCAGGCCATTTCCCTAACCACCAAGTAAAAATAAAAAAGCTTTTTAAAGTAAAGTTTTACTTTTATTGTTGTTCGCTTATCTGAAAGAATCTCCTATTTTCTTTCTTTAATCATATTTACTTAAAAATACCGAACCTGGAACGACACATCTGTGGTCCGTTTTTGAACTTAAAAATATCTTTTTTTTTTTTTTTTTTTTCTAAAAATGTATCCTTTTCTATCCGTCCAACCCATCCTTTTTTTTTTTTCTTTTTTTTTAAAACGTATTATTACATTCCTCTTTATATCTTGCTTAAAATCCTATTTTCTTGCTTTTCTTTTGAAAGTCTGTTTGGATTTTAAAACTTTAAATGTCTATTTTGTGTTCGTATAAAAAGCTTGGTCTAAAACTCTAAAGTTTTTAGTCTATTTGCTTTTTTTCCCCGGTTTTCTTTTTATCCACTGATTTTTATTTTTAAGAAACTCTTAATTTGAACTGTCAAAAAAAAAATGGTGAAAGACAATATATCCTCCTATATAACTTCATAATACTTGCACAATTTCTTCTTTCAAGTCTGCAAATATTCAAGTCTTCAATATATTATTTTTGTATGTTAACATTTTGTCGCGCCTCAAAAAGAAACTTCATTTTATAAAAATAAAATTGACTCTCCAAAAAACACTTTCATCTCGGCTTCTCTATCAAAAGCTTAATCTAAATTTAAAATTGTTTAACTTAAAATTTCCCAAATTAAAAGTACTTTAAATTGTAAATATTCACTTTCAATCCTTGAATGATTTTTATTTTGTATCTTTCCTTTTTTGCTTGATGATTTAATAATAGTTACAAATTACTTGGCTTCTTAGTTCACTTTAGCTTTAAAATGACTTTTTTTTTCTTTTTATGTTTAAAAAAATAACTTGTAAAAAAATATCTTAGTGCGCTTATTTGGAGGGGGAAATGAGAGATTTAAACTTGTTAAATTTCAACAGCTGTTTTGTTTTTTTTTTTTTGTTTTTTTAATTAATTTTAGATTTAAGTTTCAGTCTAACTTGTTTATTTTCTTTCATTTTAAAAATAAGATTTTTTTTCTGTTTAGTTGTCTATTTAAAAAATAAAAAAAATACTACCAAGAAGGGTCTGATTTCCGTAGGAGTGCGCGCGTGTGTCACTACACTACACAAACTCAACTTGCTCTACTTTTGACTTTAGTAATTCAGTCACTAACAACTGGTAAAAAGTGCAGCACAAAAAGAAAGACTAATAATAGTAATACTAAAGTGGTGATGCCATTTATTACTCGTCGGGCAAGCAATACGGGAAGAACGTGTCACTTGCCGCAATCTTTTTCTGTATCCTCTTTTATTATCAAATCTCTTTTGTACACGTGGAATTCCTGCTTTTCTCTTCATTCAACACGTACCCCCCCAACCTTTCTTATTTGTTGTGGTTTCACAATTTTCTCGTTTCATTTCTATGCATCTGGACATTTTCACCTGATTTTTAAATCTTTTTTACTTGTTCACAAATTACTCCCCCTCCTCCATACTCACTAGTGGGTGATTCCCAATTGATTATTTTCCACGTGTCACCTAAAATGAAAATAATTTTTTTTTTTTTTTTTTTTTTCTAAGTTAACCGATTATTTAATCAACTAAAACGGTGAATATTCGATTTTGTTTAGGAAGGAAAAAATGCATTTTGTTTTTAGCGAATAGGATTTTCTATTATTAAAAAAAATATGGGATTTAAGAAAGGGGTACACTATGGTGGAATTAAAACTTAATTTCATCATGTCTTTTTAGATACACATATAGACACACACATTCTTATTAGATACAAATATTTAAGTAAATGCTCTGTTTATAATAAACAGTATTAAACATTTATTTACCGGCCTGAATGTCCGAGAAATTTTCATAGAAAATATTCGTCCTCCGACATTTCTCAGATTTTCAGGCCGGTAAATGTTTGTTTATTAAACAGAGCATTTACTTAAAAAGAATGTATAAACATAAAAATGTCTTAAAATAAATGTCGGACTTTGTCCATTTCATTAAAATTAGCAGTAGAGCCCAGCGTTGCCCGGGGATGTAACAGTAAGAGATAGATCGAGTATCGACCATCATAAAGACTGAAAAATAAAATCGACAAAGATTATTGTTTAAAGTTGACGGACACGCATGTCTTAATTAGTTTTTTTTTTTTTTTTTTACGAATTGGTCTAACCCAAACAAAAACATTGTTTTCAATCGTTATGAGTCTACCAATTGAATAGAATTTTATTATAAACAATTGTCTTTTAAATGGAATTTTTAAAGCGTTCTGAATGTAAAAATAAAGAAAAAAGTGTGCAAGACAATAAGAAACACTACCTGCCAAAAAAAAGTGAAGTTTTGATGAAATCGGTTGAAAAATGTAGGAAATCCAATCCCATATATAAACGAAAAAACACACACACACACACAACCTGGGTTTTATAAGTATAACTCGATATGATTTGTCCCCCTTTCATTCCCGCAATGCCTCTTAATTGTGTTTTCAAATTGATTTCATGCAAAAACAATTGTTTTTTCCAATTTTTGGCGCTGTCAGAACCACCGCAAGGTAATTTTATGTAGTCCTGTGAAGTTTTGTTGAAACCGGTTGAAAAATGTAGGAAATCCGATCCAATATATAAACGTACACACACAAAACCTGGGTTTTATAAGTATTTTTTTTTTTTTTTTTTTTTTTTTGCTACAAAATTTGTAGATAGTTTACTTGAGCATAAAGCAAATGCTGACTAAGATTTTAGCAAAGAAAATGATCAGTCATAAATTCATTCTTATTGATTGTAATCATTTAAAAAAAAAAAAAAAAAAATAATGGACTATTATTGTTCTCTGGAATAAATATTAAACTCCTCAACAGGTTGCAAAGGAAGTCTTCAATATAAACTAAGTAGATAAACACTTAGTCGGAATATTAAAATTCTTAAATGCTTAGCTTAGAATTCTTGTACCTACTGCCATTTTCAGCATTGGATATTTACCAATTTCCTGTTTGAGGTGTATTTTCAAATTCTTGCAGAGCGAAAAAAAATCTCTCTCTTCTATTCCAATGGTTGGATTTTAGTAATAGATTAACACTTAAAATGCACCTTCTTGATACACTTAATCTGTTGACCAGAATTATTTAAAAAAAAAAAAAATCACCCTTTTCAATTGTAGGTACATGTTTAATTGAAATTTTTATTTTGTAGATAATTGTTTTGTTTTATATTCCAATGATAGCATCAGTTTTGAATGAAACCTGTAAAGAAATAATTAACAACAAATATTTTTTTCCTGTTTGCAATGTAAGAGTGAAGATAATTTTCATCATGTCTAAGAAGATAAAGGATTTTTTTAAAAAGGTTTTTGTCAAGAGAAAAAAAAAATAGGCATTTACATGAAGAATTATATGCTATATCAATTGAAGATGGATAATTGACCAAAATGTGGTTATATTAAGAATGAGATGAAGGATAGAAGCCACTTCCTCGCTTGTTAAAAACTAGAAAGTACTTAAAATATTTTAATTTTCCAAGTAGAAGACTCTATTAAAGTGAAGGGTTCTTTGCAAATTGTTATGCTTTAGTTTGTTTTTTTTTTTTTTTTTTTTTTTCCATTGCCACAAATTGAAATAGTTGCAGGGTTCAACAGGTATTTTCTGTTTAGCAGTCTCAGGGTCACTATGATAAATATCCTATTTCTTTTAACTGACAAGCAATTTATATTTTGTTATCCTGACAGTTTCTGTTGAACAAAGATCTTTATAACTATCTTTTTCAATCAATGCTTGGATTTTCACAATTCAAAGAAAACTGGACATGGCATGGATGATTTCTTTGTCATTTGTAAATTAGGATGGAAAGATTATAGAGAAGAAAAAAAGTACAATATTGATTGTATGACCTTGACTTTAATATAACAAATAATGCATATAAAAACTATCAAATGTAAAATGATCACTTGAGAATCTAATGTGTAAAGATTTTGGTCTAATGCAGATAAAATATGAAATGGAAATAATTTCAACATTATATAAAGCAAAAATTGAATAAAATTATAACTTATGAATCAAGATTTTAGATGTCAACAAATCCATGTGTGCAAGGGCAGTTTTTGGTCTGTCTACTTAGCATGAATTATCTTTGAAGTATTTTCTCATGTACAATCAGATCATGGGCAAAAGACAAAAATCTGTCCATTTTGAGTAAATGAAGGACCAAACATTTGATGGTAGAAAGTCAAAATAATCAGGAATTTGGAGATGATCACTGTGTTTGCTTCAATAATTCTGGATGAAAGACTTTTGTCAATTTTCTCATCACAAGTAAAATCAATTCCTGATAATCCAGTCAAGCAGTTTAAGTAAAAGGGGTTGTCACTGATTTTAATGGATTGTTTTGACATTGAAATTCCATTAGGCATGAGGATAAATTGTAATTTGCCCAGGATGTATTTAATGCTTAACCTGTAGTAAAACATTTACTTGTTGTAATTGTTGGCCTGTTTTCAATTTTTGTTCTAAAGTCATTTGTTGTTGTAAAGATTGTTTTTTCTCCAGACTATATACATTTGTTCCCCTATATGATTAGATTTTGTGTCATGTGACTACTCAAAATTGGTGCCCATGTTAAATTGAGACATAAGATGAATTTCTGGTGTGAGGAGTTATTATTTACAGGTGGACTATTGTCCTCATAATATCTCTAGACATGGGCAGGGGAATGAGAACTGTCTACTCTTGTAGATTAAATAAAGGGTTCAGTTCTGAATCCCTGTAGTTTACCTGGATCAATATATACCTGATGAAGTCTGGAGGGCATAAATGTTGGTCATAACAACAAAGATGACAACAATAGTCTGCAAGTAAATAAGTCATGGCTGTTGGTTGAAATAAGTTACCCTAGTAGACTGTATTTGTCCTTTGTTTTAGGCCACAAATTTATTAAATTGTTGAAGTCCAGACGTGTAAGAAAAATCAGTGATTTTATTTAAAGTTTTGCAGAAATCTAGAATTTCTTAAATATTTTGTGTTTATTCACTTTTTTTTTAATTTCTCTTTTTAAAATAAGTATTTAAAGTAATAATACATATTTTCTTATAGGATCAATGATTATCTTTTATGCATGCATTTTGTATCGAAACATTGAATTTTTTACTCTTAGATTAAACAAAACTTAAGACAGATTTGATAGCATTAAGAATTTGTTTTCAATTTTTCATTTGCTGGTTTTATTTCTGCCATTTTTATTTGAGAAAAATATTTGATAAGTGCAAATACTTAAAATTAAAATAGTAATCAAAATACATTTATTCATGTATATTTTTTAAACCAAAGCAAATCTTTGTTTCATAAAACCAATCATAAGGAGTCCATCATTTGGGGATGGCATATAAGAATTTCTATCAATGCAGATATTGAAAAATTATTTTGGTATTTTGCTGGACAATTTTCTTCAAAAAAAATTGCCATTGTAGCAAAAATATGTTAAACTATTTAATCTTGAGTAAAAATTGTTACGTGCATTAAAAGAATTAGTCGGAATAATTTGAATTGAAATAAAAACCTTGCAATTTCACAACTCTAAAAACATTTTCTTGGCAATTTTTTTCAGTTTGATTTTACCCTTTGAAACTATTTAAAAGAAAAAAGTAAAATAAAAAAACATGAGTCATTTAAACAAACTGTTTATTAGAACATGTTTTAAATAGGAAATGGTTATAATTCATTAATAGCTGCTTACAAGACAGATGGAGTTACAGATAATTGCTACTTTGATGGAAATATATAAAATTCTTTAAGTCTTGGTAAACTAATTTACAACAGAAAAGCATTAAAACAATAGAAATTCAGAATAATTACTTGGCCATCAGTCAGATATTTCAATTTGAGTCAACTTGTGACACAGTGACATTTGCAAAATCACATTATTTCATTTGTAAAAGTAAATTGATTTTGCTGCTATTTGAAGATTGAGTGAAGGAAGAATTTATTAAATATAAAGTACATTATTTCAGTTGGTTCTGAATCTTTTCTAAGAAAGCATCTATAATGACTTGCAGATATTTAGAAGTTAATAGTATTTTGGTATATAGGAATCACTCTGCAGACATTGCTATAATTGTTTTAAGTCATAGTTTGGTAATGTCATTCGTAACTTATTACAACTAAAGCTGGATGTGAGAAAGTTGGTCAGCATGAAGTCAAAATTTTCTTGATTTATGTTTTGCAATCCTGAAAACATTCTTAACACTTAAAAAGAATGTTAATTTTGATTTTTAAGGGCTTACCAACCCTTTGTGGATTATTTAAAGCCAAAACCATTTTAGACTGTAGAAGGTAGCTTATGGTACTCCATGTTCCCAAGTAGCCCCCCCCATCTAAATACTGTTTAGATGCTGCTTAATTTTGGTGATCAACTGGTGTTTTCAGCATGATTTGACTGTATGCTTATTATAAAGGAAAACTTAATAGTTTAAGAAAATTGCATCACTTTTAATTCTGTTTGCATTTTAGTGTTAATTGCTTTTGTTAGACAAGTGAATGACAGTGAAAAAAATAATGCATTTCCCAAGTTAGAAGTTATTCTTGCACTTCAAACATCCAAAGGTTAAAAAAAAGGTTTTTTCTCCTTTTATAGAGAAGTTTTAAAAACATATATTTGGCAAACATGGATGAATGTGCCTACAATAAGATGTAGTGACAAAAGGACAGTTTTTACCATGACACCACATTTTTTTTTTTAATTACCTATACTCTTTAGCAATGTTTGTTTTAAAAAGCAATTATTAGAATTGTAATAAAATTTAAACATATAAAAGTGAAACTGAATTTATACATTTTCTTTGTTCTTGAGAATTTAAAACAAAGATTACACTCTTATTGTTTATTGGAATAGTTGGCAAAATATTGGCTAATTACCAATTAATTCAAACTTTATAAAATGGTATATAGTAAGGATTTCCTTATAGTTCATATATTTTAATAATTTAGTAAATGTTTATAAATAATATTTTTCTTTTTACATTTATTTCTTTATAAATTGGTAAATGATAAATGTTGCATAGGTTTTAATACAATTGTATTAGTTTTAGGATGTAAATGTAAAATTATTCTTGTAAATAAACAATCTAATAAATACTGGTTAATATTTTTGTTGTAAATTTTCAAGAACAAAAAAATGTATAAATTCATTTTCATATATAACAGTAAGCATGGCTGAAGAGTGAAGGTAGTTAAAGCAGTGTCATGGGAAAAACCATCCTTTTGACATTTTATTTTATTGTGGGCATGTTCATCCATGTTTGCTGTAAATTTCTTCATAATCCAAAACATTTTGGCAATCAAATATTCAAAATTCTGTTTTGGTTCATGATTCACATCTCTTGAAAAATTAACATCTGTCATGAAATTGTTGGCTTGCTATGAAACAAAACTCAAAATGTTTGATAAGAAAATTTTTAAGTTCAATTGCAACAAGGGCTTCTTTTTATTCCATATTTTTTTTTTTTTTTTTCCTGAGAGAAGAAAAATGAACAAATGATAGAAAAGAAAATTTATTTTTAAGAAATTATTTACAATTTGTCAACCATGAATACCAAGGGATCAGTAGCTGGGAACCATAATTCATGTAAAAATAGTTTTCATTTTATGTATTGCAGATTTATCCTTTGTTGAGAATTAACACTATTTGTCTCTGTTTATTTACAAGAATAGTGTTGTTAATTCTTGAAAAAAGAATATAAATTCAGTTTGGATTTTGTGAAAATTCTAAAAATAGCTTTTTAAAACTATAACAATTGATGAGGGAGTATACAATAATAAGTGTTAAAAGGAAAAAAAAGTCCTTTTGACATGTGTTTTTTTTTTTTTTTTTTTTTTTTTTTTTTTTGCAAATATGAATGTTAAACTTTTGTTTTAGAAGAAAATTTCTCTAGGTTTAATTTCTCTGTATTATCTTAAAAAAAGTGGCTAGAATTTGGAAGGTGAGGCATTAAATTTGACTTGTGTTTAATTTTGCTTGTTTTTTTTAATTTGTTGAATGATTTTCTTTTCTCTAGATCCTTTCTGGTGATGCAGTGGTAATCAGAGGTCAGCCTCATGGTGGTCCACCAAAAGAGAGAACAATATGTCTCTCAAATATAACAGCCCCCAGATTAGCAAGGCGAGCCAATCCAAAAGAAACCAAGGATGAGGTGAATATTCTTATTCAAAAGTGATCTCTCTATACATTCTATAGTGTGTGTAATATTTGGTGTCTTCCATTGTGCTGTAGCATACCTATAGACGATAATAGGTATGTCCCCATTTACATAAATACAGTAGTAAATACTGTATGTGGGTCTACAGTTGGAGATTCATTGTGGAATTCACTTGACTCACTTCTAGTAGTTGACTACTACTTCAACACGCTGCTGGCGAATCTTATATGTGTTGTTCTTGTCCTAAGTATTATCGTTCATTACCAACCTTTGTGTGATTATTCTATTCAGTAACCTTCTCTAGGTTACAACATATTGGTGAAAGTTAGCAAGAAAACTTTTAAGTCATAACAAAATATTTCTTGGTGTTTTCATTTGTTTGTTTTTTGTTTTTTTTTAATCAGAATCACCACAAGCAAGGCAGTAATGCCACTAAAACACAAGGGAGGGGAGTTACAGGGTGTGGAAAAATCAGGAACAGAAACATTAATGATGAGCAGAAAGAAGACAGTATCAGGTGGACAGTAGATAGCGATTGGCATTACATTTAAATTTTTGCAAATTAAAGTTGATGGGAGTTCCACAAGCAAGGAGTGCTAGAGAAGAAACTGTTAGAATTTACGGCTACATCTAGCAAGCTCAACTGTAAATTGATGAGATCTTGATGCCAGTCTAGTGCTGTGCTTAAATTCAAAATCTCTTGGTACTATAGTGAAGAGCTTATTCGAACAATTACCATGAATGTATTTATAGAAATGACACAGAGAACAACCTTACAATGGTGCAAAAGTGACTGAAGCTGAGTTGCCAGATCAGGATCAATAATATTGCAGATTCTTCTTTGGATCTTATCAACAAGCTCAAGGTAAATAGAAGGGTCACTGGACCATATATAGCAGCAATATTCTAAGCATGGGTGAATGGTAGACTTATAAATATAAGATAGATTCTGTTGAGAAAAATTGTCTCACCTGACACAGTGAACTTTCTTAGCAGCTGACCTAGCAATGGATTCTATCCACTTCATATCAGCAGAGAACATGAGCCCGAGAAGGTGCAATGATTTACTTTTCTGGAGGATAGCATCAGCCATGCTGATGGAGGGCGGCAAGGGATCTCTCAGATGATCAGTGAAGAGAAGTTTAGTTTTGGAGGCATTACAATTAACAAGCCATCCTTTGCCCCAGATAACTACAGACTTGAGGTTGTTTTGGGCATCAGCTGCCATTTTGACCTTGTCAGACTGATAAGTCTTACTATTGAGGCAGAAGTAAATTGTTGTATTGTTAACGTAGATACCAAGTTGAGAGCTGATTCATTAATGAAATTTAAAAATAGAGTAGGACCAAAGATGAGACATCTGCGTTAGTATGAAAGGATCTAGACGAGTGGCCATTCAGGATAACTCTCATTTCATGATTTGATAGGAAAAATTGGATCAGTTCAAAAAAGAGTCCAAAGACACCATAACTTTTCAGCTTGTGGAGATGGTCTGAATGCCAGACCCTGTTAAAGGCTTTTAAGATGTCCAATGCAACAGCCCAGCCTTCAGATTTCAGATTGTATGTAGGTTAATATAATACAAACTGTTTCATTCACATAGAGGAAGTCACAGTTGTTTAAGATACAGCATAAAGGGATGAGAATATGTCCTAAAAGTGAGAGATAGCTGCAGAGAGGGACAGCAGAAAGAAAGTAAATAGATTTTATGGTTTGGATAAATATGATACAATTTTTTTTTTCTTCAATTTTTATGTCTCCAGTAGGAACCCATAAAATTTTAACAGTTCATCACTTCCTGTGCGTCTTTATTTAATTGTGGATGAAAATGCAAAATTCACCCACTTAGAAAATAGATCTCTCAATTTCAAATAGTGACTTCATTAGAATTTCGTTTTATAATAAAAAAAATATGAAAAGCAGTATGCTGTATTAATTATATAAGAAATTGTGAATTGAATTTTTTTTTTTTTTTTTAATATGAAATTTGTTTTTCACTTTAAAACTTGATTTTAAAACAAAATTGCATCGATAAATAAGAAATGCAAATGTCTCAATGTGCATTTACAATGTCTTTGAAGTCCCATTTCAAAAGCAAATTGATTTCTTATGAAGAAAAATTTCAAAGCCTTATAACTGGTTTTAAAAACACTGCATGATGTTTTCATTTTTTGCTAAATGTGTTATAATGGATTATTTCTAAAATTACTATTTTTAAAAGATTATAAGTTTTTAATACTGTAATATCCTCTCTTTTTCAAACACTTGAACACATTTTTAAAATGTTTTTGTTGTTCCCACAGCATTTTGGTTAATTCATACCAAAGTATACCATACCAAACTCATACTGTCATGAATCTCAATATATGCAATTAAACCCTGTCTGTCTTTCCTGAAAGAGGGAAAAAGAAATTCACTTTTAGTTTGTGTTCTCTAAAGTCTCATAATTGATTAAAACCAGATTTCATTTACATATTCTTGTGACAGAACCTCTTTTGTACCAATATAACAGCTGAAATAAGCTTTTCATTTGTTTTTTTTGTTTTTTTAACCTGTCATCATTTCTTGCCTAGATCTTAACCACAAGGTGACACCATTGGAGAAAATTTCCTAATGCAATATAAATATACCAATGCACATATCAATTGTTTTCACATTTTATCTTTGCCAATTATGGGGATTTTATTTTTGCATCAAACTCCTTTTAAGATTAGTGGAAATAAAGTGTCCATTTTCTGAAAGTTGTACAAAAGGTTTCCCTGACCTGTCAGTAGAAAGATGAATTGTTTCATTGTACCACATACCCATCATAAAAGAAGTTAGTTTTTATAATTCTATAAAATTATGGAATAAGTTGATTGAAATAGAGATAAATAAAAAACACTTTTTTTTTTTTTTTTTTTTGGGTAGATGTGAGAATGTTATTTTACATTTGATTGTGGATGACATTTTCAATCTTATTTCTGTTCATAATTTATTCTTGAAATATTATTGACAATAAAAAAATTAAAACTTCAATATTTATTTTCTTTGTAGCCATATGCATGGGAAGCCCGTGAATATCTTCGCAAAAGACTCATTGGTCGAGAAGTCACTTTTACTGTAGAATATACGGTTCCTGGTACAAATCGGGAATATGGTTGTATTTACCTTGGCACTGGTAAATAAATTTTCTTTGGCTATTTTATTTAAGATCAAAATTCAAATTTTCCTGTAGGGTTTAATTTGGGATGTTTGTATATTTATAATAAACTTGTCATGATATTGCATTAACATTGACCTGTAATAAAGTGAGAGTGTAAGTTAAATAATGACACAAGACTTGGATCTTTTGTACTTGACATTTGTGTTTTAGTCATTCTAGTATTTTATTAGTTTCTCTCAGCCAGTCTTTGATGCATGATAAGCTCTGTCACCTCCTTGGTCCGAAATGAGGACTCTATATTCTCTGCTTGTGTTATTCTTGAAGATTATTATGCACATTACATTCTCCATCTGTGATATGTGCAGAATAATCTTCAAGACTGATAATGTAGTGTTGGCATTGTGGTATCCTACGCTTATGTTGTATGAGCAATAGACTTGCCCACATGAGCTATATAATCTGTGACTTACCCCCTACATTTATTTTGTAGGTGACTTTCAAATAGCTAAATAAATCTTAGTACTTTTACTTCAGTTCTGGATTTTGTCTTATCACAATTTATTTGGTTAAACCAATACAAAGATGAACCTGGAAATAACTTGGAAGCCAAAGCACTTAGATATTGACCCCTGTTCAATGGCTGCCAGAGATTATTGCCATTGGTCAACTATCCTGTTGAACTATTTCAATGATTACAAAGAAAGAATTCTTAACAAGTACCAGGCCCCTCTTGAGCTGTGTGCATTCTAGTGTGTTTGAATATATAAAAGGATGTACAGATTTCACATAAAAAAATACAACAATTGATAACATATTTGTTAAACCATCTAATGAGGTTTTCATGAGGCATCTGTTGGCTATGAGATGACAAAAGCCAGGAGAGTTGCTGGACGAGATTTTCAGGAGTTGGAAAAGCTGAAGAAGAACTGCAACTTCAAAGACAATACTGCTGAAGTGCTCTTGAGGCTATGATTGAATTGTAGTATCTGTTCCGTGGGCCTTGATCAGCTATATTGACCCCTGTTCATCAATGGCTGCCAGAGATTATCACCATTAGTGAACTATCCTGTTGATTACAAAGAAAGAATTCCTAACAAGTACCAGACCTTCTTGAGCTGTATGTGTTCCAGTGTGTTCGAATATATAGAAGGATGTACAGATTTCAATAATATATGGAGAAAAGATTGCATATCCTAGGAAAATGAGCATTGGCCATTTTCGTTTCATAATTAGTTAATATTGTTCGTGATTGGTTTTGATATTTTTTACGTCCCAAATTTTTTGATGAAGCTATATTACTGGGTCTTTCAACTCGTCATTTTCGTCTTGTTCTGTGGCCTTGACCAGCTATATTGACCCCTGTTCATAAATGGCTGCCAGGGATTATCGCCATTAGTTAACTATTCTGTTGATTACATTTAGCTAAACGAATACAAAAATGAACGTGGAAGTACTTAGATATTGACCCCTGTTCACCCGCATATGCCAGAGATTATCACCATTGGCAAACCATCCTGTTGAACTATTTCGATGATTACGGGGAAAGAGTTCCTAACAAATACCAGGACCTCTTGAGCTGTGTGCATTCCAGTGTGTTTGAATATACAAAAGGATGTACAGATTTCACCATGACTATACAAAAAATTGGATAACTTATTTGTTAAATCACTTAATGTGGTTTTCATGAGGCACCTGTTGGCTATGAGACAACTGAAGATGGGGGAGTCACCGGATGAGTTTTTCAGAGAGTTGGAAAAGCTGAGAAAGAATTACAACTTCAGAGACCATACTACTGAAGAATGTGGCAATAAAGCTATGCAAGACACCGTCATTACAGACATAGGTTTGCATCCCATACGGTAGCATCTCCTGGAAAATAGGACTCTGGACCTACAAAGGTATGTGAGAATTGTTGTAAATCTCTGGTTGAATCTATCGAGCAAAATGTAAATGCTTTTTCTGTGGATTTCCCTATCATTCACGGGACTGCTGTCCTGTTTGCATAACTTTATAAAAAATGCACAAAACAAGGACATTACGCTTGTGCATGTCGGTCCAAGCCTTCATCAAATTCATTACTCATATACTGATCGCACTTACTAACATACCATGAGAACTCTATGAATAATTTTTAATGCAAAAAAAACTAAGCACTCTACTACATTCTTGTAGCATTGACAGTTATCTCTGTGAAAGAGTCGTGCAGGTTCATCCATGGCCCAGAAAACTTTAAAAAACTAATTCAAGGGCCCATGTAATTGTAAATCTAACACTTTACCTTAACAACCAGTCGTAAGTTACCACCCACTTGGGTGTTTTGAAGTATTTATGTTCTGATATGATACTCAGCCAGGATTTTCTGTGTCAGTATCAGAGGGCAACGTTCAAATATGGTGGATCCCTGCCCAAAATAACTAGACAGTGGTCATCAATTCTGTGTATTAAATATGGCAGAGATAGAAGAACCTTCACTATTTCATAATTTATCACTGAACTGTAAGCCCATTGCTGCCAAGTCAAGGAAGATCAGGCCTTCATCACAAAAGAAATTCAGAACTTGCTTTCTGAAGGCGTAATTAAAGAAAGTATTTCATCATGGCAAGTCCAGCTCGTAGCAGTGAAGGTCCCTAACAACAGTCATAAAAACGAATATGTGTAGATTACTCACAGACTATAAACTTATCCATGTTACTGGACACTTATCCCCTGCCAAGAATTGATAAAATGATTAATGACCTCAGCAGATACAGCAATTTTTCTGTATTCAACCTCAAAAGTGTCTACCACCAGGTGCTACTTAAAGAATCGGATAAAAAAATACAGTGCTTTTGAGGTGAATGGTCATTTGTTTCAGTTCTGTAGAATTCCGTTTGGGATCAAAAATGGGGCTGCCTTGTTCTAGAGAGCTACTGACAGAATAATAAAGAAAGAAAATCTACAAAGTGTGTCCCCTTACATCAACAATATCACAATTGCAGGGTGTAGGTAGATGGAACACAACCAAAACATAAAAAAGTTCCTGGAGGCTAATTACGCAGGCTAAACTTACTCTCAACAAGTAAAAATTTGTGGCTTCGGTACACTCCATCAATATGTCGGGATACTGTGTCTGTGGTGGAGTTAATAAGCCCAACCCAGAAAGACTTTGTCCTTTAAGAGAGCTACCCTCACAAGAAAACTCAAAATCATGAAGGGGTGCTGGGCATGTTTGCATATGCAAAATGGATAAATAAATTTTCTAATAAAATTCAGCCTTTAATAGAAACTAAAAAATTCCCTCTTGCGAAGAGGGCACTTGAAGCTCTCAATCAATTAAATAAAGAATTAGGGGATGCTGCACTAAAACTAGTAGATGAAAGCTTACCTTTCGAGGTTGAGTGTGACATGTCAGACATTGCCATTTCTGCTGTACTCAACCAAGGTGGATGCCCAGTAGCGTTTATGTTAAAAATACTACAGGGGAGCAAATTAAAATATCACGTAGTAGAGAAAGAGGCAATTTAAAGATTATTGGTAAATGGTAAAGTTTAAAATTGATTGAATTTTTTTTTTTTTTTTTTTTTGTCTCCATCCGCTGTAAGTTGGATTTGGAAATGTATACCTTACTTGTTGGTCCTCAATATTTTTTTGTCACCCTACCAAACAAAATTACAAGATAATCTCTGAAATGGCACAAATGCGTTGCTAGATTAGAGGAGAGCTTTTGAAAGCCCAGCACTTCTAAATTCAGTCCTTGTGCCATGTTGGGCTACTTTTAAACCAGTGGTTCCCAACCGATTTTGGGCCATGCCCCACTTTGGTATTTCTAAAATTCTGTTGCCCCTCTGTAATGCTCACATGCACTGGTTGGCAGACAAAACATGGGCTCTTCCAGCAACATGCATCACATCCTCTCCTTTGTTGACTGGGACACATGAGTGTGGGGAGACAGGAAATACCCTGTATGCCAATTACACATGTATGTATATATACACACACACAAAATATTTTTATGTATGCATCATATGTATTAGCACACGTTAACATTAACTCACTTACTCGGACTCACTAGAAAACAATTCACTGTTAATAGCTCATTCTCAAATTGCTCCTTTATTCTGTTGGTATAGTAAGCCGAAGGGTGCACATCCTACTCATGCCCCACCAAAATATTACCATGCCCCACTGGTGGGGCATCATTGTTTTAAACTAAACTGGGCTGACTTAGTCTACTATTGAAAATAAAGTTAATTCAAAATCCAGTAGTGCTGGATTTTCAAAAATAGTAGTCCGATTTGGCAACTTAGGCCTTATAAAAGATCTGCTAAGCTTAAAGAAAAGGAATTGATAGAAACAGACAAAATAGGATGAGTGAATAAAACTTTTAATCTTGCAGATTCCTTTAGCTAAATACTAAAGAGATTGTGTGTTGTTGAATTTATAAATAAATATAAACAAAATTTTTTTTTTTTTTTTTTTGGAAAATTAATCACTTGTTTTTGTCGTCAATTGAGTGAAATGCTTAGTGTTTTTATTTTTAATTTCTAGATGGCAACAAGGAGAATATGACTGAGTGCTTAATCTCGGAAGGTTTAGTTGAAGTGAGACGCGGTGGACTTAAACCTACAGAGTAAGTAAAATGGAAGTCTTTTTGGTTAGTTCTACTTGAATAACTGGCAATGCAACTCAACAATTTTTCATCTTTTTGTATTTTAATTGGTTTTCCCATTGTAAATTTTAATTTTTTTTTAATTGGTGATAACTGAGAGAAATGAATAAAAAATGCTTTTCTTCATCATGCTGATAATCAAAAATATTTAGAAATTGGTTTTATTAAAGCAATAAAAGCAGACATGTCAAAAGAAGAAAAATTACTGGCAATGCTATCATAAAGTGGTAATGAAATGTAGCATAAGAAAAACAAAAAAGACAGCTAAACCACTTTTTGTGCTCTCATCAGAATTCAATTGAAGATGAAAAAAGTGCACACTAAAAATGAATGCCAAAGACCAAATGTTATAACACTTCCAGACTAATTACCTTTGAGCCCATAAATCACTCCTTCTGCTTACAGAGAGATGATTAGTATGACACACCATTAAATTATTTTCAGAATTAACCTTCCTCTGTAATGAAGGTAAAAAATTGGTTTTGATAAAGAAATTCTTAAAGAAATTTCTCGACTCTTTCAGTTGCATAGCAGAGATTTATCTGATTCCAGACTTAAATCAGATTTTGTATAACAGAAATTTTGAAACTAATTATTTCATTATCATTACACTATTTCTCTTATAATTTATTTTAGTGAAGGCCAACAAAAGCTGGTTCAGTTGGAGGAGACAGCAAAATCTTCTGGTCGTGGCAAGTGGTCAAACGACTCAGTTAATGACCATATCAGAAATATCACGTGGATTATTGACAATCCACGCAATTTTGTTGACTCACATCACAACAAACCAATTGATGGTGAGTAATTTTATCAATTTACTTTTTTATTAATTGATGCTTTTTGCTGTTTGGAAACAAAACTTTTTTTCTCCTCCTCTTCAAATTATTTTTGTTTACATTTAATCATTATTGGCTATTAAGCATTGAAGGTTTCTTTTTCTTCAGATATACAAAATTGTTTTATGCCTTAATAGATGTTTAGTGACTCAAAACCAACATCTGTAGAAAAACCAGCAAGGATTTTCTTATTTAATAACTCAAAAAAATAGATTCTGTAATCAAGAATTATTCATCAGATCAATATTAGTTCTTTAAATAGTTTGTCTTTTACTTTTTCAGCGGTGATTGAACATGTTCGTGATGGCTGTACTGTACGGGCTTTCCTTCTTCCTAGTTTTGAATATGTTACAGTTATGTTGTCTGGAATAAAAGTGAGTTACTGGGTCATTTTCTATTTTTATAAAACAAACGTTTTCTACTTCTTTTTTTTTTTTTTTGTTTTCTTTGAGGCAGGACTGGGATTAATCTTGCACAATACAAGGTGGGTCCTGCCTGACAAAGGATAAGGATTTGTCAATGATTTGAGGCAAGGTTTTACAAGGACAGATCCTCTTCCTGAACCACAACTCTGAGACATACAGTTGTCCATGTAGACAGTGTTTTTATTGAGACTTCATCTCTAGGAAGGTTGCCAGGCAAAGAATGAGTCCCTCCTCTCCCCACGCACACACACTTGTTGGCCATTGTTTCCTATAAAAAGCGCATTCACTCAGAGGCAGGTCTTACTTTTCACCCTCACCAGCAGAAAAACTAGTGGAGAAGCTCGTTTAAATGCCAACTATCCATTCATGTGGCAGGTTGTACTAGGCTAGATGTTACCACCCAAAATTTTTAAATTAAAGCTTTGCTTTTTTTTTTTTTCTTATAGCCATACAATTTCTTTTCAAGCTGATTTTGTGACAATTTTATAAAATTGAGAATTATGAATTAATGATTAAGTCATAATAGGATCATTTCTATTTGATATTTTCCAATGAAAGTTTTCTAATCATTGCATTTTTCTATCATAATTTATCCCCACAGAAATAAAAGCTGTTCCATGCAATTTAATAATTATATGAAGGATTGAAAATTGAATGGTAACTTCAAAGGGCATTGAATATGATTACTTGTTCCATCTTGAATTCATGGCCATTGGTTGCTATAAGTTTTTCCTTAAGCTTTGTTCATTTGCTTGCTGTCTGGAACCCCCTGACCTGATGACAAAGGAAATATCTCTACACAAGTGAAATCTTTTATTATCCTTATCTTTGTTGTTTTGTGTAGAACATTCAACATTTCACTGATTTCAGTAGAATTAAAACAAAAAGAATTTGTCTTAAATTCTTAGCATTTACAAATCTATTGTAGTGATCATTTATAATTGGCTATAATTTACTGTTATTAATTTTCTGTATGTAAAATTAACTAAGTTTATTATCATTTGAATTCCATAGATTTTATACTGGCTTTTAACTTTTAACAAGGTCATACTTGCATAATTTTTAAACTTCACTATATCAAACATTCTGAATGAAACCATTAAGTAAATGGCTTCCTGTTCAATGCTCCCTTATTTGAATAAATATATGTATCTTTGGTAGGGGATAACTAATAATAGAGATTTTGTATATAAGATTTATTCCAACTCATGATCTAAATAATGAGCTTTACATTGACTCTTTGCTTAAATTCCTTAAGGTATTGAATCCCTTGGTTCTTTGTCAAAATCACTTGTGCTGTGAATTGAAGAGACATGATTTCCTTATTAAAAAAATTGTTTTCCTTCCTCATTCATTTGCAATGGATTTTCTTTTTCAACAGGCTCCAATGTTCAAGATGGAAGGAGACCAACAAGTACCTGAAGAATTTGCTGAAGAAGCAAAATATTTTACAGAATCCAGGTTACTACAGAGAGATGTGAAAATCATTCTTGAAGGAGCATCTAATCAAAACTTCCTTGGCACTGTTTTACATCCAGTAAGAGAGAAATAGAATGATTTTAACATTGCTTTGAAAAATGACTTTATTTAATGATATTGAGAAATGATTGAAATGTAAATGGGAGAATTTCTATCAGTTTCGTTTGTCTTTCACTTTTTATGACAATGGGACAACTAAACTATGTACAGTAGTTTTTTTTCGTTTGTACTGCTGGCACTTTTGGGTTCATGCCTTTCTCAAAATCATTTAATGGAAATTATTGACATTTTGGCTGATATAACTACAAGTCTGACAGGGTATCAATCTTACTTTCGGCATTTGGTTACATGATGGTAAATTCTCAAAGTTAAGCAACATTATACTTGGTCAGGATTTAGATGAGTATGTTTGATGCTGATTTCCCTAAGTTTAAGAATTGAAATGAGAGTAAGCTGAAAGTTACTGATTGTAAATAAATTTACAATCAATTAAATAAGTACTCCTGACAGCTGAAACCTACAGTTTAGTTTTCATAATTCTTATATTATGTCATCAACTTTTTAATTGTATGTTTAAACTAAGCAGAAATTAGAAAAGCTAATCTTTTATAAAACCAGAATTTATTTGAAAATTTAAGATTTTTTTAAAAAATTACTTTTTTATGTAAGATTGGAGAGAAAATTGTGAAGATGTAAAATTGTGTGGGGAAAGATGTTTGCCACAAGTCAGATTTTTTAGAACACAGATGGCCTTTGCAGACCACACTGTTATAAAGAGTTGAATTAAGAATAACAGATTCTCAAGAGGCAAATTGCCAGTGCTGTCTATTAATAATTGCCCTGAAGTTCTCATCAGATAAGAATAAGACCTTTGCAATAAACACTCAGTGGCAATGAACCCCCACATTAAACAATGAGTGTCATCCCCTACCTGACTTACCCCTCTCACAAACTTGGTGATAATGGGAAGTTTCCAGGTTTTTTAAAAAGCCTATGAAAGTTACTGGTCCAGATAAAATTCTTGTGATGGTTCTTAAGAACCTTAGCCTGTAGCTGTTCCCAATCGTGGAAAAATTGTTTAACCACGTAGGAGAAATAATTTCCAAATCTATAGAAGATATCAGCTGTATTTGCAATATACAAGAATGTCGGTAAGCCTATTTACTCTAACCCATGACCTTACAAAGTTGACAAGCAATAACCTCCTGAATAACAAACAGTATAACTTTCTCTCCTAGATTCACTGTTTATGCCTTAACTACATTACGCATATATTCAGTGAAGCATTTGATAAATAAATCCATCATAAAAGCAATTGCCTTAAATACCTCAAAGTGTTTTGACAAGTGGTATAAAGGGATGCTACACGCTCTCTAATTATAGCATTTCTGGAAGAGCCTTTTTCAATTATCAAGTCTTTCCTATCAGGTAGATTCATGAACGTTTTTGGTGATGGGCAGACCTCTGATGTCTATGAGTATAATGCAGGCATCCCCCAAGGCTCTCTCTTTGGTCCTACCCTTCGTTTGCTTTATATTAGCGGCCTGACCAAGAACATTCTCAGATCATTAGTAATTTTATATATATATAAAGAGGAGGGACTGACTTGGAACATTTAGTACATCCAAAACCAAGTTAGTAACATTTATCATCACAGAGCAGACCTCGAGTTTTCTCCAAATCATAATGAATGATCGTACTCTCAATGAGGTTCCTTGCCTTTTGAATGTCTATTGGGATTCCAGCTCATTCCAGACCTCAAGTGGAACTTGTATATATGATAAATTGCTAAAGATACTGCAAAAATGGTCAGCTCCTTGCAGCACTCTAGAGAGTACTTGACTCCTCCTGCCATGCTCTCTTTACAAGAATCTGATCAGACCAAAAATGGAGTATTGTTGCCATATCTTGGTTTGAGTTAGCAAATCCTCACTTTCCAGTTCAGACATTTATGTGGCCTTGTCAGTGATTAATTATTTTTCACCCTACAAGCCTTTCCCATAGCTGAAATATTACTAGCCTTTCCCATAGCTGAAATATTACTAGCCTTTCCCATAGCTGAAATATTACTAGCCTTTCCCATAGCTGAAATATTACTAGCCTTTCCCATAGCTGAAATATTACTAGCCTTTCCCATAGCTGAAATATTACTAGCCTTTCCCATAGCTGAAATATTACTAGCCTTTCCCATAGCTGAAATATTACTAGCCTTTCCCATAGCTGAAAATATTACTAGCTTTCCCATAGCTGAAATATTACTAAATATTACTAGCCTTTCCCATAGCTGAAATATTACTAGCCTTTCCCATAGCTGAAATATTACTAGCCTTTCCCATAGCTGAAATATTACTAGCCTTTCCCATAGCTGAAATATTACTAGCCTTTCCCTATTCTATTGCTATTTTCATGGTAGATGTTTAGACAAACTACATTCCTTAGTTCTGCCAGTCTGGACCTGCCATGCTACGTCCACGGGATTGACTCATCCTCATTTCCTTCATCTTTCATTGGTAAAGAGGAAGTTTAACTCGGACAGTTTCTTCCCCAGAACTGTTATATTGTAGAACAGACACCTGAAAAGATGTTTCCCTGATTACTACAATCTTAAGATTAGGGTCAACAGTTATCTATTCTACATATCCTTATAATATGCACCTTTTACTTCCTCCTTACAGCAAACTCGTTTAGTAACCCTGGCTCTTGGGTGAACAATAGTATAAAAAACAGTGGGTGATAAAATGTCATATAATAAATTATATAAATAAACTCCTTGCTTTGCTTTGCCTTGGGAAAACATGGTCAACTGTACCAGCTGTTCTGTCAATTGTGCTACAAGAACTTCTATTGCTAACAGAAGATCAAACATATTTAAACATACCATCTGTCTTTGATTACTGGGCAACATGTTATTGCTTTTATGTAAATATATAGCAGTATTAATATTATCAGGATTTTACTTTTATTAGATGAAGAATTGTCAATCAATTCTTGGCCAGTATTTCTTTCATGTTAGTTTTAGTTGGTGTTTGCAATAAGGACCAATTTACAGCTGAAAGTAAAAAATAAAAACCCCTCCTGATGAGAGGTTTTCTTTTGGGGAAAAGAGGAACTTTTTTATGATTGGTTATTTTCTTATTCCTAATATTTAGTCCTTGCATTGTTTTGAATTGAAAGAGTTTCAAATATTTCTATGACTTTTGAAGTTTTTCTGCAAACTGTCTCGTTTCTGTTTATCATCTGATACAAAACTCTCTAGTTCTAATCAGTAAATCTTTCGCTTTCCATTGTAACTTTTATCTGCAGACATTCCTTGCATCTCTCAGCAACCGAATAATATAACAAGTAGTCAATAAAAATAGAGAAAAAAAAAATATTCTTCCTGCATGGAAAGGAAAGAGGATGGCTACCAGTTTTCATTTTTTTTATTTATTTTTCCAGAAAGGGAACATCACAGAATTATTATTGAATGAAGGCTTCGCTCGTTGTGTTGACTGGAGTATGGGAGTTGTAACAAGTGGCACTGAAAAGTACAGAGGTGCTGAAAAGTAGGATGATTTTTTTTGTTTTCTTCTCAACTCAACATTTTTTTAAACTGTTTCTTTTGATTGAAGTTTGGGGACAATAAGGATTTGAATATCATTGTATTGTAAAAACTATTTTTATTTTTACACTGATGATTAAATTTTGAAATATTTTACAGTATTTTCTAAGTATTTGTTTTACATGTGTCTGACAAATACTTAGCATGAATAAATATATATAATTTAGGTAGCAACCTCTCTTATACATGTTTCATTAAAGACAACAGATAAGGTACTGTGATTAAGATTTTTATTTGAATTTTCTTGTGTTCGAACAAGTGTTTTCTTTTCTGGACACAGCATGTTTAGAAACTGTCCAAATGTTCTGTAATTATGAGCGCTTTCGACTATACTTTTAGCCATTATCAAAGATGATTTTATTTTTACTTTTTAACTGGATTTATAGGTTGTGTATCTAGAGTTATGGGGATGTTTTATTTTTTGAACACGGCACATTGCGGCTGTGTTTGCAGTTATTATTGAGTGTTGGCTTTTTCTTTTTTTTATTACTTAGGCTTCCATTATTTTTATTTTTTTTTTTTTTTTACATATGGATGAGGTTATTATGCTTGTATTTTCTACTAGTATTACATTGGTCACACTACTACATTGCCTATCCAGACAATTTACATTAAACCTATCCAGCCAAAGCTCCATCAAAACTCATTTAAACATGCACACAAAGCTACTAGACTCTATCCAAAAACATGCTCGGAATTACGGAAAATTTGGACAGTTTTTACACCCTCTGTCCAGAAAAGAAAACACTTGTTTGAACACAAGAAAAATTAAATAAAAAAAATATATATGTATATGTATATCTAAAGAATTAAAATTTTTATAATCTGACATTATTCTGATTACTATAAATTTTATATTTGGATAGAAAAGTGCTTGCTTGAGTAAATAGATCTGTTCTTTTAATTCAATTACACTGTTTAAAGAAAAATAGGTATGTCTACTCAAACATGTATCCACTAAATATAACATTTAAGGTAATAAGAATAATAATATACTAGAAAAACCTGTGACAATTTCACCGTTTTCCTATTTAAATTTTCTGATGCATCTTAATTTTAAACTCTTAAGTTAATGATTGAATAAACTCATAGCAAGTTCGATGACAATAATATATGTGTATAAATTCCCCTATTGCATCATTAAATATTTAAGCCTAACTTTAACAAAATATTGCAATAAAATTCATAAATATTAATGCTGGTTATTATATATGTGGATAGATATGAAAAAAATTTGAAATTAACAACCTTTTCCATTTCACTGAAACAGCCATTAAACACTTTTATCTTCCCTTTTCTTTCTTTTACTTGCTGAAATCAAGTGTCTTTTCCCATCTTTCCACGTATCAAAATGGAATAGTCATTAAGTCTGAAAATGATGCTTTATCAGGGTTGCCATCGTTTCTCGGTTTTTTGACTGAGATAAAAGTGTAGTATCTGTTCTCATCAGCTTAATCTGATTCTCTCTCTCTATATATTCCCTTTCATTCATTTTCTCACTGAAACCAAGAAATGTTTTCCTCTCTTTCCACATGATCAAAATGCAGAATAGTCCATTAGATATTGACAAGTCGTAACGGTTGTGCTAAATAATGAAAGACAAGTACAATTATAATAGGATATTGTTTGTTGTTTATGGAGTAATTATCGAGAAATTGGTTATAGCATGGAATTTAAAGTAAATTTATGTTCTTTACATCTGTTTCTTTTATGCTTAATGATACAAAAATCTTAAAACTGTAATTATTTTTTATTGTTAGATTTTTATTTCATGTTTATTTTTTGATGGAATCATATGTTTCATTAAAGAATATTGTGAAGGTACTGCATTTTTTTTTTTTTTTTTTTTTTTTTTGTGTTCATAAAAATTTTTTCTTTTCTGGACATAAAGTATGTCTAAATATTCTGTATGTCCAAGCACTTTCACCTATTTTTTTAACCATTATGAAGGATGATTTTTATTTTTAACTGAATGTATGGATTTTTTAAGTCAGTATCTAGAATTACAGAAACGGATTTTATTTTCTGAACACAGTCAGCATGTTGTGGCCATGTTCATAGTTGATGTTATTTAGTGTAGGCTTTTTCTTTTTTTATCATTAATGCTTCCATTATTTTTAACCTTTTTTTTACATGTGGACGAGGTGATTATAGTTGTATTTTCTGCAAGTATGTTGCAGATGGAGTTTGGTTGGTTTCTGTGTTTATTGGGTCCTAATTGAGCTATGGTTAGGGAGCTGTAATGTGAGTCTTGATAGGCATGTCCAAATACACACACATACACTGTGTGTGTGTGTGTGTGTGTGTGTGTATATATATATATATATATATATATATATATAAAATGAAATCCATTTGTCACATTGTCCCTATTCCTAAAAAAACCCCAAAAAAAACAATATATCTTTGTGTGTGTGCATTAATAAACACATTATCTGTTAATTGTTGAAATGTTTTTCCAGGAGAGCAAAAGAAAAACGCCTCAGAATCTGGAGGGATTACAAACCTTCAGGTGTGGCTATTGATGCAAAGAACAAGAGTTTTACAGCTAAAGTAAGTTATTCTTAAGATTTTTTTTTTTTTAACTCAAACTGCTTAGAACCTGTTTTGTTTTTCATATCTTGTAGAACTGTAGCATTGAGCTGGTCTACTTGTCAGGTGACCCTCTTGACCTCTTGATTACTAAATCTCATCTGAGGAAAGAAAAATGCATCTATTTGATAAAAAGAGGGGGGAAAGTTGCTTTCATGTTAGTGAAGAAACAAATGAAGAACAGAATGAGTTTTGAAACAATTCATGGTTGATTGTTGAATGACAAATTGCTGTTCCGTAGAATAGAGGATTGTAAAATTGGCTGTATATACAGTAGAATGGTGGGGAATGATATTTGACTACTCTATCTGGTACTTCAAGATCAATCTGTGATGAATGAGTCCTTTAATATACCAATGCCACAATGTCACCATTTCTAGAGATGACAAGGTTGAGAGAAAGGTTGTGCCAATATAAAGTTGTTTGTTTACAAGAAATCTGATATTAAGCACATTTTAGTAAAAATGTTTATTTGGGACTGTGACAGACTTAGTCCTATGATTTTATTTTGAACACAAAAAAAAAAAAGAACTATTTCATTTCTGAGATAATTGTTAGAATTCTTGTATTATTTTGAACTATTGTTCTCTGTAGATGTTATTATAGACAACATTTTGACTAAGTACCCTCTGGTCATCATCAGGTGTCTATTAATTAGCTGATATTGGATATATGTTTGTGATATTTTATTCCTGTGATAGCAGTTATTGTTTTTCCTGTTGAATTAGTGCTTTACTACCAATGGATACCTGATGATGACCTGGGGGTACTTGGTTGAAATGATATAACAACATCTATATCAAGATGAGAGTAATAGTTTGAAATAATACAAGCATATTAACAAAAGGACAGTATTAGTCTTGGGAAGGAGTGGAGTACCAGATGCAAGAGCCACAATATAGTTATGATGAATGAGATATAATCTCTTTAAGATTATTTCCTGGCATTGCAGTATAATTATTCTAAATACCAAATCTTATTCTATTTTAGGTTGTTGAAATTGTCAATGGAGATGCCATGTTTGTCAAGTCTTCAGATGGTACAATTAAGAAAATCTTTCTTGCAAGTATTCGGCCGCCCAGGTTAGAAAGTATTTCTTTCCTGATTCCACCCTCATTTTGGATATTAATTTTCTTTCATGAACGGACATTATTATTTTATTTACCTTTTCTTAATGTGAATTTAATTTACTTTCATTTCTTTTATAATTTTAAATTTCTGAAACAAAAGTTGATTTTCCTAACATTTGTTGATGTTTCTCATTTAACTAAATTTTAGATCTTGTTTTGAATTGTTTGCTCCAAGTAGAATTGTCACAGTTATTTTATTTTTCAAAATTAAAATTAATAATTAACTCGGTATAATAATTACAAGTGAAAAGGAAAAAAAAAAAAAAATAAGGAAAAATAATATATATTTATTTATTTTTGTATGGACTTATGTAACTTTTTTTTTTTTCTTTTTAGGCTTGCTTCAGAAAATAATGAAAATGCACCCCCAAATATAATGAAAGATTCTAATAGACGTGTTAGGCCACTTTATGATATTCCATACATGTTTGAAGCTAGAGAATTCATGCGAAAAAAACTGATTGGTAAAAAAGTAAGAAATTGTTTACCTCTTGTCAATTGGAAATTAAAATTTTTTTTTTTTTTTTTTTTTTAAGCGTCTATAAAATTAAGAAACCCCAAATGGAAAACCAAACTAAGACACAGCTATAACAACAACAACAACCAAAAATCAGCAATTGAAAAGTTTCATACTAATTGTGATCTTCAGATGACTAAAATTTGAATCATCTAAATGACATATATAGAGAGAAACTCTCTAGAAGAAGAGTTAGGATTTTAGAGGTGGTATACCGTAATGCATCTCTGGTTGTTATATATAGATATAGATAAAACATGTATATAAAATATACATATAAGGTGTGTTCAAAAAGTATCTTTATTTTTTCCTGCCAAAACTAAAGTCAAAATTCTTTGGGTGGGAATCGATGCTACCCTTCCTGCATATGTGTAAAAAAAATTTGTACCAGTAGGCCATGTCATTTCCTGGTTGTTATGCCTAGAGTACACATGTGTAGTGCATGTTCATTGGATTTTCATTTACATTCAAGATGACCGAACACATTGAGCAGAGATATTGCATTAAATTTTGCCAAAAAACTTGGTGAACCATCCAGAAGATTCAGCAGTCCTTTGGCAAAACTCAGATCAAAAGAGTGGTACAACCACTTCAAACATGGCTGCACCTCAGTGGAGAGAGAGACACACTTAGACAGGCAATCCACAAACTAAGGTGGGAATAAGTAAAGAATTAGTTCATTTCATTTTAACGAAGGATTTGTGCATACACTGAGTATCGGCAAAATTCATCCCCAAGGTGCAAAAGCAACTCTGTATAGAAATCGTGTATTTTTCAGATTGGGAAGAGTAAGGAGACAAGTGGGATGTTGTTTTTGGTGCAATATCTCTGTCCAATGAGCTCGGTCATCTTGCATGAAAATGAAAATCCAGTGAGCATGCACTACATGTCTGTACTCTATATGTAATAGCCATGAATTGATGCGACATACCAGTGTGAAAATTTTCACGCATGAACAGGAAGCATGGCATCACCTCCCACACAAAAAGATTTTGCCCATGTGGCAGGAAAAAATAAAGTTGAATACTTTTTGAATGTAACTCATACATACATACATACATATATACACACACACACACACACACACACACATATATATATATATATATATATATATATATATTTATTTATTTATTTATTTTTTTTTTTTTTTTTTTTTTTTTTTTTTCTTAAGTGTTTCCCCCCAAGCAAGGCGGGAAGCCACTAGGACGCAAGGGGTTACAGAAGATTTGGAGCAAGATCAGATAGGAGTGATAGAGGAAAGGAGAAGCATAGTGGATAGATCAAGGCAACTGGAGATATCAATTGACATTACATTTGAATAGTTGGAGATTATAGCTCTCAGGGAAACTGGAATAGGGAAGGGAGTTCCACAGGAGAGAGGTGTGAGACATGAAGCTATTGTAGAAGAGATGGCTATATTTAGTAGTTTCAACAGTGAAAGGGGTGAGAGCAGGGTGCCAGCCTCGTAGGGTGCTTGAACTCATGAAGTCTGGGAGAGAGTGACTGTAGGTGAGATGCCAGAACAGAGCCAATTATATTGCATATCCGCCTCTGGTGCCTATCAAGCACCCCGAGGCAAACAGAAGGGGCTCCAGACCATATATGGCAGCAATGATTAAAGTAAAGAGAAAGAAATTAGTTGGAATTTGCTATATTTTTGATACTGGAAAACAATTGGTTGTTGCTATGATTTTTATTTGCATATTTAAACAAATGTGTGATTACCATAGAAAATAACAAATTATAAAAACAAAGAAAATGTGAGGAGAAAAAAAAATGAGAATTGCTACTTTGTTTGGCAAATAAAAAAATCTCTTAACTGGTCTTGAAAAAACGAATCATTTATCTGTAATGAATTTCTCCAGCAGCAAGACAGACGGTGAATCTGAATATTTTCTCAGAATTGACATCATTGAAGGGATTAAAAAAAAAATCTTGTTTTGATCATCTGTCTGTATTTGGTGCAGTGGGTTGGCTGGGGAATTTTCATTAACGCCCCATAAATAGATTTAATAGCTTTGGATCAAAGAAGTCGGTATAAAGAGATGCAAATACATCCATTTGCTGATTATTCTGAAAATTGTTTCCTTCACAATCTCAAGTGAAGGAAACCAACAAAAGTTCTGAAAAAATGTTCCTCATGATTTTCTTCTCACCAAATTTTTTATTTCATAAAATTTCATTTGAACAATTTTTGAGTTGACTTTAATTTTAGCCATCAAAAGTTTTTTCTTTTGGCAGCTCACTAATAAATTTTTTAATTGTGATTAGTGACTTCTTTTTTTTTTTTTTTTTTTTTTTACTTTATGAACCATGAGGTAAGATGTGGTTGTCAGTCTTTATGATGCTGACAATGAGTTCTCATCTTTGTAGTTGTGCCATCAAGGCTACATCTATGATTTGTTTTTACTTGCTTTTTAATGCAAATAACTGGTACCTGGTGTCTTAGGCAGGAATGAGAAATCTTACTGGTAAAAAAAAAAAAAAAAAAAATTTTATGGGAAAAATTTATTGAAAATATAACACACAAAACAAAGAAATTTATTGATTTAGTTGGATATTATAAAGTTGCCATTTGAAGTCAGATTTTGTAATTGACCTTTTATAGGTCAACATGTTAAGATAACTACAAATAATCAGTCTCTCTAGAATATCATTTAAGACATACAAAAAGGTTTGCTGATTTGCTAAAAAGCAGATTACTGGAAAAAATCAATTGAAAGGACAGACCAATAAAATTAAGAATTACAATTAACACATGAATTAAAATTTCTATTAATTAAAATAGATTAAAATTTATTTATTACATGATATACATATTAATTTTGGTAATGTCTTTATTTTTTAATAGTAGCATAGTGAAATAATTTGTATTCTGTTGCTGCTTCAATCAACTTTGATTTAATTAAATCAGTTAATGTAATTAATCTTCTTTTTTTTTTTTTTTTTTTTAAACCCTCAGATTAATGATCTACATTTTTCTTTCTTCAGGTGAGTGTGCAAATTGATTATATCCAACCTGCATCAGGTAACTTTCCAGAAAAGACTTGTGCAACAGTGACAAGTGGAAATATGTAAAGTACTGAGATATGTCTCACACACACACACACACACACACACACATATATATATATATATATATATATATATATATATATTTATATTTTTAGTAAAATATACACATACATATGCAAAATATATATACATAGGTGCATACACATATATGTATATTTTTGAATAAAAAAATTCGAGAGATAGAATCCAGGTAGAACTCAATGTCCAGGACAGAGTAAGGATATAATAAAAAGGCTTAAACACTAATATTCCATGGTCATAATTTATTCCATTGGAATCAAAATACAATCAATTCATCAGACCTACAAATTCAAAAAGAAAAACAACTCCGAAATAAAAACAGAATTTAAAGAGAGTCTAGAGAAGGAGGGAGATTAAACCATAACCAAGAGAATTTTAGGAGAGGTGAGTGGAAGGGGTTTAAGTAAGAGAAATATGAATGTTGTCGGATGTCTAATGCATAAAGATACATTTCGTGGTGACATACACACACCATAGACGATTTAATGTCAGAATAAGAGGGAGGGAAAGACTAGGTGGGGGAGAGAGATGAGGCGAAGGAAAGTAAAATCGCATTTATAGAAAGGGCTGCTGTGTAATTGAGAAAATTTGACAAATTTAATATCGACTACAGGTTACAAATCAAATATAAACATATAAAAAATATAACGATTATCTAATCTAGCAAGGACCTATATCGAATACACACATACACAATAACATATACACGTATATACATACACATAGGCGTGTACCCACATACACGCATACATATACCCATGTACACACATATATAAATATATCCACATATCCACACATCCATCTATATCTATACACACACTTTTCACATATATATATGTGTGCATGTATATATATATATATATATATATATATATATATATATACACACACACACACTTAAAAACAAACAATATACAAAAATACATACGGACATATGCATACGTGTACATAAACATATATACTTAAAACCTTACATTTCTATACAATTACATACACCCATTTAAACAAATAAACATTGTATCCCTGTATCTATCCGTCTAATTATACATACATACTTATATACGTACATATACACCCATATACAAATATATATGAGTACATACATACCAAAACATACACACACATATATACACTCATCACCATATCCATCCATCTACATATATATCCATCCATCCATCCACATATATATCCATCCACATCTATATCCATCCATCCATCCACATTAATACCCATCCATCCATCCGCATCAATATCCATCCATCCACATCAATATCCATATATCCATCCACATATATATCCATCCATCCATCCATCCATCCATCCGCATCAATATCCATCCATCCATCCATCCACTTATCCATCCATCCACATATATATCCATCCATCCATCCATCCATCCACATATATATCCATCCATCCATCCATCCACATATATATCCATCCATCCACATATATATCCATCCACATATATATCCATCCATCCATCCATCCATCCATATATCCATCCATCCATCCACATATATCCATCCATCCATCCATCCACATATCCATCCATCCATCCATCCATATATATCCATCCATCCATCCATCCACATATATATCCATCCATCCATCCATCCACATATATCCATCCATCCATCCATCCACACATATATATCCATCCATCCATCCACATATATATCCATCCATCCATCCATATATATCCATCCATCCATCCATCCACATATATATCCATCCATCCATCCACATATATATCCATCCATCCATCCACATATATATCCATCCATCCATCCACATATATATCCATCCATCCATCCACATATATATCCATCCATCCACATATATACATCCATACATCCATACATATACATACACATATATATATATATATATATATATATATATATAATTTAAAATCTAAATAACATTTCAAACAATTGGGCGTATAAAAAAAAAAAAAAACGGGTAAAAAAATAAATACATAGTGCATCACATAAACATACACAATGATACATATAGAGATAAACATAATAAACGTAATAGTCATTCCATTAAAAAGTCATGCCCGATGTTATTGAACCAAGATGGAACTGACATAAGTGACAACATGTTACAAAACAGTGTTTATGTTTTGAATTGTTTCTCATGTCTACATTTAGAAAATATCTCATTACGAAGATTCAGCAGTTCCTCTTGATTCTTATCTTTGATAATGAAGATTTTTTCCCCCCATGCACAGATCACACTGATCGCGGAAGTTATTAGGTGTTCTGGCACTTGATAGGTATCTCCATTTCAAAATTGGGGTTAATCCCTTATCCACCTGATCTCAGTAGTGTTTGGATAAGGAAGTTTGACTTCTGAGGTATCTATATCTAAATAAGCGTCTATGGTTGTATAGACGCTGCTTCCAATCACCGGCGGATATACCTATGTATCTTTTTTTCTCGTTTATGTTTTCCTCGGGAAAGATTGTTGCCTTGTATATTACATTTTCATACTTACATTTACCCCTATATATATATATATATATATATATATATATATATATATATATTTGACATTTTTATTCTTTCGAACATTATTATAGTGGATACTCATTTTTTAAATAAATGCCCCATTTTTACTTTTACTTTAAATGTTGTGTGTGTGTTACATCTATTGGCCTGTACCCTTGAGAAATCTTTATAAAGATCTCTGGCAGGATTTGTAGGAGAAACCATTGTTTTATTCGATGTGCTTTACTTTCCTTTTAAGAGCCTAGCTCTTCATCGGTAAACGGTAAAGCACACCAGGTAAAATGGTGATTTCTCTTACAAAGAATGCAGGTTCAATTCCTGCTGGAGATCACATTTTCTTTATTAGCATTTCTAGAATACACAGGCCAATAAACATAATACACACTGTTGGGGAGGAAAAAAACTGACAAAGCAGAAAATTTTTTTATCTGAAGCATTTCATCCTTTAGGACTTCATAAAACTAAAGTGGTGTTTATGCCAACACATGTGCATGAAGGAGTGGGGAACACTGAAATTTTCATTTAAAATTTTTTTGTGTGTGTTTTGTGAATATAGTCCCATTGATTTATTTATTTTTAATTTTTAATTTTTTTTTTTTTTGATGTGTTCATCACTTCTGTTATTAAATATCCTACATTGTAGTAATAGAAGAATTGCCCAGAAAGGTGAAGTGAAATGTTGTAAAAACATGATGTAAATTTACTGTGAATGATATAGTGATTAAAGCACTTTCTATACATTTTCATCTTAGTATAAAAAAATTTATATATTGTTTCCAATACAGAGTTTAAAGTAAAAATGAGGCATCTATTTCCGACACAATTATCCACTATAATAACGTTTGAAGTTATATATATATATATATATATATATATATATATATATACACACACACACACACACACACACACACACACACACACACACACACATTTTGTAATTCCTGTCAGAATTTTGATGGACAAGATCTCGAATGAACGCCATGTGATCGTTTTGCTTCTCATTTTAAAAAAAATATTTGAACTTTGGGAAACCAAAACTATATTTGCCTGTTTGTGTGTCTTTTTATATTCTTACAGCAATGTAGCTGAAACCCTTGTTAGTAAGGGCCTTGCTTATGTGATTCGGTATCGACAAGATGACGACCAACGTTCTTCCCATTATGATGAGTTACTTAGTGCAGAATCAAGGGCTCAAAAGAAAGGTCTTGGTGTTCACTCCAAGAAAGAACCACCAATTCACAGAGTTGCAGATCTTTCTGGTGTAAGATTTTTTTTTTTTTTGCTTTAGAATCTATAAATATTCTCTCAGATTTAAAAAAAAAAAAAAAAAAGAATTGTATTTCTGGAAAGAGCTGTTTTGAAAACTGTTTGCAGTCACATGCAAATAAAATTTAAATAATTATAAACATAAAATATATATCAAGAAATATTTTGTTTATTTTAACATTACATGCTGCATCTGCATTTTTATCTATATGCACTGAAAATGTGTAATTATTCATAAATCAGAAGTGACATTAATAAAAATATTAAAAACATATTGAACTTGTCAAATTCTTAGAAAAACATAGGTTGCTTTTTTTCTTTTTTTTTTTTTTTTTTTTTTTTTTCTCGAAAAGCTTATTTGAATGAAAGAGCATCTCTTGAGTGATTTTAAAGAATATTGCATATAAGAAATAGTTTAATATTTTGACAGATTTTATTATATGTTGATGGCTAAATATCAATTGGAATCTCATTGTTAGATATTATTTTCTTACAGTTAAATACTTAAGTCTTTTTTTTTTTTTCCTTCTAATCTTAATATTTTGTGTCCTTCAAGGATGTAGCAAAATCCAAACAATTTTTGCCTTTCTTGCAACGTGCTGGTCGATCAGAGGCTGTTGTTGAATTTGTGGCCAGTGGATCCCGCCTCCGGTTATTCATCCCCAGAGAGACTTGCCTCATAACATTCCTGATCTCTGGTAAGTTATCATCTCTTGTCACACTTTGTCATTAACTGAAAAACAAAATTCATTAAATCTTTTTTTTTATTCGTGTTGAAGATTTATTATTTCATTTGTTAAAATGTGAATTTAAAAAACTATTTTCTCAGGTATTGATTGTCCCCGAGGCTCTCGACCCGCACCTGGTGGTGGTCCTCAAATTCCGTCAGATCCTTATGGTGAGGAAGCATTGATGTTTACAAAAGAATTGTGTATCCAAAGAGAAGTAAGAATCTTTGAATTTTGTTTCTCTACACATATATAAGCTTATGACAGTTATTGTAGATATATTTACATTTTTAACTTTGGTTGTAACTGTATAGAAGTCCATGGGAATATATGGAAGATAAACATAATATACATTTTTATTTTAAAACAGACTAAATTTTTGTGCAATTTTAAGTCTAAGTTTCTGTCCTTTGATATATAAAAGGGAGTTGAAAATTGGGTCAGGCAAGGACACTTCAGTATACTTATGTATATCATATGCAGTCATATTTATATAGATATATGCTCGTATTGGTTTACTGTACAGATATCAATATGAATATTACAATTGGCAACATTGTGACTACTACTACTACTGATAATATTAGTGTTTCATTTATTTTACTCCCAAGCCTATCAAAAATTCTCTGGCTACAACAAATTATGGACCACTTATTGTTTGATGGTGATAAACGCAAATATGAGTTATGTAAAGTTAAATTCTTAGATTATATGCAATATCAAATGTTTGTATGATGTCCTATTACAGTAATAGATCTGGCTCAGCATTAAGAATGATAAGAGGAACATTGGTAATTTTGATCATTCTGTATCAAAAAAAAAAAAATCCAAAAATATTTCTTTACATAGGATTCACTTCCTTGTAGAAATCAGGAATGTAAAGCATTATGGACTAAGTTATCAAGAAAAGTTTTATTTTGAAATTACACTGGATAAATCCGCAAGATGTATTGGAAGTGACAAGGGTGCAGAATTTGAACACTCAACCATATCTGTGTTAGAAAGTCATGAAGTTGTCACCACACCTGGTGAAGATTATTGTCCCTTTTAACCTGGGGAAACATTCATTTTTTTTATTTTTTTAATCATATAATTTCATGCAAAGCAGTAAAGCCAAAAGGGGTTACTGATTGTGTAAGGATATGAAGAAAGAGAAACACTATCAAGCAGTGAGAACAATAGAATTTTGTAAAATACATCTATTGGATGCTTTGGTACACATCATCAGTGATGTTTCTAGCTGCGGTTCATTAGGGGTTTCGGGTCTTTCAACATCATGCCCCCTCTCCACGGTGACACAGCTGATACTGATTGGGCATTGACTTGTGTACCTTTCATTAGCGACAGTTTTTTCCATCTTTATAACTACACACTGCAACTCCCCTTAGCCATTTATAGCCCACTCCCAGATAACTTCTGGTTCACCAGCAATGTTCGCTCTTCCATAAAAAAGGAAGCAAACGTACACACAATTTCTATCTGGAGAGAAAGAGTAATCAAGAAGATAGTAGATAATGATTGACATTGCACTTAAATTTTTGAAGATCAAAGTTGGCTGGGAAGCTAGGAACCAGAAGAGTTTCACAAGCGAGAAGTGTGAAAAAAAGGAACTGTTAGCATAGAACTTAAGGTTACATCTAGCCAATTCAACTGTGAATTGAGGAGACTTTGTTACCAATCTAGTACTGCACTTAAATTCATAAAGTCGAGGTACCATAGCAAAGAGTTCATCCAAATAATTACCATGAAAATATTTATAGAAAAAAATATGGGGAAGCTACATTACGGCTGGTGAGAAAGTGACTGAAGCCAAGATGCCAGGTCAGAACCAATAATATTGTGAATTCTTTGGATTTTATCAAGAATCTCTAAATATATTGCAAGAACACTGGCAGAAATATTCAAGGCATGGATGAATGATAGACTTATAAATATGTAAGAAGAGAAAAAAATGTATAGAACACAGTGAAACAACTTTTTTGGCAGCAGACCTAGCAATGGATTCAATATAATCTTTCCACTTCATATTAGCCAAGAACGTAAACCTGAGAAGGCACATGTCGCTCTCCTGGAGGTTAGTGTCAGTCATGCTGATGGAAGGCAGCGGGGATGGATATTTCATTATCTGAAACATACAAAGGAGCAAAGTTAAATTTTAATAATTTAAACCAATTTTAATTTGATTTCTGTGATAATATGGGATAATTCTAAAAATCTAAAATTATAAAAGTCCTATTATTACTGTCTGTGGTTTTCAGGTGTTGGCATACTTTGTTGATGTCTTTGAAAATTGAAAAAAAAAAAAATGTTGCACTGTCAAATTGCTAAGGCAGAATAAAAAAAACTAACAGCCATAGGCTGAGAGTCAATGTTTGTAATTCTCTCACTGAAAAGTCAGAAATTCTTATTTGTCATTTTGAATTTTGACAATCTGGACTATTTTGCTCTTCTTAGAAATCCTGTACATCACAAAAGATCAAAACATATCAAACTCTAAGTCCCATTTCATTAGGTATGAAGTGCAGAAAGGTGTTATCTATCTTGTTTGTTCCATCTGAGCAAAATGAAACAGATATATTTACTATGATTGAACTTAACTGAAGATTGTCAAGCCTCTTATGGGCATTCAATCCCAACATAAACTTTCTTAGATTTATATTATAGAAGTGTTAGATATATTCAATATAAATCTAAATGAGGGTGATTTTTATATATATATATATATATACACACACACACACACACACACACAGCAAAATCTATGACAATGGAAATGTTTTTTGTGTGATATGCTTTGACCTTTAGGAATCTATTGGATTAAATTAATGTTTACATTGATATGGCTACACATGTGAAGAGATGCTGAAATTTTAATTCAAAATTTTTTTTTTATGTGTGTGTTTTGGGTATATAGTCTAGTCGATTTAATGTAGTTTCTTTTTGTTTTTGTATTTATTACTTTTGTTATTAAATATTCCACATTGGTATAATAGAACTGCCAAGAAAGGTGAAATGTAAGAATCTGGTGTCATTTTACTGTGAATGATACAGTGATTAAAGTACTTTCTATACATCTTTATCTTAGTCAATTGCTTTCCCTTAAAGTATTTTTTAATCAAAATTGTGTTCACTCATTATGGTGAACAACTAATACATTGGGCATATTGTTTCAACTACATTTGAAAAGAATTTATTTAACCTTAATTTAAAATTTGTTACAACTGCTTCTGAAGTAATACAAAGCAAAATAAGCTAAAACTTGGAGGAATTTACTCGCCTGTAATAATTGCCACAAGGAATATATAGGAGAAACCTCAAAGAATTTAAATAAAGATTATATGAACACAAAAGGGATCTTTTACAAAACAAATCTTTAGTGAGTCAAATTTATTTTCAATACTTGTGTCAAGTGGAGTGAATTTGGAGCTAGAATAATGTTTTTAATATGATGGTACTTAATCTTTGATTAAGTTTTCTGATTTTTTTTTTTTTTTTTTTTTTTATAAAAATTATGTGATTTGTTATGAGGCTTATGTATTTGAGTCAGTCAATTTTAACTGTAATTTTTATTTTTTTAAATCTTTCTATGGATAAGAAAATTGAAACTCTGGAAGCTGGATTCAAGATTTCTTAACAGTTTTATCAATATTTTTTTTGTCTTTTAACAGCTTTTTTTTTTTTTTTTTTTTTAATACTGATATTGTTTGTATTTTTCAGGTTGAAGTTGAAGTTGAAACTATAGACAAAGGTGGAAATTTTATAGGCTGGCTGTATGTGGACAGCACCAACTTGTCTATAGCCCTTGTTGAAGAAGGTTTAGCTAAAGTACACTTTACAGCTGAACGTAGTTCACATTACAAAGCTTTGGTTGAAGCAGAAACAAAAGCCAGAGACATTAAAAAAAATGTAAGTTTTTCTTTTCTAAACATTTTTAGTTTCAAATCAAAAATACACTTGATTGACCAGCCTTGTTAATTTATTTCTTCATTGGCCAAAAGTGGCATTTGTAACACTAAAGTTGCAGGGTAGAAATTTGACTCTCCCATGTTTGTTTTATATGCAGATATTTTGCACCAGAATGCTTCCTCAATGATGTCTATTCTGAGGTCATAGAAAATTTTGGGCTTTCATGACATCAGACTTTCTCCCCCATGGGCCCAGCCAAGAGCAGTCATTTCGCAACTAGCATTCTGGCATAGCTTCTGCATGATGGCAGGAATCGTAAGCAATATTTGTGCCTACTCTGTCAGAATTCTGCTTTTGCATTTATTCATTTAGATTCCATAATATAGGTTTTTACTTAATTAGCTATTATGTTTCTCTAACTCTGCAAATGTTGAATGTATAACTAATTCTAATTTCTATTTTCCCATATTTACACTATATTAAATTTATCTTATAAATTGTCCCCTGTTCTGTCACCCATGAAATAAAAATAATTGTTTGTATAGAAAATAAGGATCTACGTACATCAAATTGTCTTTAAATTAAGTGGCAGCAGAAGAATTATTGAACTTTTAAAAGGTAAGCTTAAACATTCAATACTTAAATGCAGCAATCAATTTTGAGTTCTTCTGTAATTTATTGATGCCTATTGCATCTACTCCTGTTATTTATTATAAACTTTTTATTATAAAATAGCTTAAAAGCCAATAGGGCGGCTTTTAAGCTAGTTTATAATAAAATGTGCTCAGTAATTTGGGATACAAAAGGAAAATAAGTTACTCCCCTTGAACCATGAAAGCAACGATAATGCCTAGTATAATATATTAATATATATTTTTTAAGCTCACATAATTTGGCAACCCTGAATCTGAGCTTAATGAAAAGCATTCCTTGCGCCTAACTTTTCTAGGGCTTTTGAATGAGCTATGAATCATTGAAATCGGATCAGTGAGAGTGGAGGAGTTGCTTGGACAAACATGCATACACTGTACTCGTGTGTGTGTGTGTGTATAATATATATATATCTCGAGAGAGAGATTGTAAATATTTGTGATCTGTCGATGAAGACTAAACCCAAAATTGTTAAAATGATTTTTGTTTTATTATAAATCTCACAAATTTTTTCATTTTGTTTTCCAGAATATTTTGATTTTTTTTTTTTTTTTTTTTCCTGAATGTTTTTTTTTTTTTTTTTTTTTTTTTTTTTTCCAGATTTGGTCCACTTATGAAGAACCTAAACAAGAACAAGTTGTGGAAGAACCTCTTGAGCGAAAAATAAATTATCGCAATGTAGTTGTTACAGAAGTAATGAATGATTTGAAATTTTATGGTCAATATGTTGAAAATGGTAAGTGTAGTTGAAATGATTTTAGCTTTTAAACTTTGCTGATTTGGTTTTCAATGAGAATTTTTATCTCTAATATGTTCAGTTTGTCATACACAACACTTATGAAGTTATATCAACATTTATGTTGCACACATTATAGCCAAAAAATGAATATTCAAGCAGATTTTTATCAGCATTGATGTTTCACTCACTCATTCACTCACTCACTCTCATTAAATTTACATCAAATACAAAGAAATGTCCAAATAGAGATTTGCATCTACATCTGAAATAGATTTTCTTTTACGGTCTTTTAGCTCTTGGAATGTGGCTTACAGCCAGATCATGTTGAAATACTGGTTCCTGTATGGTCACCGAAGTTAAGCAACGTCGACCCTGGTCAGTACCTAGATGGGTGACTGCTTGGGAATATGAGGTGCTGTATGCTTGAATGAGTGAGTGGTTTAATGGATAATGACTCTGAATTGTTAATTGGAGAGCCGAGTTCCAGGTCCAATTGGATCCGTTTATATTCACTTACATGCAAATATCCTTGGGAAAGATATGAATCCATCTCTTCTCCCCCCAGTTATGGCTTAATTAGTAAGACTTGTATTACTAAAACCATTATCTCAAAAACTAAAAAAATTATCACAATCTAAATATTTTCTGGCTTTAAATAACCTACAAGAGGTTGATAAATCATAAAAAAGACAGATTAATCAATCAATCAAACCTGGAATGTATTATGATTTTGATTTTTCTTTGTGCGTGCGTATGATATCAAAAATTTTCATCCAAAACTTTTCTCAGTGCAGAAATGTGATGCTGGGTATAAATTCTTGAATCTCTGTTTAGAATTTGGAAAAACTAAAATATTTTCTTTTGGTTTTTATTTTTATACATTCAACAATTCCATACTAATTGTCATTTAGTAGTATTGCACTTATGAAAGTTTTTATGGCAGCTCAGTCATTTTTGATTCATTGGTATTACTGTTGAAGGATTAGTTTTTTTTTTCTATTCACTGAAATTTATTGGAAATGAATTACTGCTGATTTGTAATGTCTGAAGAAAATAAAAATGACTTTAATGATTTACCAGCTAGTGTGTCTAAAGTTTCATTTTGTAATGGAGTGACCTCAGAGGAGTCTGAGTTAGGTAGGAACAAGGAAACTTATCCTTAGATAGCTGAAATTTCTAGAACACATAATGAAGAAAGAAGGACTAGAGAATTTAACATCTGTAGGGCATATAAAGACAAGAAATAACATACTTCAAATAACAAAATAGAAGTTGTCAAGAGGACATTGCAATAAAAGATTTGTCAGGCTTACAAATATTTCCTGTTTCAATGCTAACATTGTTTTGGGACAATAACTTAGTGGATTAAAACTGGTTCTCAATCTTTATTCATAGGCCCCTTTTGATTGATGATTTTTTTTTTTTTTTTTTTTATCATGACAGTAATTGTGACTTCAATTCCTGGGCCTAGTGGTACAGTCTCAAACTGGACAAGCAATAACTGAGCAGTACTAAAAAGAACATGACTAGATATCTCTAGACGGGGACAATCTACCCTCATAGATTAAATAAAAGGTTCAGTTTGAAATTCCCTGTAGGCTAATTGAATCAATAGACTCAAGAAGGCTGGATAGTATAACATCTGAAACATTGTGATAATAAAAATGAGAACATCAATCAAAATGTTAATAATGTAAACTTTTTTTTTTTTTCTTGTTAGAGCAAAAAAAAATTGATTAGGAAAAGCTTGACACTGTTGTCTAATGTTTGATTTATTAAGGGAGTCAATTGTTTTTTTTCTTGAATTTAGGTCCACAGCTCGTTGAGATGATGGAGCAACTCAGGAAAGACCTTGAAAGTAACCCTCCTGTGCCAGGCTCATATACACCACGGAAAGGTGATCTCTGTGCTGCCAAATTTTCTTTAGATAATCAGTGGTAGGTTTTTCATATGCAATTTTATTTTGTTGAATTGTAAAAACAGATTTTGTTGACTTGTGATTTGTTTTGAAAACCTATACTCGACCAATTGTCTGAAGTCGTGGAGTTTTGAAAGGTTGGGGAATTAATAATACATGTAATTACTTACTCAGCTTAGTCTAGCCTAACATAAAGCTACTATAGTGCATATCTTGGTAAGCAAGTTTGTCTATGATGAGTTTGCTAACTGTTATGCAGTATTGCAGTGTGTTTGTGTATGTAGTTATCTGCAAATACTGAACTCTTTCACTAAAGAAATTTGAATTCTAAATTTTGGAAAAATTTAATATTTATATCAAATATTGGTAGGGAAAAGTAGATGTATCAACTGTTAATAAACTTCTAATAAAGTTAATTTTGACACTTTGCTTTTAAATATTTTTTTTCTTTTTAAACTTTTTTTTTCATATAATTTAGAAATTTAAACAAAGAAAATCTTGAATACTTTCTGATAATTTTTTAATTTAAATGTGACTTTCAATTTTTTCCACTTATTTTCAAATTAAAAACCATTTCTTGGCTGACATGAAATTTGATTTTCCAGGTACAGAGCAAAAATTGAAAAAGTCGTAAATGGAAAAGGATCAGTCTTGTACATTGATTATGGAAATGTAAGAATCTTTCTATTTTTGGTATTTTTTCTTTCTTTTTTTTTCATTCATATTTGATGACATCTTTACAAATGAAGAGATGAGGAAAAGGGTTAATAAGTAAAAATATGATTTTTAATGTAATAAAAACATAATTAAAAGGGACAAGAGGAAAGCATGACTAGAGTAGTCTACACTGTAAAGAAAAAATGAAAAGAGACAAAAATACGATAGTGAGCTAACCAGTCATCACTTGACTCTTGTCAGAACTTGATTGAGAAAATGAAAATATTGGGCATACAGGCTAAAACAGCGAATATGAACTACACGTTAATATATTGACAAGTATATCTATAAACAGATTATATTGTCATACAAACCAATCCTTCTGTTCAGATAAAGATTGTTGCTTTGTTTTTGTTTTTTTTTTTGTTTTTTTCTTTTACCTTTTCTTTTTTCTTTTACCTTTTCTTTTTTCTTTTACCTTTTCTTTTTTCTTTTACCTTTTCTTTTTTCTTTTACCTTTTCTTTTTTCTTTTACCTTTTCTTTTTTCTTTTACCTTTTCTTTTTTCTTTTACCTTTTCTTTTTTTTTTACCTTTTTTTTTTTTTTTACCTTTTCTTTTTTTTTTACCTTTTCTTTTTTTTTTTACCTTTTCTTTTTCTTTTACCTTTTCTTTTTTTCTTTTACCTTTTCTTTTTTTTTTTACCTTTTCTTTTTTCTTTTACCTTTTCTTTTTTCTTTTACCTTTTCTTTTTTCTTTTACCTTTTCTTTTTTCTTTTACCTTTTCTTTTTGTATTGTATTGCCAACTACTGTTATAGTTTTTCTCCTGACTCTCTTAGTTATATATGTTTTTATTGCACTAATTAAATTTTGTACTTCTAATGATCTACTGTATTTTAATGTCAATCTTCTCATATTGGTCATTTCATATGAAAAAATTTAACAACCTCCAAATCGGTTTTGAGCGTATTGTAGGCATTTGATAGAAATAATTTCATTTTTATATTTTAATAAAATTGTTTAATTATAATGAAAACTAATTTATAAATTCCATTTTGCATAAAAAAAGCTTTGATAAAAATGAGTGACTTTTTTTTAGCTCATGTTTAGTTATCTCCCTTGAGCCCCATTGACTCTGTTGCTTGCCTCTTTGTTTTTCTCCAGCGGGAAGAAGTTCCACTTACAATGATGACTGCTTTGCCACCATATTTCCAGTCCATATCTGCAAAAGCCACTTTATTTGCATTGGCCTGTCTCACTCCACCTGATGATGTAAGTAACATTTTTGTTTATTTAAAATATAATTTTGAAACTGATGCAAGGAATGTTTCTTTTTGTTGTCAGTTTGGATAAAAAATTTTAGTGTTAATAAGCTGAAGAGTTTTAATTTGTTGCTGCCATTACTGTCAGACATTTCTTTTTGCTTTTGGTCTTGAGAAATTTGACCAAATGTAAGGAGAATAAGTTGATTTGTGTAAGATCTTTCAGAATGGAAATCTTTAGTATTGAAAAGTAAAATTGTTAGAAATTTTAAAAAGTAATATGAAGGAATTAATGGAAAGAATGACATTGTATTAATGAAAAAAAATTCATATTTCCAATTTTGATCTTAATTTCTAAAATTACAATAAACAATAAAAATTTGCTCAAATTAGTCTTACATTAATATTAGAACCGTCTTTTATAGAAGTGATAAATTATTACTGGTTATAAAGTACATATATTTGGTGTTTATATAAACTCAATGCTAATAAAATTAGCAATTAAATAAATTATTTTTATTTTTTTTTTTTTAAATGACATCCTCTCTGTGCCTGTGTGTATCCATCAATTAACAGTTAATGACAATTGTTCCCCATTACACATGTTTAATACTGAATAATTTGTTTGATCAGGGAGATGCCAGGCAAGAAGCAGTTGATGCTTTAAATCATGAGATTCTGGGCAAGCAGATGGTGGTGAATTCTGAATACAAGGCTAATGGCATTGATTACGTCACTTGTCTGCTGGGAGAATCTCAAGAAGATGTGGGACTCAGTCTGATCAGTGACGGTTTGGTTTTGGCAGAGTTGCGTAAAGAAAAGCGTCTCAACAAGCTGGTTGCAACGTATAAAAATGCACAGGAAAAGGCTAAATCAGCCAGGGTAAGCAAAAAAAATACCTTTTTAAAATAAAATCTTTAAATTTTAATTTATCTTTTTTCTAAAGTTTATTTATTTATTTATTTTTTTTTTTTCTATATTTTAATTTTTTCAAAAATTTTTTTGCTTAATATGCATCCTTAATATTTGAATGTTGTCATATTGTGAATATTATAATTATTCTCTCATCCTTTATAGGAATCTATTTAGTAGTCAGATAAATTCATTTTGTACATTATTTACATTATTTGGACTATTGTCCTCATCTTTGTCGCCATATTTATCACAACGTTTTGGCCGTTGTAACTCTTTGGGTCCTGTCACTGGATCTAACCAATTCCTTTATCCACTGTACCATGCGTCTTTGAGGACATCTGGGTATGAATTTCTGGGTATTATAAACCTAATGTCTTCAGCAACCATTTTTACCAGCGCTCATATTGCAATTTTGCTGTTAACATTGCATATTTTTACCAGAGCTCATATTGCAACTTTATCATTGCTTTTCTCTGGGACTCCTTATTACTGATTCCCATATTGTATTTATTTCTATGCTTGGTTGGCTCAGGAAATTTTTTTGTGGCCTAGCATATGTGCTGATTCCTTAAGTTTACGAATTTTCCAATGGTGTTCCTTGTCTATGATCTCAACATGATCCCACAGAGGGCGGTGATCTCCCTTCTCTCTCCATATGTGGTCAGCCACGTCTGATTTTTCTACTTCCCCTCGCATTACAGCTTTCTGGTGTTCTTGAAGCCTTACCTTGAGGGTGCGGCCTGTCTCTCCTTTATATTCCTTTCCGCAGCTGCACGGGATAGTGTGAGTTCAATACCCAGTTAAGGCAGTGGAGAACTTTCAGAGGGAAATTAGCATAAGATAACTGATAACTGACATCCATCAAAAAATATGGCATATGGAACTAGAACAGTCTACCCCAGTGAGTGAAATAAAGGGTTCAGTTCGAAATTCCAACCACCTGAAGAAGGCCGGAGCATACAATGGCCGAAATGTTGTGATAAATATGGCGACAAAGATGAGGACAATAGTTCGAATAATGTACATAATACCTCATCTCAGAAATATAGACAAATTCATTGGTTTTTTTATTTTTTTATTTTTTTTTTTTTTTTTTACCAGTGTTATTTGGATTAATATGAGAAATATTCTTATTGTAGTGTTTTATGATTTTTTTTTTTTTTTTTTAGTTTTATTCTTTCCTCTACAACTTTTGTTTATCATTCTATATTATTGACTAACTTGTTAAAATAGGATAATAATGAATGGGGAAAAAAAGAAATGAATTTGACATAGGATTAATGAAGAATGATGTACAAAATATGGAATTTTTCCTGCTTGTTTTTTTGTATTTAATTTGTATTTATGAGGGTGGATCAATAACTTTGCAGCAATTGGTTTTTGATCTTAAATTTTCATGGTATAATGTTTAAAAAGAAAGGTTTCTTAATTTTTATTTTTTGGTCTCTTTTCTATTTTTAAATGGTAGCAAATATTTCCATTTGTTTTTCTTTTAAATTTCCTTTTTTTTTTTTCTTTCTTTCTATAGCAAAACCTGTGGCGCTATGGAGACTTCACTGAAGATGATGCCAGAGAATTTGGTTGAGGAATTTATGCTTAAGATTTTCTTCAAATGGAACTAAAAATAAAATTAAATAAGTAAATAAAATGAAATGAAAAATATACAATTTCCAGAAAAAAAAAAAAAATAAGACAACAACTCTGAAAATGAAATCATGATTTGTTTGTTTACTCGCATGCGTTTATTAAATCTACTTCTGGATATGTTACTAAAATTGGTGATGCCGTTGCACTTTCAACATGCCCTTCTCTACCTTCTTTTTCTAAGCTGAGTTACGATTTCCCTTGTAATGATTAATCAATGAATCGATTATTACAATGCTGAGAAAATGCCTTTGATGATTTTTTTTTTCTTTTTTTTTTCTGAAGTCATTAGATTTAAGATTACCTGGCCCAATGTTATCATTTTCTTGAACTTTATAAAGCTTCCTTCCTATTTTATTTTCAAACATTCAACTCAAAACCACCGAAATCATTTTGGTCACTCAGCTTAATTGTTATCTATTTGCTGCTTCTCTTGGGAGATGTGTGTTTGTGTGTTTGCTTGAGAATGTCACTAAATTTCATTTTGGTTTCTTTTAGTGAAGAACAAGTCAAATATTCCTATTTATTTATTTATTTTTTTTTATTTTTTTTTTATTTTTTTGAACAAGCTCTAATCTCTTTGTGATTGGCCAGCGTCTTTGGGCATCAAAGATTTTTAAAATCCAAGAGTTACTCTGCACTATTCATAAGGATTTCTGACAATTTTCTTTGAAAGAAATGGTAATTTCTCTTGAAAAGTTTTATAAACTTTATCTCTGTACATTAATAAAATAGTTATTGATCTCTATATTTTTATTCTGTCTCAGTAGATTCTAGTTGAATGGTATGTATTGATCTTGTGAAATGTGCAAAAAAGAAAATTCTTTCTTCTCCTTGCCCCACCCCATCAGTTTGTGAATCATGAATTTCTAATAATGCTTAGATTGTGTGTAGGGGGTTAACCCCCACCCCCACCCCGCCGTCAGGGCCAGTGTCATGAAATCATTGTTATAAAGAATAATTATGTTATATTTTAGTCTTGTTCTTGAGGCCAACATAGCCATTTTTGTTACCTCCCCATCCTTAAGGTAGCAGTTTCGGCTACAAAAAAGAACCAATGTTGTTAATTTTGAATTTGACAAACTAAAAGATTTTAAAAACTAACAGAAGGGTTTAATGGATGCATCTTTAAATTAGACTGATGTCATTTATTAAAATTTGTTTCAAAGAATCTGATGGGAGCTGATAATTTATCCCCAGAAGCAAAAAGAAAATGAAATTCATTTCAATAAATAAAAAGAAACACATAATCTCCATTTGTTGTTTTATTTTATTTTTTTATTTATTTATTTTTTTTTTTACCCAGAATTCGTTGGAGATATTGAAATGCAGCAGATTTTATGAGTACCAAATTGGGCTGACTTCAGCAAGCATGGAGTTAGGTTGGCCAGTTTCAAGATGTTATTTTAAAAATCAGTTAATTTCTGGTTTGAAGATCAGCTTTCTACTTTGTTAGTTCTGTCATTTTCATAATGGTTCATTCAGGATTGTTAAGTCTCGCATGTTAGTGTAGTTGAAGTGGGTAGAGTCAATCTTTTTCAAACAAAAGGTGTGCACAAATTCCCAAAACCTGAAATTATTTTCAGTATGAAAGTTTATTGCAATTGGGCTTTCAAGGTAAAGTCATCTTTTGCACTCTTCAGATAAACTGAAGTAAAATGTCATTTTATTTGAAATTTGCTTTTGAAAACTGAAAAGAACTTAAAAACTGAATAGCCAACTATAAAATATTCAGTTGGTGGTCAAGATATTTTGAAATAATTTTGTCTCATGAGGTATTTGTTAAATTTGCAATGCTCTTTCCACCCAATTTTGATGGCTTATGCATAAATAATCTTATGTTAAAAGGAAGTGAACATATGTTCTTATAAATAAGTTATACATTGTGACTATGATGTTTTTTAAAAATGAGATTTTGGTGACAGCTCTCAAGAACTTTGCATTTGAAGATAAAATTTGAAACCTTTTTTGCTGTTGAAACTACATTTCCAGTAGAGTTGGTGGTACTATTGATTCTGTCTCTCTTTCAAGTATTTGTCAGCCTTTAAGAATAAGTTGATAATATCTAAATTCGTTTTGAGTTTATCTACATAGTTCCATTCTATTCTAATTAGACTTTTTCTTGGTGATGGAGTTTTTTGGATAATTTAACGTCTTCATAAAAAAATGAGTATTGACGGGGGGATATGAAAATAAAGATTTTTCTTCTTTTTTTTTTTTTTTTTTTTTTTTGTGGCACATAAAAATTCTCAGAATTGATTGGCGTGTGGTTTGTATGCTAGCTCAGAAAATGAAATTGGCGATTGGAGTTCAACTCCTGGTTAAGGTTGTTTCTTAATTTTTGTAATTATATTTTTTGGGGAAAGATATGAATCCATTCCATTCCAAGCTATGGGTTAAATAGTAAAGTAAACTGGGCCTTTTAACTTTGGTAGAGTAACCTCTTGAGGAGAGGGATAATTTTGAATTCAAAACCAACCTAAAGAGGGATGAACTTTGTCGGGTGATCTTGCTCTAAGCGCACCCATTGATGCTTCAGTAAATGTAGTGTCCCAGTAACCTTAAAACTGTCTATATTCATTGACCATATTGTTAAACTAGGTTTTAAAACTTGTTTCAAGTTAAATCTCAAGCCTGATGATCAGTGCAGGTTGATTTTTGAGGAGAAAAAAGTTCATTCTTCCATATAAAAATGAAGTACATTCACAATGACATTTTCTTTGTAAAGTTTCAAAATTTTAAAAATAATTTAGATTTGATGCTTCCATTAAAGTAGAAAATTTTTCTGTCTAGTGAAATGCAATCTCAAAAAAAAAAAAGTTTGTATTGAGTAGACATTCAGATTCCTTATATATATATATATATATATATATATATGAAATCATCTGTTGAGTTTAACATGTCTGTTAATATGCAAAACTCGGGTAATTTTCTAGTGAAAGAAATTTTGGTTAATTCCATTTGTGTCAGTTGAAATTCACTTTTTTCTCTCAAATCTCTTAATAAGTTTCATCAATTAGGCACTTTGAATTGAACTCGGCTTACTATTTTAATCAAGTACAATGCTTAAGAGAAGAGCATGTGTGCGCACACACTGAAAACAATTACAATGTTCTGTGTTTCAATTTCCATAAGATTAAACGTGTTGCTAATACAATTGGCTTACAGTAAATAATCATATACACAGATCAATAGGTGCTCATCTTCCAAAATAAGTAGTAACAGTACTTGGGCTTTATATTAATAAACTATATCCTTGAGTGTTAAGTATATAATTATACAGATACTGAATGCCATAATTTTATACTTTTTGCTCCTGTTGGCATAATACAGCAAAGTGGGTCAATAGAATGGGTCAGCTCTGTTTTTCAAATGGTATGATGGGCCAGAGAAGTTGTCAAATATCAAAACAATTGTCCAAAATTATCACCCAGCCTCTTGAAGGCTCACAATCCAGTAAGTACCTAACTCCTCCCACTATCTTCTACCTTCAAAAGAGTCAATCCAGTCTGTAAATGGGGTACAGCTGTCATATATGAGCAGGAGCTGTCTAGTCATTACTTTCCAGTCTCAACTGAGTACAAAAGTATCTTTGCAGCCTTGTGGGTGATGAATTATTTTCCACCCTGCAACCCCTTTCCCACAGGCAAAATGTTGCAAGCTTCCTGTTACTCTATCGATATTTCTACAGAAAGTGTTTAATCAAACTACTTTTCTTTCTTCCACCAGTTCTGACCTCCACAGCTAAGACCTGCCATGCCATGCACATTGTAGTGAAACATTCCCTTTAGTGGGATGTTAAATTCCATTTGAACAGCTCACAAACTGCTATTTTATGGAACTGACTCCCAAGAGGATACCCTCCCTATCACTCCAATCTTGAGCTGTTCAAATTTAAGGTTAACTATTATCTTTTCCATATATCCTCATAAGCTGTGGTCTTGAGCCTTGTACAAGGTAAATATGTTAAAAAAAAAAAAAAAAACCTTGACTACTTTTAAATGGTTCTAAGTGAACAAGAGGGGTCATGTATGCATTAGTAGTATGACGCTTTGCACTGAACCTTATCATGTAAAGCTTAGGCACACAGTGCACTGGTGTTAATATTACTATGTCACAACAAAGCTGAAGACTGACAATTTTATCAGCATATCTATTACACACCCTAGAATGCACATAGTTCATTCTGGTCAAATATTGGTATCCTACTTGATGGTGTGGCAATTTTATTTTTCTTTAGTAGTAAGAGAGATGAAATGTTTTCAACACAACCTGCTTTCCAAATTTTTTTTTTCTAATGACTTTGGTGGGGGCTAGAAATCTTTCAGCAACACATTATGAACATAATACGAATTTATTAGGCTTAACAAAAACATAATCCAAGATGAGCAAATTTTTGTAAAGTGTTCAATGTGAAAAAGTGAACAATCAAGATAAAAACTTCAAAACTTAGGATCCACTTCCTGTTTCACAGATACACCAGCTTTTGGTCCTAAGTCTTAGGAACTTTTCCTTATGATTCTCTTTCTTTCACATAAGAGAACTAAAGTACCAAAACATTTGAAATGGCACATCATCGGATGTTATTCTCCCACCCTTACATTTCCATTCATTGATTTGTAGAATTCAAGTCGACTGGATGCCCTAATAGGTTTCGTAGATGTGGTGACAAGGTTTAGCATCTTGATTGTGAAATGATTTTTTTTTTATTAGATTTTATGAAAGTTAAAAGGGAGATTCAAATTGCTATGTACCCCCCCCCCAATTAAAACAAATACTCATACCATACGATATTTTAAGATGTAAGAAAAAAAGAAAGAAATTTGTAATCTGGAGTTTTTTTTGTTTTTTCTTCATATATTGCTATTAATTATGCACTTTAGATTACAAATTTAAAAAACAATTTTATTTTTTTAAAATATTAACATATTGTAAGAGCATATTTGTTTTGAATAAATGGGGGGGGATAAATTTACATAATAAACTGGATCTCCTTATTGATTTCTATAAAGTTAAAAAAAAGAATATTCTTAAAATATTCAGGAAATCAAAGTAAAAAAAGATTATTCCTAGTTGCAGTGCCTATTGTAAAATTCCACAGATTCTATCCTGGTTCAGTTCAATGCTTGATTGGAATGTTTGATCTCTCAGAAATACACATGGGCCAGAAAGCAAAGCTGATACATCCATTAAGTGTAAATAAAAAAGAATATTTATTAATTCAGTATAAAGTTCTAAGATCAGACATCATCAAACACCTTTACCGGAAGGGTCAGTGTGAACAATTGGTACAAGATAAGCAGCTGGAATAAATCCTTCCTGTTTGCAGTCTTTAATGATCCAAAACCAAAGAGGATCATCCATGTTGAGGACAGTTACAATGTCACCACATTCCACTGTTATGTCATTGTCATCAACCGCATTAAAGTCATACACAGCTAAAAATTTTCCGCAGTCTTTTTTGTGGAAAATGCTTGCTTCTTGGTAACTGATGTGAGCTTCAGCTGAATAAGTGTCCCCTGCATTTTTAGCTGAGCCTGTGTTCCGACTGGAGCCAATGTCTTCTGCAAAGATCCGTTGTTGTTTTCGGATTGCTGGTTGAGTGTAGGAAATTGGCACAAAACCTTCTCTGTCATTATCGCAGAGTAAATAGACCCAATCATTGTCTCTGTACAATGCATTTACAATTTCACCTTTTTTTACTGATACTTCGTCATCCACACATGCCACAAAATTTTGGAGAATGATCAGTCGAGATTCAGGTGCAAGTTCATCTCTTTTGGCCAGTCCTACTTGAGTCAGCGTATCCAGACTGTCACTACCAGTTAAGTTTCTTCGAGGAAATAATGAATCGCTCTCTAGAAAAGAATAAAGAAAAGTTTCTATGTGAAAGAAAATTAATATGTGTCCATATCTTCATTATAAGATACAATTTAAATTCAGATGAGAATTTGACAGGATGGTAAACATATAAGACAATGGAAAACTATTTAGTTGCAATAAAGTCAATTTCTGATGACATTTGACCAACGAAACGTATCTACATAAGAATTTTCTAAATTGAAATATATTCATTGTCAACATCAAATTATAGGTAAACTTGGACCTTTGACTGTCAAAAGGATGGTTCTAGTGGCAATGTTGTCTTACTTGGGGTGAAATGATAAAAAAAACAAAAAAAAAAAACTAATTCTAATTATTGCTTTTTAAAAAAATGAATATTGTCAAGGAGTGAAGGTAGTTAAAATAATAGTGGTGTCAAGGGAAAAACTGACCTTTTGACACATTTTTTTTTCTAGGACAATGGTCCACATTTACTGAATTATGTATCTCCTCATATATATATATATATATATATATATATATATATAACTTTAATTTTAGTGGGTACCCATGTTTGAGTTGACATCTGTGTTTTATATTTTGTTAAACAGTGAAATATCAACCAGCCTAGATTGTGATGTCCTACTAAAAAAAAAAAAAAAAAAAATTTGCCTGCCAACAGTAATTGAACATGTATTCCTTTTTCCCATCAAGGAAGCCAGTAGATTTAGATTCAAATAAGTCTCAACTAGTGATGTGCATTCCTTAAATAGGTAAGTGAGCCTCACTTTATCAGGATGGCCTCCTGTGGCCAAATTGATAATGGCATGCATTGGTTATAGGATTGATTTTTCTGCATGGAAAAAGAGGATACAAGTTCAATTCCTGTTGGGAGAAGTCTTTCTTAATTAAGACTTCTTGGTCTAAGCTTGTTGATATCAATTTCACTGTTTATAAAAAAAAAAAAATAAATCTCAACTCAAACATGTACCCTATAAAAATAATGTTTATAGCAATAAACAAATTTGGATGAAAAAAAATCAATTTAAATAATATATATATATATATATATATATATATAATGTTTCATTAAATAATATAGACAAGTGTTGTCTATTGATTTTATGTAAATGCTTTTCATAACGTCTGATAAGCTTAATAACAATATCTTTAAACAAAGAAAGAAAATCACAATATTGATCCATATTTTTTAATCCAATGTAAGCTTTCGGCTTACATAAGCCATTATCAAAGATGTCAATTACTGTTTCAATATATTAAGCAATATATGGACAAGACAGTGATGATAATCTGTGAGTGTTTACATGGATGATTTCCAAGCAATGATAAACGCGTGCATATAAGACGCTAGCAGCGAAAATCGCACCACAGCTCATGACATCACACATGACCACGCGAGAGTGAATTTGAGAAGTATTAAGTATGGGAATTCCATGAAAACAATAGACAAAAACTAAAAATCCTTGAAGCCATATACATCAAACAGTTGAAACCTAACCTAAACAAAATCAACTATGGAATCTTTACAAATATCCTTAAATGTCTATAATTGGTAACAGAAGCCATTGGTTTATACCAATGGCTTCCCATACAATACTTCTCGAATTCACTCTTTCTTCGGAGGCGATCACGTGATTACGTTGATTATAAATACCAGACACGAGTTCGTTCTTCCTCTTTGTGATTACCAAAATGTAGCTGTAAAAGAAATCTCGTCTCTACCTATTGCGGGCGGACGCTATGAAAGCATATTCACACACTCACACATACACGTACGTACGAAACTTTTCAAACTTCACTACGAACATTACAAACTACGGATATTCAACTACAAGCAACGAAACTTAATTACAAGCAATGGAAACTTAATTACAAACATTACGGAACATTCACTCTTTTAACTCTTCTAAAGCTAAAAGTTTACTCAACATATTCTCAGCTTTACAGAATTATTTCAACTCTCTCACAGTGAACATTTTAAGCGGCAACTTCATTCAACCTTTTATGAACTCAGATAAAAATGTATTCCATTCGTACAAACTTTAATTCCAGTCAAAGGGAAGTAATCCCTATGCATCTACATCATTAAATATAAATATTCTTTGTTATAAAACTGTTTTGTGTTCATTCTTATTGTTTCATATTTTGTGGTATTTTGCGTTAAAAATATAAATTCGAGAGGTTACACCAACTTACCGGCCTCTACAGGATGCTGAAGGTAACTAACATCAATCAGCTAGGTGACAAACATTTTACTTAATTCTAGATATATAGGGTTTCTAATCAAGAGAAAAGTTACTGGTGAATAAGCGTGTATAAGTGAACGTAAGACTAACAGATTGTCGAATTGGTATGATGTAAAAGTACACCACAAAGTAAATTGAACTTCTGTTATACAGTTATACATCATGTGTTTCAATCACAGATCAAGCTGAAAGTGACACACTTAAATAAAATGTGAAATAAATTACGACTGATACCCCCCCCCAAAAAAAAACAAACAAAAAACCAAAAAAAAACAAAACAAAACAAAACAAAACCAAAACAAAACAATAAACAAACAAAACAACAATAACAACAAATAGACTGGATTAATTAATTGCGGATGAATTGGAAACTGAAATCAAAACTCTAATGAAGCAGATCAAATTATTTCTGCAATTGTCTGGAGGAAACTTATCTCCTTTCCATTCTATCAAAAATAAAACATCGATATTTTGACAAGATTATTTCAATCATCATTTTTTTTGCCATCATTAAATTATAAAAAAAAATATAAAACATCAAATTCAAATAGAAGCATAAAATGTAAACGTGTTTTTCATTAAATCACTTATTTGCATTTTCTTTCCACATTTCTTGTGAAATTTTCATTTTGGTGTTAGTTAAAATAATTAAAATAAATAAACAAAACCTGAACAATATGTTCATTAGGCCAAATGCCCATCGTCGGTTGGTGTCAACAGCATTCAGAATAATCACTCTGCGGATGTCTTCTTCCATAGTTGATGAAGAAATCTATGTCTTCTTCCATAGTTGATGAAGAAATCTATTGTGTCTATTTTTAAACAGACATATCTGCATATGTGTAACTATATTTCTACAGCTTCAGAGGACTCAGGTTTTGAATCCAGAGTTGTCTTACTGGATTGGCTACCAACCACGGCTAAAAGTGCCCTGCTAATAATCACTCTAGTGTCTTCCACAGTTGAGGATCTGCATATGTGTAACTAACTTAGTTCTACAGCTTCAGCTTTTTGAATACTAAGTTGTCCTATTGAATTGGCTGCCAACCATGGATAAAAGAGCCCTGCTATTTATTTAACCCATAACTGGGGGGAGAAGAGCTGCATTCCATACTTTCCTCGAAGGTTTGCGTGCTAAAAGTGAATGCAACGAACTTGGCCGGAATTCGAACTCGCCTTGTCGAGTTTTCGTTCTGAGCCGCTAACCACAAACAGAAACTGAAAGAAAACATTATTATCCTGAAACTGAAAACAACTGTAATTTTGAGTTTATTAATTAATTAAAAGACATTAAAATTAAAAATGTGCTTCAGTTATTCTCTGGTTGACATACTGTCCCCACGAAAACACACACACTAAAGTTTTGAGAATCAACAAGTTTTTTTTTCTTTGGCTGAAAGAATTAAATTTTGAATGAAGCCTTTATTCAAAATTTGTTATGTTTTTTCCTTTTCAAGCCCAATTCAAACTTTTTGCCAATTATTAACTGAGGCTCATCATAAATGTGGGAAAGAAAATCTTTCCAACAAGAAGGTGTCCCTAAATTTCCAAGTTTTCAAATCCGATCGAGGTTGATCGGAATATCGCATGTCATGGAGGTCCTTGAATTATGAATAAAAATACAATCACAGCACAAGAAAGCAATACGTACTAAAGTAAGTACCATGTCTTCTAAATAAATAAATATGGATTTATAGAAAAGAAACAGATGCAATTAAATGTGGGCAAAACATTCTGACCAAATTTTGGTTAGATTTAAAAAACAATGCAAACTTACAGGTCAGATTAAGTGCAGACTACATAACTTGTACGTGTGCATTTTAACCCCCCAAAGTCCCCTTCCCTCTCACATTTCGTAGTCCTACTCAAGCGGGTCACCGTAAAATAAAAAGTCGAGGAGTTAAATCACATCTTAAAAAGTGAGAATCTGTTAGAAAGTAGAACATTAGGATTTCAATTTCATCAACGTCTTCTAACTTCCGATGTTAATTTTTTTTTTAAAGATTCTCAATTCTATGTTTTTATTTTATTTTAATTTGATTAAATTATGATCCTCTCATAAAAAAAAGCAATATTTTTAATTTTTACTGTCCATGTAAACATTTTTGTTTTTATTTTTAAAATTCTAAATACCCATTTTTGTTCTGCTTTTTTTCTTTTTTTTTTTAAGTATTATAATTATTTTCTGGAATAAGATCAAAAATCACTTAGTTCTTTTAAAGCGGGTGGAGAATGAAGTTTTGATTTATTTTTGAAAATTAATCATGTCAGTAATGATTTTGGATAAATGATAGATTTCAGCCCATTAGCATTGTTATCGATTGAGGCCAAGAAGAAAAATTTAGTCTTTTTCTGTTTCGTTTTTTTGTTTCATTTTTTTGTTTCATTTTAAAAAGTGTGCAGATTTATTTATTTGTAGCGAGGGAGATTAATGCCAACCCCCGCCCACCGCCGCTCCCCGATAGCGACGTCAATGCTACTAACGAGGACAAAAAATTGTGAACAAGATAGTAAAAATAAAAATATATTTTTTACCTTAATAAAAATAAAATAAGTAATAAACATTTATGGTTCGTGATTAATTAATTAAACGAAGATACATTGTTTTTTTTTTCGTCTTTTGTCTTGCTGGTGAGAAAATGCATAATTAACAACATTACTTAGTTAAAAATAATTAGCCAACCAACCTTTTTTCTTCTTTGATGTTTTGAATCTCGGCGGACAGAGGAAGGCCATGACTGAAATAGTTTTACTTTTTTTTACACACAACACGTATATAAGTTGCAATACATTTTCTTCCCTAAGTTTTTATCATAAAGACTCTTTTTTTATCATGCGTTTAAATCTCTTTTCTCCATCGATTTTTCTTATTTCTGACCAGGACACCTGTCGAGGCCAGCGTCCATAAACAATTATGTCGATTAACAACACTTCAACAAGTAATGAAATTGTGGGGCTTACAAATCCTGTGTAAAGGGTCTGCGTACTTAGCTTTTCTTTTCTCTCTCTTTCTTCTTCATTCTGAACACATGTAACAATAACCTGCCACAACCTGTCTCTCTACCTATGTCGTCAGGTGACTAGTGAAGCCAGCGCTGTTGTTTGTCGGCATTTTTTAAATATAATGCACGGCGATGAAACTAAAAAAAAAACCCCAAAAATCAGTGGATTAAAAATTTAAATCACGACTAGAAAAATTTCACTGTGATCGCAGATTTTAAATAAATCTTAGAATTAAACTCGATTTTTTTTTTACTGGAAATAATTGCTATATATTAGTTTTGGCGTTTGAACGAAGACTTTACCTGTTAGCAAAATTATTTTTGTTCTACGATCTTATCAGCCATCTATCCTTGTTCTTGAGGTGTTTATACAAACTTGTCTGCTGAAGAAAATATCAGACAAAAAAAAAAAACAAAAAAAAAAAAAACACACACACACAAAAAATAACGTCCCGATTAAATAAATATGGACACTGGAAAAAATTAACGAAAATGAGAACTGAAAGAAATAAAGAAAATATTTGTTAAACATTAGCGACAAAATGGGATGATAACATTTCCTTTCAAAGAATGGAGAAAGCTCCAGTACATTCTTTTTTGTTGGGTAAATAAGAATTGTACAGGCCTCTACCCTCACTCTCTTGACACCCACTCCCGGATCAAGATCGGGTCAGTTGCAGTGAATGTCCAGACCAAGCGACCGTACAAGGAATGTTATTTTTGCACTTGTATAGTACTGTAATGCGTGTTCTTAATGCATATATTTATTGTACATTTAACGATTCAAGAAAAAAACAACGAAACTCCACTTGTGGATCAACAAATAAATATATATTGAAATATAACATACAAAACAATCATGCAATGAAGTGTAATGATTAAGGAGAAAAAAGTTGTTCCGTTTCAACTGTATTCTGATTTATGATTGAATGTTCAAAAGAGTTTCTCTTGAATAAGAATGTTCAGGATTCTATGTTGAATAGAGTTTGCTTTTAGAATAGAATACAGTTAATTAAGAAATGTGTTGTTTAGAGAAATTAATAGAGTTCTGGTTCATGAACTTGGCTGAGTCACAGAGAGAGATATGTATATTGTGTTACAAAAATCTGTGTCTGTGTGTGCGTTTGAAATGTGAGTAAAGTCGTAGATGTGTGTGGACAGGCGAAATATCTGGACTCTACTGGCGGCTTGTGGCAAAATTGCTTCTTTTAAAGGTACCGGTAAGCTCCGATCGAAAACGCGGGAAAAATTGATTTAGTATTAAAATGTTTGATTGGTTAAAATTTGACCAATTACTGATTTTGTATCAAAGAAACATGTGAACAAGTTTACGACTGAAAAATTCAAAGTGATGACTGCGATTGCTAAATTGTCTTATAGAAAAGCAGTATTGATTTACTAGCCACTCGCAGGCGAATAAATTGTGGGCGTGGAAAGGCACAGCAGTCGCTACACTACATATATACCCAACGGGTTTGAATTCAGAAATTTCCGTTTGACATTCAGGAAGGCCATGTTTTCCTGCTTGGATCTTTAGTTATAAAAATGAATTTAGAAAAATTTGCTCAGTGGTTCCAAAAATTAAAAAAAAATCTGTTGTAATTTACCTGTGTAGGGGAGTTATAACTGAGTAAATAATTATAATCCCTAACATTTATACAAAAATACTCGTAGAAAAAGCAAGACATGGGAAATCAGAAAACGTGTGGAGTTAACCCCACTTACTTTCCTAACTAAAAAAAACGCCACTAGAGGACGCTTTCTGAACCTATAAATACACTGTAATATTTTCTATCATTCTCTTTTTCCTTTTTCACTCATGGACGGTAAGATGTAGGTGGAACGAACGCAGGCACCTTTCACTTCATTTTCCCTAGGGTTTCTACATACATTTTACATACACGAACAATTTACTAGTCTTTAAATGTTTTCATGCTTGTTCATTGTTTTCTCACATATGTGGTGGATGTGTTAATTATAATGGGTAATTACTTGTTGAGAATAGGCTGCGTGCTAATTAACGATTTCCACTAACATCAAAAATCTCTATGTTCATACATAGAATAAGATACAAAACTCAATGGAATGATTTCAAAACATAACAATTAAATTTATTAATGTTTGATGTACAAGCATGCGAAAAAAAAAGGTAGGACAGAGTCGTGTCCCTTTGATTTGGTAATATTTGTACCGGAGTTCATATTAAGAAGAAGTAATATTGAACTTGTAATTTAGAAGAATAAAGTTTGGAATTGTGAGTTCTAAAGTTGATAAAAGTTCAGGAGTAATTTCAGAGTTCGTGAATGTTGGTAATTGCCTTTAACGTCTTGTCAGCAATGACTAAGACGGAAGTTGGCGAAGGTTACATCTTGAGACGTGCGAGAGAGATGAATAGAAAGAAAGCTACTACTCCTCTAAAAAGTTCACACGTGTTCGGTTTATGTAATGGTCAAGTGGCTCCTAGCATATGAGCGGGAAAACAGATTGGTCGCGTGCAGGCGGTTTGATTGGTCGGAACTGACCAACCAGCAAAGCCAGATTGGAGGTGAATGACCAATGAATACTTGTTATATTGTATGAAAGTAGAATTTTACTTACCAGATAGGAAGAGTGCATTTCCTAAAAATAGGTAAGGCTGGTTTGTTGTGGAAGATACCACACATACATACAATATCATTGTCTTTGTCGTTCGCAACAATGTAACGTTTTGTCTTTTTAATAATACATTATCGTTTGTTTGTATATATATTGGCGTTAGTTGTTTCTTTGTATTTTATTACCCGGACACACATGCAAGTCCGACAATTTTGTTGTGGAATAAACATTCCAGGAGACACGTGTTTTCCAATCTAAATATCCGACCAACATGCTACCCACAACAAACGAGTACTATTTATTATCTGGTTGTATTGTCGTGTTGGAGAAACGAGAGCAAGGAGTAAATTGTGATTTTGGGGTCAAATGTTGATCAAATATGGATCGAAATTTGACAGAAGGATAAGATAAAAAATAAGCAAAGTGTTTCACCTATGTTTTTATACATGTGTGTAGTGTCCAGATAATTTACTTGGAAAAATACAAGTGTCTGGGTTTTTTTATTTCGAATTTTTGTTGAGTACTAAGAGATAAATGTTACTATTATGACCTGAAAAAGGAAAAAAAGAGACGAAATTTTCGTTGACGGACATCTTGACAGCATGTTCGTATTGGCTGCTTGTCCGACAGTGAGGATGTCACGTGTTTGTTGTGTGTCGAGGAGAAAAGTGGGGTCGATTCTCATTGTTTTAGAATGAGTGAATTAATGATAATTATAATTATTTTATTATAATTATTTTTGACACTATAATTAATTTTTATTTGTATATTTCTTTATGGACACGACACCTACATGAATTAAAGCCACAAATGAGTGAAGCATAAACACATTACCTGGTTGAAGATAAATGGTTAAAAAGTGGTTCTGAAGAACCAATTCATTTTTTCCAAGTATTTGTGAACGGTATGTATTTACAATGTAAGTACAAATAGTTTAATAACATCAAAGGAAAGACTAAACTTGTATTAAATAAACTGACTCGAATACGTTTTTTTTTTTAAATTGAAATGCATTATAGCAAGTATGTTTGAAGAAATAAATTAATAAATTCTGTATTGAATCTCATGAAACCAATTCACCTTCTGGTAATATTAACGAGAAATATTTCCTGGACTTAATAAATAAGCTCTTAATAAATTTTGTCTTTCTGTTATTTTCCGCTAAACCCAATTCCACCATCAAATTACTCAAGCTCACTAAGTATGTTATGAGTTGTTTTCCTCTGTCTCTTTTGACTTCAATCTGTCCTCTGAGTATCAATTTTCCAAGCCCTCTTTCCTCATTATGTACCCTAGAAACCTCAACTGTTTCTTCCTGATGTTAAGTATAAGTTTCCTTTTTGTTTCCATTTTTTCTAAAACTTCATCGTTGCTCACATTTTCGCTCCATGGTATCCCCCGCATTCTTCTGTAGAACCACATTTCTGTTGCTTTAAGTCTCCTCTTCATATTTGTGGAGATTGTCCAGCACTCATTGCAATACAGGAGGACAAATATCACGTAACAGTTTAGTCCTCTTTCTCTTGTTTCTAACGAAAATTTTCTGTTTCTTAATACTCTGCTTAGCTTTTGGAAGGCATCTTTTGCTATCCCAATGCGCCTTCAGATTTCAGTGTCACATTTTCCGTCCTCTGTTAAAACACTTTCCAGATATTTAAATTTCCACACTTGTTTGATTTTGGCACCTCCGATTTGCAATTCGCCCTTTGGGCTCATCTTTTTCCTAACGACCATACATTCTCTTGCGGTTGATCGTTAATCTTTTCTTTTCGATTTCCTTCACTAACTTCTGTAGGAGTTTTTGTAGTTTTCTTTCCGTGTCTGCTATGAACACTGTGTCATTAGCATATCTTATGTCGTTAAGATTGTGACCGCTAATAATAAATCCTGGTAGGACTTCTAATTCTTTCAGAATTGCCTCGCTGTATAGTTTGAATAAATCTAGTGCGAAGACACATCCTTGTCTTACACCCACTTTCTATTTATGTATATCTGCTGAAAATATTTTCTATCTGCATGCAGGCGGTTGGCTGTCAGTATAGGTTCTTGATTATTCTAATATTCTTCCCAAATATATCAAGGTTGCTGAGCAGTTCCAATAAATCTTTGCGTACTTTATCGAACGCTTTTGCGTAATCT